GTTCTGGAAAGCAGGCTCGATTTACCTGCCCTTGGTTCAACATCCGGAAAACAGTAAAGGACGCAGGGAACCAGAAATATAATACTTGGGAGGGTCTCATAAACAAACAAAACCAATTGTATTTAGAATATTGTGGCTGGCTTATGTTTGCAAAGTGTTCTTTTGATCATATCTCTTTGGCAACAATACTCACCAGCACACCTGAATGGCTGACCCCTAAATCAAAAGGAAGTCACAGAATCACCAACCTGTAACGTCACCATTCTAACACCTAACAACGACTGACATTCTGCCCATACTAACACCTAGCAGCTAGTGGCCTACTGTAACAGAGTGGGAGAGTGAATGTTGCTTTATGACGAAGTCAGCCATACGTGGGTGGCCGGTAAACAATCCAGAGTGTGGTAAACCTGTGGTTTGAACGCATGGGCACCACTGGGGCTGGACAACACACCAGCAGCTGGTCACTGCCTGAACATCAGTAAATACATTTCAAGTGATTCCGTGGCATTTGATTGGCAAACCAAGGGATTTCTTTTGTGCACTTATGTTTCCAGACACACTTCCACTTACGTACTGTTTCCTGATTGGATGATAATAGAATGGGCGGAGCTTGTGTTGCATTATTGCTCAGAAGGATGTCACTGATTTCGTATTGGCTACAGCTTTTTGGTGTGACGAAAAGTTATTATTGTTGGTATATTTATTTATAAGAATTGATTTCTATATGTTGTTTGCGTTTTTGGAGTTATAAAGTTAAAAAACAGTGTGGACACTTCACACAGCCTGCACACTGCCCTTTTACTTGGATACCTTCATCAACATCAATTCTTAACTAATCAGCTCGAAGAAGTATTGGGTATTGGGAGGTGTTGCACTAGAAAGCTCCTATAACTTAATACATCTACAGTCTCATTTATAAAACCCATTCTGGTTGACTGCTTGGTTAAACCAACCATATCTACAGCCTGGTTGTCATGGCAATAGTGTTTGTGAAAAACGTGGATCAAATGAGAGCATTTGAAAAAAGGTTAAGTGAAAATGTAGGCATATCTCCTGATAATGAACAACAGCATATCACCATGGTAACACAGTTAAAAGGACATGATATTATTTGATTTTGAAAATGTCTGACAAAATATGTTAAATGTATAACAATATGTTCAACGTGAAAGTTTCTTCAAAGAACACAAGAAAACCATTGTAAGACTAATATACAAAGTCCCTCACATGATGAATTCTTAATAACATGAAAGAAAGACCGTTGGATCTTGTACTGATTAGCCACCCAAAAAGAACAGGACCTTCCACAGATAATCCACTTAAAAGAACAAGACCATGTACCGCTAAGCGACCCAAAAGAACAGTTCTTGTACAGATAAGCCACTTAACAGAACAAAACCATGTACCGCTCAGCGACCCAAAAGAACAGTACCTTGTACAGATAAGCCACTTACAAGAATAGGTCCATGTACTGTGAGCGACCCAAAAGAACAGTTCTTGTACAGATAAGCCACTTACAAGAATAGGACCATGTACCGATAAGCGACCAAAAGAACAGTACCTTGTACAGATTAGCCACTTAAAAGGATAGAACCATGTACCGATAAGCGACCAAAAGAACAGTACCTTGTACAGATTAGCCACTTACAAGAATAGGACCTTGCACAAACGAGTCACGTAAATGAACAAGGCCTTGTACAGATGAAGCACTTACAAGAACAGGACCTTGCAGACATAAGCCACCTAAACGATCATGATCTTGTTCAGACAGCTAAAAGCAAAGGACAAGGTATAGACAAGCCACCTAAACAAACAGGGCCCTCTACAGATAAGAAACCTAAAAGAACAGGACGTTCTACTGTTAAGCCTTCTCATAGCACACAAAAAAACAGTTGTGTACAATTAAGCCACTTAAAGGACATGAACAAGTCCATTTACAGTTAAGCCATAAACAAAGGACAGAACAATGCAGAATTAAATAATTCAAAAGAAGGTGGTGTATCATGTAGTCACTTGAAAGAACTGGACCACATTTGTAAGTCATCTAAAAGAACACAAAATAAACTAAGACAATAGTTGCAACAGAAGCCATTTGTTGCAAGACGTTTGCCTCGGGAACTGTTATTTGATATCTGTGAACACAGCTGTGTCAAACTAGTGAACAGTCTCTGTACCCTCACACCACTCCCCGCTCCCCTTCCGAATATCAGCAAGTGGTTTTACGCTGCTTTTAGCAGCATTCCACCAATAGCACAGCGGGGGGATACCAGAAATGAACTTGACACATTATAGCCATGTCGAAAATCTAACTCTGGTCTTCAGCGTGACGAGCAAACACTTTAACCACGAGGCTACCCAACAGCCCGCCTCTGAATATAAGATGATCGGTCCCTGAGAACTAAGGACAAAAGCGAAGACATTAGTAAAGACAGAAACTGAATACAGTATTGATTACCATACAGAAGACTTCCTATGCTTAAGGTGATATGTTGAGGCCTTGGAACAATGTCCCCACCAGCACATACAACTGCAGTGTAACTCATCATAACCAGTCATAAGTATACCAATGTTAAGTAACCAAACAGAACACTTAAGTAATGTGCATGATAGCTGTCTCAGATTAAAGAGATCTTCAAAACTTCAAAATCATATCAAAACCCTGTTTATAGATATACGCCTGTCGCGTAAGGCAACAAACTCTTACCTTCTCATGCAAATTTTGTGAGTGGCAGGTACTTCCGGCCATGCTTACCCTTTTCTCAAGCTCCTTGTGTCATCACTGATTTTCAAGGATCAATTTACAGATTTTTCATCACTATTTTCACATTTACGTCGAAATGAATCTGTTATTGCAGATAACCAAGACTGACTGTTCTCTGGCGCTGATGTTTCATCCTTAGATCAATCCAATGAGATGTTATTAATATGCAATGAAGTTAGTATCTAAATAATAGAAAAATCGCCTTTCATACTATTCAAATCCCATTGTTATAAACACTAATAGTCTGGAACAAAATAAGGAAATGCCCTTTGAAGATATGACAGGTACTGCAATGCATAGTCTCTCTGAGACATGAGCTATTGTTACAGTGAACATCTTGGACTTAAAAGCACCACTAAAGACTGTGCCTATTGGCATTCATCCTGTGGTCAGGTGTGGTACAATCATATCCCAATAATGGCTTTCCATACCCTTTGTGAGGTCATCACTGGTTTTCAATGATCTATTCACACAGATTTCAGCGCTACTTTGTATTTACACCCAATTGAATCTGTTTTGGCTGATAATCAAGACTTGTTATTTTCTGTCGTTGACGTTCTTTTTATTTTATTGTCAATGTTACTCAAGCTGCATGGACATAAAGACTTACACACCCACTTGGGTACCTGTCTGTGGACTTGAGTGGAAAGCAAAAAGTGTTGTTTGTGCAAGCTGTTCCAGGGGTTGGTCATATCCAACTCGACCTAGCTCATTTCAGACAAGTTGTTCATTCAAAATAACTAGGTTTGGGGAGATAACAACTAGTCCCTCTTGATGTCCACTGTCCTCGGACGGAGGGACTAGGGGCTGTGTCTATCACTGCTGTTGGCTACGTATGCTCATATGTTATCCCTGGAACTCAAGTATTTGGCTGTGCTCTAAGTCGGACAGAGTGAGTGAGTGAGTTGGGTTTTAATGCCGCTTTTAACAGTATTCCAGTTATATTGCGGCATGTCAGCTTAATGGGGGAGGAAAGCCCGAAGTGATGCAGGTCCCAGACGTTTACCACTTCGGTGAAATCCACAAGCACATGGTGCTGACAAACCTAGAAACATAATCGGGGCGAACCGGGATTCGAACCCACAATCATAGGTTTCTGGCGTTTCCAAGGGACGCAACTCTGCACAGAGAAGCAGGCAAACTAAGACGACTGGGCCCCTCGTACCCAAAGACAGACAGAGGACTCATCACAGTACTTTATCAGGACAAACAGGAACAGTTGGAAAGGACTCTGCTTTGCCTTGTCCTTTGTTCTCACAGCCGTACTGTCACATGCCGATAAAGTACTGTCCCTTATCCTCTCACAGCCGTACCCTCACATGCCCATAAAGTACTGTCCCTTATCCTCTCACAGCCGTGCCGTCACATGCCGATAAAGTACTGTCCCTTATCCTCTATAGATTAGTAAATATTTCACAGCGTCTTCACTGTTAGTACAGCTCTTTATTAATCAGGGATGTGAACACACTGCAGTAGTGGACATCGGATCTCAGTACTTGCTACAGCTCGCAAAGATCTGAGGACACCCCATTACATATAATGTCAGAATAACCATACACTCTTGGCCACATATTAAACATTTTGTTTTGTTCATTTCGAAATTTTGAATTCACAACTTTGTAAAAATATTATTCAAAGCATAATGGAATGGAAGGCACCATTTTGAAACTTGTGCTCTAAAGCTGCTTTCTGATTGGCTTATGTTGAATAACTGTTCGTCATTTCACTGGTGAGGTGAGGTGAAATGGGGTTTAACGTCACGTCCAAGATGATTGCACTTTCATAGTGACGTGCATGCACATTTGTGAGCGTTTGGCTGCTTGTACTAGTCCTGACTAATGCCAATTATATAGTACTAGCTCACAGATATACCATGCCACAGTTTAACATCAATATTCCACTCAGACACGGTATATTGACTCTGAGCCTATTAGTCCTTGTTTTAGCACCATAATGCCGAGCGCCAGGCTGGGTAACAACAAGTACCATCTTTGGAATGACACAGCCGGGGATCGAACCCCGGACATTTCCGCTCTCCGGGCGGATGTCCTACAACTAGACCATGGAGGCAGTCCATTTCACTGGTCGATCAAAGTTTGTGAAAGGTTGTTCTGACATGACCCGAAATGGGATGTCCTCAGATTTTTGTAATGCTGTTGCAAGCACCAAGATCTTATGTTATTGTAGTAATAACTCATGCTATGGCTTTGTACACGACTTGTCTTTCACTGACCAATTTGAGCAAAGTAACAATATTTTATTTGAAAATTTCCTGGCAAGGGCACTTAGCTGGGAATCCCTGTCCCTGGCTTATTACCAACTGTTATCTTTCAGATGAAACAAATAGCCTGCATGTTTTTTTCCAAAAGATATCAACATTAATGTAGCAAACCATGCATCTACGACTCTCCTTTCTCTATTACATTTTGACATTTACATATTGATATTGAACACAAATGCAATTACCATGCTAATATGTTGGTCTCATCTGTCCTGTTTGTTTGTAACTTCCCCTAACAGTATTTGAAAAAGTATGTACTTACACGTGATATATGTATCCATAACATCTGACTTAATGCTTTTGAGCCATCCAATTTGAGGTTTAAAACATGGTATATATGGAAACCAAAATGGTATAAGATTGATCTCACCACGGCATTATGCAGATATTAAAACAACTTTGTTGCACCATGATACAGCTTGTCTGAATACGTGAAACGCCACTGATTTCAACATGAAATAACACTGATATTACCACGGTATAACAATGATATAAACATGGTATAACAATGATATAAACATGATGTATCACCATCAATAGTAACACCATTTCTTTACACTGCTATCATGTCTTAACACTGATATCATCATGTCATAACACTGATATCACAGTATCTTTTAAAACACTGATATCACTGTCTTAACACATATATCACCATGTCTTAAAACTGATATCAACATGTCGTAACAATGATATCACCATGTCTTTACACCGATATCACATGCTTTGACACTGATATCACCATGTCTTAACAGTGATATCACTGTCTTAACACTGATATCACAATGTCTTATCAAACAGTGATATCACTGTTTTTAACGCTGATATCTCCATGTCTGAACACTGACATCTCTATGACTTAACACTGATATCACAATGTCTTAACACTGATATCACCATGTCTTAACACTGATATCTTCATGTCTTAACACTGATATCAACATGTCCTCTGATATGACCATGTCTTAACACTGATATCACTGTGTCTTAACACTGATATCAACATGTCCTCTGATATCACCATGTCTTAACACTGATATCACTGTGTCTTAACACTGATATCACATGTCTCAACACTGATATCACAACGCCCTCACTCTGATAACACTGGTACTTACTTCTCACTGACTTTCCATGGTCAACAAAGTTGCCAAATGGACAATACACCCATACCACTGATATCATTGTTTCAACAGAACCACAGACATAACACGGCCTGTCACATGGCATAACACTAATTTCACAACGCAGCAAACAAAAGCATAATGGTAAACACTATAACAAATAACAACAGGAGTTCCACAGACATACAAATGGCAGTAACAGTTTCCATGGTGACTGTAATATTAAAACTGACGATGACCCAGGCTCTCTGCATCCATGGCAGTTGCTAGTGTCTCTGCTGATAACTCCTAATAATTCAGAACGGACTCCATTTCATTACAGAGCTCTTTTACAGAAATGTTAACAAAAATATTACACATCTACCTATTTAATAACTATTTTGATTATGGTCACCAGATGCTCCGTCATAATATTGCTATTTACTTGGTGAGCAAATGTTTCTATAACCTTCATTTCCAACAGTCATTAACAACGTAACTGTTTGAGCAGTGGTGTCGATCACCACTGCATTAAGATAACTCCCACAGTATCACCACCTGAAGGCATTGCTTGTATTAATTACATGGTTTACCCATCGAAACTTCAGAAATGTGAAATGGAATCAAACAAGTACACATTTTCTTACCATTGTGTTACCAAATTTAAGCAGTATTTTTGTTGTTGAAATCTGCACAGAAAGGGGAGTTACTTATGATTTTTCATTTAGTGAGTGAGTGAGTTGGGTCTAATGCCACTTTGAAATATTTTTAATATAAATATCACACTCCAAGCCATAAGTTTCTTTGTCTTAATTTATTCCAACTCACAATACTTTTGACCTAAAATTTCAAAAAAGTATATTGTGTTAACTTTTAGTTAGTTTCTTTTACACCCATTCTTTTGGATTAGATAAATAAACCAAGTAAAACCAGCAAGACCAGCCTCCGCATCAGATACTCACCAGATGCAGAATTCCTGAAATCTACATTAATTATTTCTTTAAAATACATCAAAAACAAGCAGGTGTCTTTATAGAATTATTTTTTGGGGAAAAATAAAACGTGTTCATTTAACTTTCAAATTTGTGCACATAAAGGATTCTTATTCCACCAGCATGGGCGGATCAGAATTTTAAAAAGGGAGTGGTCCAAAATATCAAAAACCTCTCTCGGATAATGTTACTGCTTACAACATACATGTACTATATTGGTTTTCATAAAAGAAAAGGGGGGAGTGCGGACCCCCTGGACACCCCCCTCTGGATCTGACTTTGAACAGCATGTGTTAGAGTTGATACATCACAGAGGTAGAAGCCATTTGTTATATGCAACCAGTAAGCAGCTTATTTCAGACAAGTGTTCAATGCAAATTATCTAGTTTTTGAAAGACAACAATTTGTGCATCTGGATTTTCATTTGTCTCGGACGAGTGTCCGTGTCTAACCCTGTATCAATAGTTGTTTCTCATAGCATCGATGTAGGTTTCAGGATTTCGAGCCCCCTCAATAGCCTATATTCTATAGAATTTCGAAACTGGAAGAATTAGCATTGTGTTTAAATATCACAGATATCTTTCATTTCAAAATATAGTTAATCTCTTAAAATAGATCATAACTGTACAGACATCTATGAGAGGAGGTGAACAATCACTATCCTGTTCCATGGTTTAAAAACAGAGATATGTATCAATACCATTTTCGGACTAATAAAAGGACTGGATAAAAGTTCATCTTAAATTGATTAAAACTCAACTGAAATCTCTTTTTGGTAAAAGTTATAGGAATAACCCAAAAAATGTTTAACAGATAACATTTACTGACTGATGTAAAGCAGCACATACGATAGCATAGTTTCCGATGGCTGATTGACAATGAATGTACATGTGTTATGTCCAGGTTATGAATATGTTGGTTGCTGTGATCTACTTTCTACATGGGCAATGGCAACAGATCTGCAATCAAAAATAAAATTGATAAACTGTACATAAAACTCTCTCCACACACTCCCCACATAAATATTCTCGAAACTCATTCAGCTAAAATATCGCTATGGATCTCTCGCCACATCCCTCTGGTCCCAAGAATCGGATTTCCACGACAGGTAACGTGCTACCTCCGACAGTTCGCGTACAATGGCAGTCGCGGCAACCTTCAGATACCTTACACAGCGTCCACAAGTCACATGACTAGCTTTTGGCCAATCACAGCCTCTGAATCATCCCACCTCACTGTCAGAAGCTCATCATAATTCATGATTAATGTCACATGACTTCCATCAACCAATGAACAACTCACATATCCTGTCTACAACTACACTTCATATACATCAGTGGCCATCAGCCAATCACAGTCAACCTCAGTGTTTATCAACATCTCATTCAATTGGTTCCATTAATTTTTTCTTTTCTTTCTGTTTAAAACTCCCTGCTCTATTTTTGGTTGGCAGATTGTTTGCAGAGGCATGGCGTATCCTTCCGCCGTTGGTGCCGTTTTTGTCTACAATGTCCTTGTCCGTCGGGGAGTGCATGCTCCCCACACTGAGACTTGACATGGAACTAGACAGATTCAGATTGGAGGATATTCCCAGAGAGCTTGGGTAAGGATTGAGAATGTCAAGGTCATCACCAGGGAGACACGATTCAACCATCATTGCCTTTTCTAAACAATTCACAAATAGTTCCGCTGTGTCACTGCTGCCCGAGGACTGAAAAAGACAAATGAACATCATTTAGTCGACATCATTAACTGGACATAATTATTTGTTGTTTAACGCCGCACTCAGACAATCCAGTGATTGACATCATGAGCATCAATCCACGCAATTTGGATATGATGACATGCATCCACCAAGTCAGCGAGCCAGGCCACCTGATCCCATTAGTCGTCTCTTATGGCAAGCATGGGTTGCTGAAGACCTATTCTGACCCGGATCTTCACGGGTCTGGACATAATTAGCTGGATGGGAATCATTAAATGGTTCGGAGGCAATTTAACACAAGCCACCATTCATACAGGTTGTAAATGTTCACTGATCGGGAGAAACCCACGAGCATGGTTATGGTGCTGAGATCACAAGCCAAAGGGAAGCAACTCTGTGCAGCAAATCGTGGTACTATAGATAAATAGGTTACCCATGCTCCAAAGTTTTATAGAAGATTTTTGAGTAAAGAAAACAATGGGTAACTGAACACATGCTTTGGACCGCATGTAGGAGTATTACAGCTATCAACACTTCAGATCACAGTTCAAATCTCATCTGTTTCTGACAGCCAATGATCGATCGAGTGAGTGAGTGAGTGAGTGAGTGAGTGAGTGAGAGAGTGAGTGAGTGAGTGAGTTGGGTTTAACGCCTCTTTTTATTCCAGTTATATCACAACGTGTCAGCTTACACAGTGTGTTAGTAACCAACCAGAAAGACAGGTTTCTGCAATAAAAGGGTCCAAACTATTAGGGTTCTAAATCCTATTTCAGTTTATTTCGACAATGGTACAGTGTGAGTGAGTGAGTGAGTTGGGCTTAACGCCACTTTTAACCGTATTCCAGTCATATCACGGCATGTCTGCTTAATGTGGGAGGAAAGCCCAAAGTGATGCAGGTCTCAGACCTTTACCACTTCAGTGAAACCCACAAGCACAGGTATGGAGCTGACAAACCTAGAAATATAATCGGGGTGAACCGGGATTCGAACCCACAATCATAGGTTTCTGGCGTGCCCAAGGGATGCAACTGTGAACAACGAATCACGGTGCCTTAGACGACTGGGCCACCCGTGAACCCCCCCAATGATCAAGAGCACTTTTTCTTATTCTTCTTATCAAGCAGCAACTAGCTAAGGTATGAGATATAAGTGCCTGGGTTAAACAAACACTTTCAGCCAGGGCCCACCAGCACAAACCAATCAAACCACCAGGACCAGGACACTTATTTACAATTGTCAAAGGACCAACACTATTTTGTGCAACTGGATGTTGTTGATTGTTGTTTAATGCTGCACTCAGAAATATTCCAGCCATATGACAACGTTGTGCAACTCAATCAGGGTTTTAAAGAATAAAGGAAAATTTCCATATCCTTACTTTAGTCTGAACCAGATTGGTTGGTTGGTTTGTTGTTTAACGCCGCACTCAGCAATTTCCAGCTATATGACGGCAGTCTGTACATAATCGAGTCTGGACCGGACAATCCAGTGATTGATATCATGAGCATCGATCCACGAAATTGGGATCGATGACATGTATCAACCAAGTCAGCGAGCCTGACCACCCGATCCCGTTAGTTGCCTTTTACGACAAGCATAGTCACCTTTTATGGCAAGTATGGGTTGCTAAAGACCTATTCTACCCCGGAATCTTCATGGGTCAGTCTGAACCAGACAAACCAGTGATTGGTATCCTGAGCACAAATTCACGCCATTGGAGTAGGATGACATTCAATCAACTAAGTCACTGATCCTGACTACCCAATCAATTGTGTCGCTTCATACATCAAGCAGGGGGTACTGACAACCAGCTCTCCAGGGAAAGCCATCTTGCCATTAATAAAGGACATTTAATGAATTTTCAAATTATTTTAAGATGTACATTAAACACGGAATTTTCAAGCCTGTTGCATTCCATTGAACACATTGTCATAACGTTTGTCCAGAACATCATGAACGATGTCAGCTCACCTTTGTGAATGTACCAGCGAACCTCCATAAACCTCCAAAACCAATACCTGAAACAAGACGTGCGCAATTAGTCACCATATTTGTTTGTTTGTTTCTTTGTTGTTAAATGCCGCACACAGCGATATTCCAGTCTGAAAAAAATCCAGTTATTGACATCATGAGCATCGATCCACGCAATTGGGATACGATGACATGCATCAACGAAGTCAGCGAAGCTGATCCCCCAATCCTGTTTGTTGCCTCTTACGACAAGCATAGTTGCCTTTTATGCCAAGCATGGGTTGCTGAAGACCTATTCTACAACAGGTGTTCACGGGTCCACAGTGAAACAGGGAGCCTGCTTATAGGTGCTGATCCAGTGGGGTGATGGGCACACCTTTTGGGTATCGCTTAAGGAAAAGACTTACTGTCGGACAGAAAGTCCGAAGTGATGCCGATCACAGACATCTACCACTTTGGTGAAACCCACCAGCACAAACCTGACTAACCTAGAAACATAATCGCGACAAACCGGGATTCGAACCCACAATCACCATGACAACACTTACTCTGGAGGTAGGACAGCTGCTGTTGGGAGGCATCCTCACAGGCGATCATGTTCTGGATGATGCTCTGGACTGCATTGAGGATGGCCTGGTCGTGGCACAGTGACAGAACATTGTTTATCTTTGCGTCAAGGAGACTGTGACTGTAACAAATGGAAGACTGTGATTAAGTCTACATTCTCGACTGTTGGAGCTGGGATTTATCTAGGATTTCAAACCTTTGGCAGGCATACTGGAAAAAATCGTGATATAATTCAAAATTCGATTTTTGTAATGTTCTTATTTTTGTCAAATCTGAGAAATCAGTAATTGTTTAATTCAATTTGGGAATTTCAATTCGACTTGTCACTTATCTCAACTTTGCCAACAAGATGACAACATGAATGATTTTAAAATATGCAATATACCAGTTCTTTCCAAACATATTGTGATACATATTCATTAGTATTTTAAATCATGTTAACTTGGGCTGGGATGGGTAACTGGGGTAGGTAGGGTCATGAGTAGGACCCAGGTACCCACAGGACTACCCGGACCCGTGGTTAGACACATGATATATTGTTTAAAGACAAAAATTAACTAGAACTGTATGTTTTAACTACAAGTCACTTATGTTTCCGACTACTAAGTCCATTCCTTCTGACTTTAATATGTTTCAATAAAAATAAAACTTCAGTCTTCTTCAGTGTATACATCAGATTGTTTTATAAGTGTACCTAAACACCTTTTGCCAGGGTTACGGTCAAACTTTTCTCAATCGGACAGTTTGTACCTACCTCTTGAGACCGACAGCGGGTACCCGGGTAATAGGGGGATGGGTACCCGGTAGTAAATTTGGACTCGTCCCAGCCCTAATGTTAACCTCTACCAACAAGTGTACTCGATTAAACAGCAGCTGCAACTTACATTACAGGAAAGACTTTCGGGAATACGACTGAGGCTTCAGCTAGATACTCGTACAATATTCTAGTCTCGTTCTCATCTGTCGTGTTCCGAACAAGTGTTGCCTGAAACAAGGAAAACAATCAACACATGTAATAAACCACATTCTATGCTACTCAACATGTGATAGGGATAATCAGACCTATGTCAAATAAACTTAAATATGCACTTGACATTGATGACAATCAGTTTTGTGTATCGTGGCAAGATATAACATTGGTTTTCAACACATGTAGTAAACCACATTCTATACTACTCAACATGTGATAGGGATAATCAGACCCTTGTCAGATAAACTTAAATATACACTTGACATTGATGAGAATCAGTTTTGTGTATCGTGGCAAGATATAACATTGGTTTTCAACACATGTAGTAAACCACATTCTATACTACTCAACATGTGATAGGGATAATCAGACCCTTGTCAGATAAACTTAAATACACACTTGACATTGATGAGAATCAGTTTTGTGTATCGTGGCAAGATATAACATTGGTTTTCAACACCTGTAGTAAACCACATTCTATACTACTCAACATGTGATAGGGATAATCAGACCCTTGTCAGATAAACTTAAATATACACTTGACATTGATGAGAATCAGTTTTGTGTATCGTGGCAAGATATAACATTGGTTTTCAACACATGTAGTAAACCACATTCTATACTACTCAACATGTGATAGGGATAATCAGACCTATGTCAGAGAAACTTAAATATACACTTGACATTGATGACAATCAGTTTTGTGTATCGTGGCAAGATATAACATTTGTTTTCAACACATGTAGTAAACCACATTCTATACTACTCAACATGTGATAGGGATAATCAGACCCTTGTCAGATAAACTTAAATATGCACTTGACATTGATGAGAATCAGTTTTGTGTATCGTGGCAAGATATAACATTTGTTTTCAACACATGTAGTAAACCACATTCTATACTACTCAACATGTGATAGGGATAATCAGACCCTTGTCAGATAAACTTAAATATGCACTTGACATTGATGACAATCAGTTTTGTGTATCGTGGCAAGATATAACATTGGTTTTCAACACATGTAGTAAACCACATTCTATACTACTCAACATGTGATAGGGATAATCAGACCCTTGTCAGATAAACTTAAATATGCACTTGACATTGATGAGATTCAATCAGTTTTGTGTATCGTGGCAAGATATAACATTGGTTTTCAACACATGTAGTACACCACATTCTATACTACTCAACATGTGATAGGGATAATCAGACCTATGTCAGATAAACTTAAATACACACATGACATTGATGAGATTCAATCAGTTTTGTGTATTGTGGCAAAATATAACATTTGTTTTCAAGGGCTCTTTTCTCGTATAACAATGCCCAAATTCTGTAAAATTAATCCCAATGACAGCTTTTTTGGTGATGACTGCTTCGTCTGTGCGACTTTAGCGCACCCATTGTACCAATATCAATTTCCTTCCTGCAGCATTAACACAATGCCTTGTTTCATAGACCCATTGGTACTTTAAAATGCAACCGCAATCAAAAACACACTTTCCCATGACTAAAACACAATGACAGGTTCACGGAACCTCCTCTTGGTCTGCTGCAGGTTGGGAACCAGTCTAGAGTTTCAAGTGCCGCTCAAGTTAATTTAACTTTACCTAGGAATACATTGCCAATGGAATTTACCTACATAACCTATAACTGACAGAATAAGTCTTTCTTAAGCGACAGGAAGCAAACAATGCATTGAAACTTGAACGGTAATGATGTTCAGTAGCAAATTTGTTATAGATTTTATTCACATTCCAGCACTTTTCAACAACTGTCAAAAATAAAATTCCAGCACTTTCATTTAAAATGTCAGAATCAAGCACTTTTCATCGGACATGGTTAAATCAAAGCTCTTTTAAAATCTGTGCGCACCCTGTTTAACCCCATGGCTACCCCAGCGCCACCCAGACAGAGACTTACCAGGACCGTGAGGACAAGAGCTTGTGTGGGGTAGTCCATGAGGATGTCCGGATCAAGGAGGACGTTGTTCTCATTGGACACGGAGCTCCGCCCACTGCGCGGCTGCTGGATGGCTGATTTGGAGGACTCCAGCTTGTTGCTGCCTGGCGTTGGCATGGAACTGCTGCGGAACTTCGTCAGCGGCGGCCGTGAATTTTGATCAAGGTCAAGGCTGACGCTCTTGCCCTGCAACAGGTGTTTGAACTTTGCTGAGATGAAAATGTCATTCATTTCACTGGTAGCAGAAAAAGAAATTTTTCTGCAGCAGTAACTTGAAGTTTCTTAAAGGTAAGTCATGTTTCTCCTTTTATTTATTACTTTGTTTGCTTGTAGTTTAACACTGCACTCAAGTCAGGACCATCATGACATCATGAGCATCGACATACATAATTGAGATACGACGACATGCATGCATCAACAAAGTCACCAAGTCTGACCACTCGATCCCGTTCGTCGCTTCATACATCAAACATGGGTTGCAGAAGACATATTCTAGCCCAGATCTTCACAGGTCTATTTATTACTTAAATGAGACAATGACAAAGACATAAAGCCTCATATTGAATCGGCTGTCCTATGGCTTAACTGACAGCTGTAGCAACAAATACATTCAACAATACAGGTAAGAACTGTGTTTTCACATTTCTCATTTACCTAGGGCTAATTACTTTGAAAAGTAATATCTAGAGATCTGATGACAATAATTTTGCAACAATCGACAGATCTATACCGACACACTGAACAAACTTAATTGGGGACCATGAATATTTCTTGGGATATTTGTGGGGAAACTGAGTTTCTTTAAATGTGTACGGTATATAAAAATATTTCATTATCCCTCACTTCTTTGTGTTCAGTATAGATGTAGGCAAAAAATGATCCTCATGAACTAAATCTCATAATAATCAGCTGGTGATCTGACACTCAAATTGTATGTATAAACCTGTATGTATTACTTTAGTAATAGCAGAAGTCCTACTTTCACAGGGTTGAAATTACACTGTTTTATCATCGAGACATGCACAACAGTTTCACCACGTTGATAAACTGAGGTACTGAAAGACCTCTACAATCTTCATGGCAACTCTCAAAGTACTGGTATTGATCTAAATCCACACTACGCAGGCATGCTCAAAGTGCTACATTCTTATTATTCCGGTCAACGGATCTGTGTGTCCTCGGTTTTCATTCTCTGCTCTAGTATCAGTCAGCCAGTCTAGCCCTAGTCAGACACACTATCTAACCTGTTATTCCAGGTCATGCCCACAAGAGTTGTCTAGCCCTAGTCAGACACACTATCTAACCTGTTATTCCAGGTCATGCCCACAAGAGTTGTCTAGCCCTAGTCAGACACACTATCTAACCTGTTATTCCAGGTCATGCCCACAAGAGTTGTCTAGCCCTAGTCGGACACACTATCTAACCTGTTATTCCAGGTCATGCCCACAAGAGTTGTCTAGCCCTAGTCAGCCACACCATCTAACCTGTTATTCCAGGTCATGCCCGCAAGAGTTGTCTAGCCCTAGTCGGACACACTATCTAACCTGTTATTCCAGGTCATGCCCACAAGAGTTGTCTAGCCCTAGTCAGACACACCATCTAACCTGTTATTCCAGGTCATGCCCACAAGAGTTGTCTAGCCCTAGTCAGCCACACTATCTAACCTGTTATTCCAGGTCATGCCCACAAGAGTTGTCTAGCCCTAGTCGGACACACTATCTAACCTGTTATTCCAGGTCATGCCCACAAGAGTTGTCTAGCCCTAGTCAGCCACACTATCTAACCTGTTATTCCAGGTCATGCCCACAAGAGTTGTCTAGCCCTAGTCGGACACACTATCTAACCTGTTATTCCAGGTCATGCCCACAAGAGTTGTCTAGCCCTAGTCAGCCACACTATCTAACCTGTTATTCCAGGTCATGCCCACAAGAGTTGTCTAGCCCTAGTCGGACACACCATCTAACCTGTTATTCCAGGTCATGCCCACAAGAGTTGTCTAGCCCTAGTCGGACACACCATCTAACCTGTTATTCCAGGTCATGCCCACAAGAGTTGTCTAGCCCTAGTCAGACACACTATCTAACCTGTTATTCCAGGTCATGCCCACAAGAGTTGTCTGGCCCTAGTCAGACACACTATCTAACCTGTTATTCCAGGTCATGCCCACAAGAGTTGTCTAGCCCTAGTCGGACACACTATCTAACCTGTTCTTCCAGGTCATGCCCACAAGAGTTGTCTAGCCCTAGTCGGACACACTATCTAACCTGTTATTCCAGGTCATGCCCACAAGAGTTGTCTGGCCCTAGTCAGACACACCATCTAACCTGTTATTCCAGGTCATGCCCACAAGAGTTGTCTAGCCCTAGTCAGACACACCATCTAACCTGTTATTCCAGGTCATGCCCACAAGCGTTGTCTAGCCCTAGTCGGACACACTATCTAGCCTTAGTTTGAGGCCATGCTCTACGGTCTAGCATCAGTCAGCCCCACTATCTAGCCATTAGATTGAGGCCATGCTCTCACAATATGGTCTAGCATCAATCAGCCACACTATCTAGCCATTAAATTGAGGTCATGCTCTAACGATGGTCTAGCATCAATCAGCCCCACTATCTAGCAGATAGAATGAGGCCATGCTCTATGGTCTAGCATCAATCAGCCTCACTATTTAGCCATTAGATTGAGGCCATGCTCTAACTATGGTCTAGCATCAATCAGCCTCACTATCTAGCCATTAGATTGAGGCCATGCTCTAACTATGGTCTAGCATCAATCAGCCTCACTATCTAGCCATTAGATTGAGGCCATGCTCTAACTATGGTCTAGCATCAATCAGCCACAATATCTAGCCATTAGATTGAGGCCATGCCCTAGCTATGGTCTAGCATCAATCAGCCTCACTATTTAGCCATTAGATTGAGGCCATGCTCTAACTATGGTCTAGCATCAATCAGCCTCAGTATATAGCCATTAGATTGAGGCCATGCTGTAACTATGGTCTAGCATCAATCAGCCCCACTATCTAGCAGATAGATTGAGGCCATGCTCTATGGTCTAGCATCAATCAGCCTCACTATCTAGCCATTAAATTGAGGTCATGCTCTAACGATGGTCTAGCATCAATAAGCCACACTATCTAGCCATTAGATTGAGGCCAAGCTCTCACAATATGGCCTAGCATCACTCAGCCACACTATCTAGCCATTAGATTGAGGCCATGCCCTAACTATGGTCTAGCATCACTCAGCCACACTATCTAGCCACTAGATTGAGGCCAAGCTCTAACAATATGGTCTAGCATCAATCACCTCCACTATCTAGCCTTTAGATCCATACTAGACATTATCTAGCCTTTAGATTCAGGCCATGCTCTCACATTGTGTTCTACCATCACTAACCTTCACTATCTAGCCTGCTATTCAATCCAAGCCCACACTACATTGTGTAGTACATTCTAGCTCTACTCAATCTGCCCGTGATGCTGATAGATCATGCTTCCTTTCTACGATATCTACATGACTAGCTTAGTCTAGCAAGCAGCAAGCAAGCCACAGCAACACAGCGCCACCTACCTGACTCTGCGTGAGCTGCACATTCTTCCCCATACGCGCTGCCGTCATTGCATTCTGGTCCAGAAGGTCACAGCTCTTTTGTCTCCGGGGGAGAGGGGTGGAGGCAGTCGTGGGCGGGGCATTCTGAGGGGGTGTGACTACAGTGGTGGTGGGAGGGGGAGCAGAGGGGGACACCCCCTGGGAAGAGGACAGCTCAGTATTCAGACTCTCTGTTGAAGGGGACTCCGATATCATATAGTTGGCTGTCCGATGTTTCAGATGACACCGACTGCGGACCTCTTCTGACACCGACACTAAGGCTGAAGCAAGACATCAAATGTTTATTTTTCAAAACTGGATCACGAAAAATTCCAACAAATATTACCTGTACGAGCAGAAAAAAATAATTGAAATTGCAATCTTTAGCGCCATTGTCAACTGGAAGATTTGTTTTTTGTTGTTTTATTTTGGAGTGTGAGTGAGTTAAAATTAACGTCGCATCGTCAGTATTTCAGCCATATAGCGACGAGACCAAGTTAATATATTCACAATGTAGTTATTTATGCAAAGTTATATTTAAAAACAATTTATGAAACATACTTGAGCATTACAATATCTTTTATTTCGGAAGAAAAAGGGAATTAATTTTGGCAAGTCTGTGTATCAAGCACAAGGGACATAACTCTAGACATATTATGCAAAGAATTTCTTGACTGAACAAGTTGGCGGAATATGTATGTCAAATTGAGCAACATATGTTCTACATCTGATCATTTTTTTTAAACACTGAGTAATCTCAAAATAATTTTGTGAGTGCGACGTTTCGACAGAAAAAGTATTTATAAATTTGGATTTTTATTTCTTTCCAAAGTTTGAGGAAAATAGGGTCAGCAGATCTGTGTTCCAAAAGTTTTTTAAAAAGGTCGAAGAATCATATTGCTAGATTATTCCAGTCAACACAAACAACACAGTACTACCCACCTGCAAGGTATGCCACAGTCTGTGTGGTCACCTCAAACTTGTCCCTGACACTTGGTTTCACTGTAATACTGAGAAGCTGATGCAAGACGCGGATTGTCCGGGACACAGTCGTGGGGGATGGATGTCGGAATCCTGACACAGAGAAAAAAGTGCATTACATGACCAATCAGTCAAATCCAGATCCAAATACAGAAAAAAACCTGAAATGGTCTCACCTGGGATACAGGCCAGCTACATCATCAAATCACAATATACTTGAAAACAGGAGGACTGGTTCAGAGTCAGTTAGGTTTAATGCTGCTTTGAACAGTATTCCAGTTATATAGGTGAGGTGAGGTGAAATGGGTTTAACGTTGCGTCCAAGATTATTGCACTTATATAGCGACGTGCATGTACGTGTGTGTGTTTGTGTGGCTGATTGTACTAGTCTGGACTGATGCCAATTTATAGTGCTAGCTCACTGAGATACCATGCCGCAGTTTAACATGAATACCCCACTCAGACACAGTATACTGACTCCGAGCCGACCAGTCCTTGTTTTAGTCCCTTAATGCCGAGCGCCAGACAGGGTAACAACAACGTCAACAAGTACCATCTTTTAACCCCGGACCTTCCACTCTCCGGGCGGACGCTCTACCACTAGACCACGGAGGCGGTCCAGTTATATCGAGGCGTTTTAGTTAAATGTGGGAGGCAAGATCGTGACGCAGGTCTCAGACATCTACTCCTTTGGTGAAACCACAAGCGTGGGTATGGTGCTGACAAACCTAGAAACATAATCATGTCAAACAGGGATTCGATCCCACAATCATAGGTTTCTGATGTGCCCAAGGGATGCAACTCTGCACAGCGAATTGCGGAGCCTGAGATGACTGGGCCACCCAGGCCTGTTCATAATCATGGCAACACGCAAGATGACAATTCTCAGCTACAAGATATTACAGAATCCCCACCTTTGAGTAAATGTCCAACCAGAGCAAAGTTGAAGTTGAACTGGAAGCTGAGGCCCATGTAGTGGTCCAGCTGCTTGAAGTGCCACTCCAGGGGCTCCCGCGTCTCCATCATGATCTTCTCCAGGGACTGCAACATGACAAGCATGACATGAAGATTGACATGAACATGACAAGCATGACCTGATGATTGACATAAAAACGTAAACGGCTGTACCATTGTTTAACACCTTCATGCTGTTATCACCTACCACAGCCATTCTGTGCTCCTCCCCTACAGCAGCTATTCTGTTCTACTCTCCAGCCTACCTCCTGTTTACAGGTCCTCCACTTAAAATAATACACAACAAACAACCTCGTTATTATGTTCTCCTTCCCAACCCACCACCAACACAAAACCCATCTATTCTGTTCTCCCCAGCCAAGTACCTGTCCCTATAGATCCTCCACGTTTCAAAAATAAAGGAAACATACAATTCAGCTATTCTGTTCTCCTCCCCAACCTACCACCAACACACAATCCAGCTATTCTGTTCTCCTCCCCAACCTACCTCCTGTTCCCAGGTCCTCCACTTTAAAAAACCCACCGACATACAACCCAGCTGTTCTGTTCTACTCCCCAATCTACAGCCTGCTTACATGTGCTCCACTTTTAACACCAACATACAAATCCAGCTATTCTGTTCTCCCCAGTCTACCATCCACACATAACCCAGCTATTCACTTCTCCTCCCCAGCCTACCTTCTTCTCGAACAGCCCCATGTTGTCCAGCGTGTGTAGGTTCTGCTCCAGCAGGGCAAGTCCCGCCGCGTACAATGACACTTCATCCAGCTGCAGTACTGAGATTGCCACCCAGAACAGGAACTTGTGGATTGGGGACTCCTGAAATATGTGACACAAGTATACCAATCTCCTGCCATTGTCTCATCGCAGAATAGAATTTCTTTGTTTTTTTAAACTGATAAAAAAATTAAGTATCAAATTTAACTTATCCTATCATTGATGTACCTTTGAAACATGACCCCAACATTTAAAGTAAATTACTAATTTATTATTCTGAGGGGAGGGTGAGGTGGGAGGGAATGGAGCTTGTCTATCAACTGTGTATATGAGGAAACATTACATTTTCACTATTTTCAAGAATGAATAAATCATCCACTCAAAAGAATCCAAGTTTCCCTGAGAGTAACGAATTGACAGTCCCTAAGCATTATATATAAACAAGGGGGATGTACATGGACAAGCAGTTGAGGTGAGGTGAGGTGAGGTGAGGGGGGCTTAACATCATGTTCAAGAATATTGCACTCATATAGCTGTATGTGAGTGAGTGAGTGACTGAAGAGAGAAAGAGAGAGAGAGACTGTCCAGACTAATGCCTTTTTAATATTCCTAGCCCACTCAGATACCATTCCTCAGTCTACACGAATGACCCACTCAGACACAGCACACTGACTCCCGAGCCGACCAGTCCTTGTTTTAGCCCCGCAATGCTGAGTGCCAGGCAGGGTAACAAGTACCACATATCAACTTCTTTTGGTATGACATAGCAGGGGATCAAATTCCCAACCTTCCTATCTCCAGGCAGTCGCCCTATCCACTAGACCACGGTGGCGGTCAGTCACCAAGGAGATGGACATTATTGTGTTACTCACCGCCTTCAGCATGGGTTGTAGTGGTCAGTCACCAAGGTGATGGACATTATTGCGTTACTCACCGCCTTCAGCATGGGTTGTAGTGGTCAGTCACCAAGGTGATGGACATTATTGCGTTACTCACCGCCTTCAGCATGGGTTGTAGCCTGGTGAGACACATGACGACAGCCTCGATCAACGTCAGGTCTGTGTAGGACTCCAGGGCCTGCAAACCAAACCATTGACTCATGTACGACTTTAGGCTAGTGCTCATTGTAGGCAAACTGGGAAAAAGAATCAATATTTTTTTCAAATATATTTCTTTGCTTAAACCTATTTACCTAAATTCTGAGGTATTTTAACACTGAATTTTCAGTAACAATGTAAAACTAAGCACAAAAGTATCTTCCTCTTTATTGGTACTGGTATCCGTGATATACAAATGAGAGAAAGAGAGAGAAAGAGAGAGAGAGAGAGAGAGAGAGAGAGAGAGAGAGAGAGAGAGAGAGTGAGTGAGTGAGTGAGTAAGAGAGAGATAGAGAGAGAGAGAGAGAGAGAGAGAGAGAGAGAGAGAGAGAGATTCAAGTGAACAAAGTAATCAGCTGGTTTTACATTTTGACACTTATTTCAAAGTTTACATGCATATTTTGCCCAAAACATTAAATGAAAAGCATGGATTATTAGTGTCATATAGGGCTTGTGATGACATTTCTTCCAAAGTTTTTTTTATAAACAATGCTACTATACGGGCAACAGGCTGTGAAACTAAACACAGCTCCAGACCACACAACAGCAAACCACACTACTGAAGCCACAGTACAACAGCAAACAGGTATGAACTACTTGTGATAGCTCTACACATCTTGTTGCACAAATCACTCTAAAGTGGGACTGTGCTCAACTGGTTTTATAATGACTATTGCCTCACTTTCTATGTTAACCGAAACACCCCAAACTACTTCAACATGTAACAGAGCTCCAGATAACTTTTCGAGCAATTGAGTTTTTACTCAACGGTTTCTATTTTAATTGGCTTATTACATTTTCATTGGGGAACCAATATTTTTTCACTCGTCTATTCATCACTCTTCTGGGTTTTCCCTAAACTGAGAAAACATTTTGAGATTTAAAAAAAATGAAATAATGTTTTAGATGTATATAGGTAACAGTTCTCAATATAGGCTTGACTCGGAAAGTAAATTAGCTCGTATTTGTGTTTCAGAAATAACCTCCATTGTACGCATGCTGAAAAAGCTTCGTTGGGTATTTACGTGTGCTGTTTTTATACATTTAAGTTTTTCCTGTCATACCTGTGTTTCTGTACGCAAGTTAGTTGAAAGGAATAGGGTTGTTATATTTTGGGGGGGTATCTTACGCAAATACGCAGCTTATCTGTAGCGCTGATGTCACCATACTATAAAAAAGTGTTTAATTGAGGCACTGCAGCTCACATTATTGACTGATCATTCTTGACAACACATGCACAACATATAATGAAGCCCACAACATTTATACATGACAAAGTCTGGTTTGGTATTTGTTTGTTTGTAGTTTAATGCTGCACTCGGCAATAATCCAGCAATATGACTTTTAAACCCTTGCATAACATATTAAACATATAACATATGTTCAGACAAGTGGAGCGATGATATTGGACAAAGTGTTGATAATGAGTCTGCCTTAACTTTAGTTCATTATAAACTATACTAGTGAGTGAGTGAGTTGGGTTTTACGCCGCTTTTAACAGTATTCCAGTTATATCACGGCATGTCAGCTTAATGTGGGAGGAAAGCCCAAATTGATGCAGGTCTCAGACGTTTACCACTTCAGTGAAACCCGCGAGCACAGGTATAGTGCTGACAAACCTAGAAAAAAAATTGGGGCGAACCGGGATTCGAACCCACAATCATAGGTTTCTGGCGTGCCCAAGGGACGCAACTCTGCACAGCGAATCGCGGCGCCTTAGACGACTGGGCCAGCCATGCCCCGGCGTAAACTATACTAAAGAGAATATATAGCTTTCCTTGTCAAAAACATGATTATCTTTTTGACTAACCTGTCAAACCGATATTTCCATGAGCCAAATATGCTACTTATTATTAATTTTGTTTACTGATCTTAGTCTGACAAAAATAGATTAAAATTAGTCCCACAAAATGTGAATTGAGATTATTAGCCGAGTGTGTTTCGCCATCATAATTATCATATATCGGGGGATGGGGTTGTATTTATTTTATTCCTATTATATACTACTCAAAACAAGTAAAAGAACACCCACAATTGGAAGGCTGTGTTGCAATACCCACAAGCCATGACAGATTAAGTCAATGTTGTTGCCATGGAAGCTAGAAAACAATTTTTTAAAATCCCAAACCATCAAAAAGCACCAGTTCACCACTAGACCTATGTATGTACCAAGTTTGGTTAAGATATGTCTCATGGTTTTGGAGTTCTGCTCCGGAAAGGAATCATGATGGATGGATGGATGAAAGGATGGATGGACAGCACCCATTCCTATAGATATCCCTCTTCCACTTTTTGGCGGGGGATATAAATGTGGTGTCCTTTATCTTCTTTTGAGTTGTATGACAAAATAAGGTCTCACTGAACTTTCAACACATTTTCTAGACACCATATTTCCATCACACTATTTGCCAAGGGACAGGGGGGATGAGGGACAGTACAAGATTCCGGATGCTCTACTGGTCCCACAGAGCAGTGCAGCCAAAAATTAATCAAAATGTTAAGCTAAAATGAAAGTCATTCTTAAGCAGGGGAACAGAAAGAACAACAGGAGAGCAAGGGATCAGGTTCAGAACTATCAGAATTGCAACAAGGATTACCGGACATGGGAAGCTCCATGTATTTTGAAAATTAAAAGGTTTGAACACCTGCAATAGAAAGAGAAACAAAAGCATGTATTAGACCATGACGATACAGCCCATGATAACAGTGTACCTCAATGCAAGATGGCTGGGTTCGTCGGGGGCCCATTTGGTCCTGTAGGGAGTCCGACTTCTCGCCGAAACTTTGCAGAGTACAGGTGTGGGTGAAGGTCAAGGAATAGGGAGGACGGCCCTGAAGAAGGGAGCAATCAGGTCGGGGTTATCAGGGCCAGGGCCTTGTGTCATAACTCATCTTATCACAACTACTGTTCATCTGTGTCATCATGTTTTGTTTGTTTGTTGTTTAACGCAGCTCTCAGCAATATTCCAGCTATTGGTAAATAATTGAGTCTAGACCAGACAATCCAGTGATTGACATCGTGAGCACTGGGGTATGATGAAACGTCATCACCCAAGTCACCTGATCCGTATATAATCGAGTCTGGACCAGACAATCCGGTGACTGACACCATGAGCATCGATGCATGAAATTGGATACGATCACATGCATCAACCAAGTCAGCAAGCATGACCACTCGATCCCATTAGTCGCCTCTTATAACAAGCTTAGTCGCCTGTTAAGGCAAGCACGGGATGCTGAAGACCTAAACTACCCCGGATCTTCACGGGTCTTGGGAGCAATGATCCACACCACTGGGGTATGCTGACATGTCATCAACCAAGTCACTGAGCCTGACCACCCGATCCCATTAGTCGCCTGTTAAGGCAAGCATGGGATGCTGAAGACCTAAACTACCCCGGATCTTCACGGGTCTTGGGAGCAATGATCCACACCACTGGGGTATGCTGACATGTCATCAACCAAGTCACTGAGCCTGACCACCCGATCCCATTAGTCTCCTGTTAAGGCAAGCACGGGATGCTGAAGACCTAAACTACCCCGGATCTTCACGGGTCTTGGGAGCAATGATCCACACCACTGGGGTATGATGACATGTTATCAACCAAGTCACTGAGCCTGACCACAGGACTCTTTAAGTCACCTCTTTCGACCAGCATAGGTTGCTGGGGGCCAAATGTAGCCAGGCATCCCCAAAAGGGCAGGTCCCCGGTACACAGGTGAGAGGATGCTTCTAGACTTACCTTCATCATGATCTTAAGGAGCTGCTTCACCTCAGAGTCAGTCACAGACTTACTGATGCACCCGAACACAATGATGGCCCTTGGCTGCAAGGCTGGGTTATACTGGAATGCAAATCTGAAAAAAGGAAAGCATCAATATGTTGAAGTGGTATCCATTTAATCTACATCATGGATGCCAATGTGTAGTCACATTAGGATGAAAGAAGTAAATGAACATCACAATAATAATCACGATATTAGACCTAATCTGTACAGGAAAGATCTCTCAAAGTTGGTCTGACCAAATGATCCCCTTACAAATATGTACACAATCAACTGCCATTGTGGCCATCTGATTCCCCTGGGGTACTGATGACCCATTCTGTGCCAAGGTATCAACAGCCATCGTGGCCACTGGATTCCCCTGGGGTACTGATGACCCATTCTGTGCCCGGGTACCAACAGCCATCGTGGCCACCGGATTCCCCTGGGGTACTGATGACCCATTCTGTGCCAAGGTACCAACAGCCATTGTGGCCATCTGATTCCCCTGGGGTACTGATGACCCATTCTGTGCAAAGGTATCAACAGCCATCGTGGCCACTGGATTCCCCTGGGGTACTGATGACCCATTCTGTGCCCGGGTACCAACAGCCATTGTGGCCATCTGATTCCCCTGGGGTACTGATGACCCATTCTGTGCCCGGGTACCAACAGCCATCGTGGCCACCGGATTCCCCTGGGGTACTGATGACCCATTCTGTGCCCGGGTACCAACAGCCATCATGGCCACCGGATTCCCCTGGGGTACTGATAACCCATTCTGTGCCAAGGTACCAACAGCCATTGTGGCAACTGGATTCCCCTGGGGTACTGATGACCCATTCTGTGCCCGGGTACCAACAGCCATTGTGGCCATCTGATTCCCCTGGGGTACTGATGACCCATTCTGTGCCAAGGTACCAACAGCCATCGTGGCCACCGGATTCCCCTGGGGAACTGATGACCCATTCTGTGCCAAGGTACCAACAGCCATCGTGGCCACCGGATTCCCCTGGGGTACTGATGACCCATTCTGTGCCAAGGTACCAACAGCCATCGTGGCCACCGGATTCCCCTGGACTACAGGGCACCTATAATGTGCCAGGCTAACAACAAACATGATGACAAGGCTGACTTAAATCTGAAGCAAGTCTCAATACTTTCTCACAGCATACTGCCAAGGCAACATCTAACACTAATGCCTCTGCTCTACTCACCTCTTGGCTAGGTCTGTCCACTGCTGTAACCACTCACAGCTGGGGATATCCTTCATACAGGCCTGTGGGGAATAACAGTGTATATTAGAGCACTGGAATAGGTATTATGGTGGACCCATCATACAAGCCTTTTGGGAATAACGGTCAATATTACGCCATTGGAATAGGTCAGGATTTTGAAAACATCATACAGGACTGTAGAAATAGTGTAAAATAGGGCACTGGAATAGGTGTTACAGTGGACACATCACAAAAGTCTGTGGGGAATAACGGTCAAAATTGGAATAGGTCAGATATTGAATACATCATACAGGTCTGTGGAAATAGCAGTGTATATATATATATATGATTGCTCTGGAATAGATCAGATCTTGGACACATCATACATCACCCCCCACCGTTCCAGCCTCTGAATCTCCAGGGCTCACTTTTCAGTAAATCTACACTTGACCCCTGGATCCATTCCCGTGGTTCTCGTCGTCTTAAATCTTGATTGTTGTTACTATTTTACCGACCAATCAAACGTCACAATAAGGGGAAAAAATGGGAAAGGGAGATGGACATAAAATAACCATTTCTTTTGTGTGTCAGTCTGTTTTTCAATGTTGAACTTCTCGCAAACTCTATTGTAAACATGGGACTGGACACCATGTTGTTGATGTCGCCAGCCCAACTTAAGGCTAGTTTGTAACTTGCATTCTGACTGGACTAAGTCGCGAAGCAAATCAAATTAGCTAACGAAAATCAAGGGCAGATAATTTCAGATCGCGAGAACCACGGGAATGGAACCAGGGCTGAGTGTAGGTTTACCGAAGCACTGGAGATATAAAGTGTCACCATCCCCGGCCCTCCTGTAACTCCCTGCTTCATCCATGACATCCCTACCTCCATGATCTCCAGCAAGGCGTCGGCGATGGCCTCGAGAGAACTTAGAGGCATCTTCTCATTCTCGGGCGGAGACATGGTGAACGATCTATCCCCCGGGCGGTAACTGGTCCTGAAGGCACTGACGGCCGCAGACTTAACTTTGCTGATCCCAAACAGCTGGTAAAACTTAGGGAGTGAAAACTCCGCCAGACTCAGCTTGAGTACCTGGAGGGTGCTCTCTGGGGAGAGAGATCGATTGTCTGAATTTGGGCTCTCTGTGTGTGGAATATTGATACTTGTTAAAGACAGGAAAAGCATGGCGTTTGGCGGAGTCAGATCATGTAGTGATGTGATTCCTTGACATGGGTATCTAACACAAGTATAGAAGCTCTCTTAGTGATGAGGATGATTTAATCACATATTTCTGCTAATAATGTAATGCAGGGATTTATCTAGAACTTCTCTGAGGCTTACATTTGGCCCTTAATGTGCAGAAATGCCAGTAGAGGTACCCAAATTGGAGTGAGTGCGTTTTTACGGCGCTTTTAGCAATGTTCTAGCAATATCACTGCGGGGGGACACCAGAAATGGGCTTCACACATTGTACTCATGTTGGAAATTGAACCTGGACCTTCAGCGGGACGAGCGAACTCTTTAACCACTAGGCTACCCGACCGCCCCTCCAAATTGGAATAAAAGTTATAATATGAGTAGTTGTATCTAAAATGGTATATCTTTACAGCGGTTACTTGTATTACCCTGGCATCAGGACCAACAATGAGGAAGGGCTTTAATGCTTAGTTTTTGATATTTCATTCAAAATAAAGTTAAAATACCTCAAACTTTAAGAAAATAGTAATGTTTAGAAAATCCCACTTGTGAACAAAACACCGATTTTTTTCCTTGCCTGACAGAGGTACTTATATTGGAATCTCAGATAAATCCCTGTAATATCATCCATAGTTTGAGACAAGCAAACATATGCTATTGTAAAAGTATAATAAAATCTGTATAAATCTGAATCACAAACTCCCTTATGGGGAGATTTTGTATGATGTTAATGAAAAGTCATAAAGCTCATACTGGCAGCTCAATAATATATACAATTAGCCAGAGATTATTCCATGTACCATTTGCTAGTATTGAAACCATTGCTACAGAAAGTATTGTAAGGCCAAAAATATAGTCTTGGTTCTCAGGCACCCCCGCATCATCATAAAGTTTGCCACAGGTTTCATTTTTATTTCCATTTAAAAAAATTCAAAAAAGTACTTAAATATTCCAGTCCAACGGTAGCCAAATTCTGTATCAAGGAATACTCATCAAGGAATACGTTCATATAGGAAGACCCTTTCCCAGGTGGGTTGTACATAACTGTTTATTTGGTTACATAACTGTTTATTTGGTCACATTATTTGGAACGACCAAAACGAAACCAAAACACGCCCACCCGCATTATATTTTCAAGAGCCATTGCCTGAGAACCAATTCTTTCATTATTTTTTATAGCCTAATGGAAACAAGCAGTTAAACAACAACTTGCACAATTGACACAGGTCTGAACTCACCCCCAAAGTGTAGTTGTGAACATGTGCAGAGTGAGTGGATGATGTTGATGACGAGGCCGTGCGTGGACGCCCGCAACGACAGCGGTCCCGTGGAGACTAGCAGAGTAACGATGTGGAAGAGGAATGGGAGGTGACTAGCAACTGAAACAGAAGATAGGCAGGCTCATTGATGGACACAAATCTTACCAACATGAGGAGGAACTGGAAAATACACGTTGACAGATCAGTTGATCCTTGGGCTGGGATCTTTTTTTAAAACATATTGTCTGTTACCAAAATTAGGGGGTTTCTGATCTGACAAGATCACTCTGTGGAATGAGGCCATGAAGCCGAGAGTAAAGTATGGGAGTGTTATCTTCTTAGATCTAAGATCACTGTGTGGAATGAGGCCCTGAAGCCAACAGTCAAGTATGGGAGTGTTATCCTCTTAGGTCTAAGATCACTGTGTGGAATGAGGCCCTGAAGCCAACAGTCAAGTATGGGAGTGTTATCCTCTTAGATCTAAGATCACTCTGTGGAATGAGGCCCTGAAGCCAACAGTAAAGTATGGGAGTGTTATCCACTTAGATCTAAGATCACTCTGTGGAATGAGGCCCTAGGTGAAGCCAATAGTAAAGTATGGGAGTGTTATCCTCTTAGGTCTAAGATCACTCTGTGGAATGAGGCCCTGAAGCCAACAGTAAAGTATGGGAGTGTTATCCACTTAGATCTAAGATCACTCTGTGGAATGAGGCCCTAGGTGAAGCCAGTAGTAAAGTATGGGAGTGTTATCCTCTTAGATCTAAGATCACTCTGTGGAATGAGGCCCTGAAGCCAACAGTCAAGTATGGGAGTGTTATCCACTTAGGTCTCAGACGGTTTTGTAGGCCCTGCTTACCATCAAGTGAGTTATTGAAAGACAACATGAGGAGGTAGCGAGCCAGGATGGCGATGTCGTCCCACATCAGATGCTGCTCCAGTGTAGGTGTGGGTGACGTGCATGTCTTGTCTATCAGCTGCAGAGACAAAAAATACCGGCATAAGGGTGGGCCTGCTCATAATGCTCTTTTACAACTACAAGATACAAGAAGCTTTCGCTAAAGTCAGTTATTCAAGCAAAACATATATAACCTCTTAACAGCTATTATTCCAACACAAAAAGCTATTATGCAATCATTTAAAAAGAAATTCAAATTCAAATTAACATAGCACACACAGGAAAGAAGTTATTTCCCGCCTTGCGCTTGCAAGAGCACTTAGCAGTAGGACACTATTGTCTGCACAACTGTTAATGGATAGTTGACAGTGAAGAGGACTTCTGTTGAAAATCTAAAGATTTTTATCATGTGGTGACAACAAAATACAGGGTTAGGCAGCGATGTAATCGAGGTAGGATATTCGCATGAACTATTCAGATTCAAATTAACCTCTAATCACACAACACTAAAGTATCTAGTCCCATGTAGTCACTGGTTACAGGCCTGCTGTATAACAACCGAGACTGACCCTGCAGAGGCGACCGATGACCTTCCGAGACACCAGCTGGACATTGGCAGAGGTGAGTGCCACTGCTGTGTCCGCCATTATCTCCGCCTGTATGGACCCCAAACCACCCGTGACACTTCTCTGAAAACAAATCAATCAACATAACATGTCTGTCAAATCCATATCTCATTCAACAATTGAGGTCACAAAATAAACTGACATTCTAGACAAGATAAATACAATCAAGGTGCAAGGTGAAACATTTCAGAATTGGATCGATCCTCACCTGTGAAATATCATACAGATCAGTTTGGGTAAGGAGTGACTGAATGGATATCCAATAACGCCGCAGCATTTTTTATGAACGAATAATTTGAGCACATAATGAGCCAGGTTACACCTTGTAACAACTCCATTTTCCTTAGACAAACCTTATGACAAGCAAGGGGCACTAGGACATATTCAACCTTGAATACCCATATCAGCCTTTGTCAACCCTTATGACAAGCAAGGGGCATAGTCAACCTTCAATACTTAGGTCAGGCTTTGTCAACCCTTATGACAAGTCAGGGGCATATTCAACCTTGAATACTGAGGTCAACTTTAGTCAACCCTTACGACAAGCAAGGGGCACTGGGACATATTCAACCTTCAATACCCAGGTCAGCCTTTGTCAACCCTTATGACAAGCCAGGGACATATTCGACCTTTAATACTCAGGATTTGACAAGCAAAAGGCACTGGGACATATTCAACCTTCAATACCCAGGTCAGACTTTGTCAACCCTTATGACAAGCAAGGGACATATTCAACCTTTAATACTCAGGATTTGACAAGCAAAAGGCACTGGGACATATTCAACCTTCAATACCCAGGTCAGACTTTGTCAACCCTTATGACAAGCAAGGGGCACTTGGACATATTCAACCTTCAATACCCAGGTCAGCCTTTGTCAACCCTTATGACAAGCCAGGGACATATTCAACCTTTAATACTCAGGATTTGACAAGCAAAAGGCACTGGGACATATTCAACCTTCAATACCCAGGTCAGACTTTGTCAACCCTTATGACAAGCAAGGGGCACTTGGACATATTCAACCTTCAATACTTAGGTCAGCCTTTGTCAACCCTTATGACAAGCCAGGGGCATATTTAACCAAGGATGTGAATTACTGCTGGTTTTCCATACCTTGATAAAGCTGTCTAGCACCATGTCGAGGAGGTCCCCGATCTGACCGATGTTGCCCCAGATCTTGGCCTGGATGGATGGGTACATCTGGCGGGGAAGAGGGTCACATATAACACAGCTCAAACACATATGACATGAACTAAGTGTAATTATGGCAAGCACTGGGCACTGGGACAAATGTCATTTTTGTCTACAAAATTGTTCGTCTTCTTGAGTAGAAATTTAGTATCTATTGATTAATATGTTTACTGGAACTATTTTGAAACATTATTTAAAAAAATTATAATCAAACATCATTTTGCATCCTGCATATCAGAAAACTGATTTATTATTTCCAGTTTGCACGAGACAAACATGAGACTGGGTTCAGGACTGCCATTGCTCACCTCTTCTTCCTCTATCGTCATGGTGATGAGTTTGTCAAGTATGAGCGCCACCTTCTGCCTCTTGTTTTCATCACACTGCTTACAGAACCTGACACAAACAACACACCATGGTTACAAAGACATCCACAGCTTACGTAAGGTGGGAAATTGGGTTTAATGTCATGTCAAGATTATTGCACTTTTATTTTTTCACAGCAAAGTGAACGTGTATATGTGGTTTCTTGTATCAATCCAGACATTTTATTATAGTGCTACTCACTGAGATACCATGCCGTAGTTTAACATGATGATGATGATGATGATAATGATGATGATGATGTTTGTTGTTTAACGCCGCACTCAGCAATATTTCAGCTATATGATGGCAGTCTGTAAATAATCGAGTCTGGACCAGACAATCCAGTGATTGACATCATGAGCATCGATCCATGTGATTGGGATACGATGACATGCATCAACCAAGTCAGCGAGCCTGACCACCCGATCCCGTTAGTTGCCTCTTACGATAAGAATAGTCGCAGAATATGGCAAGCATGGGTTGCTGAAGACCTATTCTCACCCGGATCTTTACAGGTGAAATCCTGCTTTTATTCTGCTTTTATGACAAGAGTTCTGTTTTACTTGTTTGTTTACCTCCCCACTCAGCAGTATTCCAGCTATATGATGGCAGCCCAGTGACCAATATTGTGAGCAACGACCTATGCAATCAGGGTACAAGGACACACTATCAACCAAGTCTCTACGCTCTACTTCATCACCTCTTACGACCAGCATAGGTTCCTAGGGACCGATTCTAACCCAAATCCCCACAAGGGTATCTGTTGTGACTATACCTGGTCAAGTTGGGTTGCTGGGGACCTATTCTAACCCCAATCCCCACAAGGACTTTTGTGACTATACCTGGTCAAGTTGGGTTGCTGGGGACCTATTCTAACCCAAAACCCCGCAAGGACTTTTGTGACTATACCTGGTCAAGTTTGGTTGCTGGGGACCTATCCTAACCCCAATCCCCACAAGGACTTTTGTGACTATACCTGGTCAAGTTGGGTAGCTGGGGACCTATTCTAACCCAAATCCCCACAAGGACTTTTGTGACTATACCTGGTCAAGTTGGGTTGCTGGGAACCTATTCTAACCCAAATCCCCACAAGGACTTTTGTGACTATACCTGGTCAAGTTTGGTTGCTGGGGAACTATTCTAACCCCAATCCCCACAAGGGCATCTGTTGTGACTATACCTGGTCAAGTTGGGTTGCTGGGGACCTATTCTAACCCAAATCCCCACAAGGACTTTTGTGACTATACCTGGTCAAGTTGGGTTGCTGGGGACCTATTCTAACCCAAATCCCCACAAGGACTTTTGTGACTATACCTGGTCAAGTTTGGTTGCTGGGGAACTATTCTAACCCCAATTCCCACCAGGGCATCTGTTGTGACTATACCTGGTCAAGTTGGGCAGCCAGGGTGTGATGTACTCCAGACACAAGTGCTTCATCTCAATGTTGGAGTTCCCAAAACCTTGGATACACTCTTCCAAGAACTCCAGCGTCAGGTGCGGCTCCTTCTCCGCCAGCTTCTCACTGATGGACTTGATGAAGATGGTGTTGTTGGCAGGAATACACAGACCTGCACACACAAAGGTACAGGAGGGAGTGAGTAAATGCATCGTACACAACAGTCAGAAACAATTCAGCAATGTCTCAGCAGCGTGTCAATAATCTGTTAATAGTCAATGACCTGGGTCAGCTCACGATCAAACAGTGTTTGTTTTGTTGCTTAACTCAGCTCTCAGCAATATTCCAGCAAGATGATGGCAATCCGTAAATAATTGAGTCTGCATCGGACAATCAAGTGATTGAGGTAAGCCAGTGGTTGACATCATAAGCAACAATCCAGTTCAGAGCGGCATGACGACTCATTTGCAACCACTCAATTTTCACTTTGCCTAAAATTATTCCACATCCCATTCATGTCAAGTTTTTTTTTCAAAATATAACAAAAATATGTCAAAAGTTTTAGGTCAGTGTACCAATGCTGATCAAGTTATTCTCTAAAAAGGCTTGATGAGTGCAAAGGTCAATAAGGGTGGTAACTCTGATGATCAATAGATTAGAGACTTGCTGTAAGGAGCTTGCAATAATGATTACTAAGGGAGGTCACTCTTACCATTGGTCTCTAGTAGTTGACCTTCTATCTTCAGGTCGAAGGTCTGGGTGAGAGCACACAGCAGGTTGTAGGCAGCTGACCGGAGACTGGGGTCCGAGCTGCCCAGATTCAGGAGAGCCTGGACACAAGCAAAGCAAAGCAAAGAGTGAGCGAGTGACCAGAATGGGCTTCACACATTGAACTACCCATGTGGGGAATGGAACCCAGGCCTTCAGCATGATGAGTGAATGCTTTAACCACTAGCCTACCCCACCGCCCCTAAAATAGAATAGCAGTCAGACAGTACAGAGTGATTACTACCAGACGTTCTCACAAATTTTAGGATTCAAAGTGAAAGAGCATTTCTGTGATATATATCGTGAACGTTTACTCACCACGTTCAGTAGCGTTCCGGGCACATCCTTAGGGCGGATCTTTGTATGAACTGCCACAGTGTCCTGAGGAGGAAAACACACAAATCAACAGAGTTGCAAATAACAGCCCCTCCCGCCTGCCCAACAGTCCATGACAGTCTATTTTGATGACAGAGGGTCCGTTTTGAAAAGTTGCACGCCTGATGGTCAAGAGTTAAAGTTACTAACTTGACAATCCACCATATTAGTATTTTTTTGGAAGTTACATTAAACAGTACTATTCTTATGTTTACCCTTTTATAACTTGTGCTCATTAGTGTAATAAAATTCTAGACTGGCAGTATTTCATCTGGTAAATTTGCAAAGTTGCCAGTCTGGGTGTCTGAATGACGTTTTGGGGATTTTTTTTACACTGGCTTTGTAGAGACTTGTACTTTACCAACAACAGGACCAATGAGTGAGTGAGTATGGTTTTACACCGCTTTTGGCAATATTCCAGCAATATCACGGTGGGGGACACCAGAAATGCGCTTCACACATTGTACCCATGTCGGGAATTGAACTCTGATCTTTACCGTAACAAGCGAACGCTTTAACCACTATGCTACCCAACCGCCCCACAGGACCAATGAAGAGGAATGAAGATGCTTTAAAGCTTAGTTTTACACTATTGCATTGTATGCAATGTAAAAATGCGCCCAAATTTAGATATTCAATATAGCATAACACAAGTAAATGTTGGTTAACCTATCTGGATGTACTTAGATCTTACCGGCTGTGAGAGTTCCCAGCGAGTCCTGATATGTATGATGGCTTGGACAATGTTATCACAGTCATTGTGTATGAAAGACAAAGGGCCACTCTCATTGGCGATAGTCAGTGTGAACTGATTGTCGTCTACTAGACACACCTGGAAGACAATATGAGTACTGTGTTAGGACATGATAAATCGCTGCCATTTCACTAACCTATGAATTAAATCCACAAGCAATAGCTGGGTAGTGCTGAATGCTGTCATAACTGTTCCAATGTCAGTGTGTAATTTCGCCGTCAGCAATAATCCACTTGTATCAAGGCTGCATGTTCATAATCAAGTCTGGACCAGACAAACCAGTGATTCATATTATGATTTGTTTGTTTGTTTGCTTTTTAATGCAACACTCATCAATATTCCAGCTATGACAGCCGCCGGTAAATAATTGAGTCTGGACCACAGTATCCAGTGATTGAATTCAGTTTAACATGGATACCCCACTCAGACACAGTATAGTGAAACAGGTCCTTATTTTATCCCCTTAATGCCAAGGTCCAGGCAGGTAACAAGTCTTTTGCAATGACACAGCCGGATATCAAACTGACCTGCTCTGCAGGCAGATATTCTACAAACCAGACCACAACGCTAAATTGTGGTAAACACAAAGACATTGCCGTCTCCCAGCATGGACAGTGGCAGTCTCACCTCCTCTATCTCCGCAGCATAGTAGACATCATTAAGGAGAACCTGGTGTCCCAACACTCTGCTCTTCTCCGAGGACGTCACCTGGATGGCATTTGGACCAACCTGGAATACACATGCAACACAAACAAGTGTGAGGGTACATAGAGATTACATCAACAGTGGAGGTCAGATACCATTTATTTTACATGTTTTTTCAAAACTTATCTAACACTGCAGCATTGGAGTTGGTTGACATCCCCCTGCCATACTTCTTCTCAGGAAATAACAACTAATTACTTGACAAGTCTAAGGCTAAAAAAAATAATAGTCTTGGTTCTCAGGCACTGCCCGCATCATTATAAAGTCCCCCCACCAAAAAAAACCAAAAAAACAAAAAAACACTGCCCGCACTATATTTTCAAAAGCCATTGCCTGAGAACCAAATCTTTCATTTTTTTAAGCCTAAAGAAACTATTTCACCGATCGATATTTGGTGAAGATGGGCATGAGTGACAAGTATGATCTAATGATGTTAATGTTGCCAAGGAAACGTTAAATCACAGCGGAGGTAACTTTAACAGCATCACGACGTCAGCCCATTATGACAACACTAAAAAAGAATACTGTATTGTAAGATAAAGTACCTTCAGCGCCTTTGATCATTTTGCAAAGAATCTTACAAAAGTCAAGCTATGTTGGCATCGGAGTCATTTAATGAAAGTTTACCTTTATGGCAACCTTAGTGTCTTTATGGGAAAGCTTGAGAGCATTGTTGAACACTCTGAGATCCTCCTCCAGGGAGACAGTTGTCCCTGGCAACTTCTGCTGGTCAGGGTCGATGTATTCGTTCAACTTGGCCGGATGATCGATGAAGTTAAGCTTCCGGTTGTTCTGTCAAGAAAGACGCTTACATTCTTATACCCCCTTGAAGTGCAGCTGCTACTGTACGATGTAGTAATAGTCAAACTTGAAGATGTATAGTGAGATTGTAACCAATTGTTCAGATGTGATCAGCAATGTTTCTCTGCTTGTTTACATCTGGACGCACAGGAAAGAAGTGATGGTTTCCCACCCGGCGCATGCGCAGTTGCGTTTCCTGTCAGGGATAGGATTTACCTCACAACTATATAGATAGATTGACAGCAAAGAGGACGTCTGTTGACAATTTAAATTGATGTATAGTGTGATTGACAGCCAAAATATGAACTTATGGCAATGATGTAATAGAGGTAGGGTGTTCAAAGGAAGTGGACATTTATAATTCATTTCAGAGTGAGTGTTATAGGACTGAGGAACCTGGATTTGACACCGCTCAGTGTTAAAGTATATCAAACAAAATCAAAGTGCTCAATTCAGTTTGACTGTTGTTTAACACTCCAGTCAGCAATATTCCAACAATGTCACAGCATCCTAAAGGTAATCAAATCTAGGCAAGAAAAAACAGTGTTTGACATCACATCACACCTTCTGGATCAACAAGCCACAGCATTTGATCAAATTAGGCTGCCATTTTGGACAAAAAATTGAGATGAAATGGCGAAAAAGGTGAAATGGTTTACAACTGTGTTCAAGATTACTGCCGAGGTCAATTAACATGATCCATGACAACAAGTTGAGTGAATTCACCGGAAGCAGCCAACAAGCTTGATAAAAACAAAACTTAGCTTACAACTGTAATATCCCTAAAGAAAAATGTTACAAACCTGTCAAGATCTGGGTTCGAATAGGTTTTCAGCAACCCATGCCTGATGTAAGAGCCGACTAACAGGATCGGGTGGCCCAGCTCGTTGACTTGGTTGATGCATGTCATTGTACCTCAATTGATGCTCATGATATCAATCACAGACCGTTGTCATACAGCTAGAATATTGCTGAGTGCGGAGTTAAAGAATAAACAAATGTTACAAGTGTTAATCCACTTACATAGTTGACGCGTAGAGGTGCGAGGATGCGATCGTGATACTTGGTGTATTCGCGTACCCAGGAGTTGCAGTTGTAGATGTAGGCGGCGACGATGTTCTGGTACACGTTCTCTGGCATCACCACAAACCACTTTGACAGGAAGTCGGTCTGAAACAAACAACAAGTAGACAGACTCACACAACCCTTGAACCTGGGCACGGTACCACAGTGCCTCATCAGTCAAAACATTTAAATGGAAGGTGATCAAAATTACAGTTTGATTGATAGGACAAAATGAAAGAATAATGAAAAGAACATTTGCACATTACATCATATACTACTCAAAGAAGTTAAAGAACACTCAAGAATACTTTTTCATATTACTATAGTTATTCTGTCACTCAGTTCTTTCATATTACTAAAGTTATTCTGTCACTTGATGCTTTACTTGGTGAGAATGTTAGCAAGAAGCAGATAAATATTTAGTTTGTTAGCATACAGGGTACATTGCATTCATACAAAATCCAGTCACCATCACACTAAGACCAGAATATAGCATTAAGCTTACTAGATATTACAATACTCTGGAGGAACCTTCACCAGACATACAAGCAGAGCAGCACTCACCAATCATGCAGAGCAGAGCTCACTAATCATGCAGAGAAGCACTCACCAATCATGCAGAGCAGAGCGCACTAATCATGCAGAGCAGCACTCACCAATCATGCAGAGCAGAGCTCACTAATCATGCAGAGAAGCACTCACCAATCATGCAGAGCAGAGCTCACTAATCATGCAGAACAGAACTCACTAATCATGCAGAGAAGCACTCGCCAATCACGCAGAGCAGAACTCACCAATCATGCAGAGCAGCACTCACCAATCATGCAGAGCAACACTCGCCAATCATGCATAGCAGCACTAGCCAATCATGCAGAGCAACACTCGCCAATCATGCATAGCAGCACTAGCCAATCACCCAGAGCAGCACTAGCCAATCACCCAGAGCAGCACTCGCCAATCATGCAGAGCTGCACTCACCAATCATGCAGAGCAGAACTCACCAATCATGCAGAGCAGAACTCACCAATCATGCAGAGCAGCAATCACCAATCATTCTGAGCAGAACTCACCAATCATGCAGAGAAACACTCACCAGTCATGCAGAGCAGCACTCACCAACCATGCAGAGCAGAACTCACCTATCATTCTGAGCAGAACTTACCAATCATGCAGAGCAGAACTCACCAATCATCCAGAGCAGCACTCACCAATCATGCAGAGCAGCACTCGCCAATCATGCAGAGCAGCACTCACCAATCATGCAGAGCAGAACTCACCAAGCATGCAGAGAAACACTCACCAATCATGCAGAGCAGAACTCACCAATCATGCAGAGCAGCACTCACCAATCATGCAGAGCAGAACTCACCAAGCATGCAGAGAAACACTCACCAGTCATGCAGAGCAGCACTCACCACCAATCATGCAGAGAAGATCATGCAGGAGAATAAACAGTGGAACATACCATACTTACCCTGAATCGGTTCTCAGAGCATGTGTGGGTGAAGTCTATGACCAGCTCGAAGGGCTTGTGGTAGAAGGGCTTGAGAGTGAGCAACACGTGGTAGATCAGAAGATCACCATTAATTTCACCAACTCTGAAACAGGAGTGAGGGAGTTGGTTTTAGAGTCCCTTTGAACACTATTCCTGTTATATCACAGCGTGTCAGCTTGATGTGGGAGGAAAGCCCGAAGTGACGCAGGTCTCACACTTTTACCACTTTGGTGAAGCCCACGAGCATGGCGATGGTACTGACCTAGAAACACTATCAGGGCGAACCAGCATTCTAACCCACCATCATAGGTTTCTGGTGTGCCCAAGGTACAAATGAACTCTCTACACAGCAAATTGTGTCACCTTAGGCGACTGCCCCCGCCACCCGCCACACCCCAGTCTTTGAAGGAAGAAGCAACATTGGCAACACCAGATGTTTTACAGATGGATAGAAAGTCAAAAGATCACAAAACATGAATACATGAACACCGCTGGTAAATACCCAGTAGAAATGAGTATTCTAAGTTTCCAATTTTAAACTGGAGACCCAAGCAGTTACTGACTTGTATCTCCTGGCGATGTAGTAGAAGACAGGATTTCCTCCCTTGCTCGTTCCTGCCTGATAGAAGATGTGTTGGTTCTTCAGAGACTTGAACTCATCCTTCTCGTGCATGTTGTGCTTGGACATGATCTCCTCAAACTTGGTGCTTGTCATGTCCATACTGCTCCACCTTGTGGCAGACAAGGGAAGGAAATACATGTAGCAGTTATACAAGTGAGAAAGTTTTACCATTATTCCAGCCATATCAAAGGTGTTACACATTATACCCAGGTGGCGAGTGGAACCCAGGCCTTTGGTGTGCCGAACCAACACAATGACCACAAATCTACCCAACCACCCCTACAGCAATACATTATTGGCAACCTTACTAGGGCCAGACATTTTTCAAACTTGGATTACGAATCCACCGACTCCCAAAACTGAAATGTGAAAAAAATAAAATTGAAATGCAATGGGTTTCTTAATTCTTCTGACCTGAAATAAGTAAAATGTAGCAAAATAAGTCGCTATCAAACTAAATAAAATATTTCAAATACTATCATTAAAACCTATTGAAAATTTATCTTAAAACTACTTAACATTTTGAGGAAATCAAGAAGAAGAATTTGAGGAAAAAAACTTAAAAATATAAAAAAAGACAAAAAGTAGTGTCCATCTATTGTAAACGACATTTATCATCAGCAGAAACCTCACATTTCCAGTCTCTGTTGCTGGTTTCCTTTTTAAGAGCTTGGTCTACCGTTCATTCAACCCAAGATTTTACAAATTTGGAAAAGAAGAAATGTTTTGAACACTTTTCTCCTGCCAACACTAACCAATTAATATATAAATATAATAAAGTTATAGGACAATATGAGAAGGGCTGTAACTATTTGACTGTGCATTAAAAGCACCCAGCTCCAATAAGTGCCCCCTCCCCCAGCCAACTATCATGTCACCTCTTATGACCAACGATAGGTTGCTGAGGACATTCTCTGATCCAGATTCCACAGGGGTTCAATGTGTAGCTGTGTCCCTTACGAACCTAAGACTGAAACAAAACCTCCGTTATTCCCACTGTTCGTTTTGTTAGTTTCTGGTATAACACTGCACTCAGCAATATTCCATGAAATTACATAGGTCTGTAAATAATTGAGTCTGGACAATCCAGTGATTGATCACACTGGACACAATGATATACAGCAACAAGTCAGAGAACCTGACCATTAGTCGCCCCTTATGACAAGCAAGGGTTGCTGAAGACCAATTATATCACAGATTTTAAACCACTTATTTAAATGTAACCAAAATCTATATGACCTTTCCATGTGCTGAATTCTATTTTGATGATACTGCCTTAATAAATTAATGTAATGTTCATCCCTGTGACCACACATCAATATATTGTCTACAAGAACATACAAAGAAAATTGGTATGTGTTCACTTCCTTATTAGCTCTTTGAAATACACTGAGTTTTATAACACTTTCAGCCATGTTCCAGCCATATCATGGATGGCAACAGCAATAATCGGCTTCACACATTACTAGTGTGGCAGAATCCAACCCAAGACTTTGCCATGATGAACACTTTATCCCCTAGCCTACTAAAAGCTCAAAGATTGTTGTTTGTTGTTTGGTTGTACTCCACAATATATCTGCTATAGATTGTCTGTAAATAATCGAGTTTGGACCAGACAATGCAGTGATTGGTATCATGAGCATCGATCCACACAACAAAGAGATACAATGACATGCAATCAACCAAGCCACAGAGCCCGGCCACCCGATCGCCTTCAACGACAAGCATAGGTTACTGGGGACCTGTGTTCTTACCTGGACCCACTTGTACAAAGCGATCTTAGTGCTAAGATGATCGAAACTCCCATGCTTTAACATAGGCTTACGTTGGTCTTAGCGCTAAGAGCACTTTGTGCAAGTGGGCACTGGAATCCCAACAGGTGTATGTAGGATGATGATGATGATGATGATGATGATGATGATATAATGACTCTATTTAGTTTTCTGTGAGACATGGGGACTGTTTGATAACTAATGTTAAGATGTGGGCTACATAAGCAATGAGAAGCAAGCTAGATCCCAAACCTGCAGAAACACATCTAGCGAACAGTTCTATTTCCTTGTAACAACACTACTGTTCTGGGTCCACTTGCACAAAGCTATCTTAGCGCTAAGATGACCGTAACTCCCATACTTTAACATAGGCTTACGATAGTCTTAGCGCTAAGATTAATTTGTGCAAGTGGGCCCAGGTCTTCAAGAGGAAATGAGGGTCTTCTGCATTGCTAGTACACCAGTGGCAGAAAGGTGTGTCAGCATTCATCGATGCAATATGGATATGATGGCACCTGAGTGTTTGTTTGTTTGTTTGTTGTTTAACTCAGCAATATTCCAGCTACATGACAACAGTCTGTAAATAATCAAGTCTGGACCAGACAATCCAGTGGAATTGGAATCTGATGACATGCATCAACCAAGTCAGCAAGCCTGACCAACCGATCCCAATAGTTGCCTCTTCTGACAAGCATGGAAGACCATGCTGAAGACCAATTCTATCCCTGATCATCACGGGTGGCAGCAGAGTGAATGATCTTTGACATCATATGCAGCTATATTCCAGCCATATCGCAGGAGGGGGGTACACGAGAAATGAGCTTCACACCGTCTCCTTGGAATAGTATTGGGTTTCCAACTAAACTTAGATTCATGGATGTAAAACCTGATTTTGAAGTGTTGCTGACACTTCTCAGACACATGAAGGAGAGTAAAGACCAACCATGACATCCAAACCCACACAACACCCAAACCCACACGACGTCCTTTCCCACACAACACCAAAACCCACCCACCCACACGACACCCAAACCAACACGACACCCAAACCCACCCACACGACACCTAAACCCACCCACCCACACGACACCCAAACCCACCCACCCGATACCAAAACCCACCCATACGACACCCAAACCCACCCACCCGACACCCAAACACACCCTACCTATCATACATTATGGTGATATGGTCATGTGTACCACATCTTCTAAAAATTCGGTATCCACCCTGCATACACTCAATATGCTGGCACTTGACATTATTTGGAGGAAACATTGTTACAAAGGAGACAGTTCACTCACTGAGAGTCTAGGGGCCGATGCTCTGGGGGGCCCAGATACGCCAACAGTGTTGCCATTTTGTCAAATGGTCGTCTTCCCACAGCCTTGTGATCCCTGAAATAAACTTGTCTAACTCAGGGAGCATTTGGGTTTGTATGTCTCACTCACAGCAATCTACAACAATGGCTCCAATTTGACATCAAAGTCTCTAATTGGCATCAATGATATTTTTTTGTTCAAATTGCTCAATACTGATTAACTGTCTCGGAGACTGAGAGAACAGGCGTCTTCTACTACAGACATCCAAATGCTCCCTGAATAGGAAAATTATTATCACTTCAAATTCTTAACAGTGTCAAACTAAAATATAAAAGCATGATGGTACTTTGAATTGCAAACTAAAGTGGTTACTGGACTAAATCAGGGCAACTAGACACAGGCTACTGTCGAGACTAGGGCTATATGCAAACTACACTGAGGAGTGCTAGATCAGGTGTGAAAGACTCAGATCTACGAAGTACTCGGATCCACAGGGGATTCTCAGAATTATGGAACATTTTTTTTCATATTTGGCAGAACTTATTTGCATGGCTACAATCCTCATGAATGATGAAGACGTACGTTGTATATATATCGACTTCTTAACTCTAAAATATTAAGTGAGAGTTAAGGTGACAGGTGTAAGGTAGAATAGGAGAAACAAGATAGAATCTGAACCAGAAAACCGATGCTGCGTCCCTTGATAATGGTGCATCACTATGATGTCATCCCCTCTATCATATCATGTGGGAGTAAGGTTAATATGGGAATGATGGTACAGAGGGCATGATGTCATGCAGTGAGTGATGTCATAGTAGAAATGACATTATAGAAGAAAGGATATAATAGTGGGAAGGATGTCACAGAGGGAAGGATGTCATTAAGAGAATGATGTCACAAAAGGAATTACATCATAGTGGGCCTGTCACAGATGGAATGTCATAGTCATAGTGGGAATGATGTCATAGTGGGAATGTTGTCATAGAGAGAATGATGTCAGAGAAAGAATGTTGTCATATTAAGTATAATGTCACAGGGAAAATGTCATAGTGGGAATGTTGTCATAGAGAAAGTGATGTCATAGACGGAACAATGTCAAAGCGGGAACGATGTCATAGAGGGCACAACATCATAGTGGGAATGTTGTCATAGAGAGTTTGATGTCATAGAGGGAATGATGTCATAGAGGGAATGTTGTCATAGAGAGAATGATGTCATAGAGGGAATGTTGTCATAGTGGGAATTTTGTTACAGAGAGTTTGATGTCACAGAAGGAATGTTGTCATAGTGGTAATGTCATAGAGGGAATGATGTCATAGAGAGTTTGATGTCATAATGGAAATGATGTAGTAATAGGAATGTTGTCATAGGCAGAATGATGTCACAGTGGGAATGTTGTCACAGAGAAAATGATGTCATAGAGGCAACAATGTCATAGAGGGCACGACATCATAGTGGGAATGATGTCATAGAGAGAATGATGTCATAGAGGGAATGTTGTCATAGTGGGAATTTTGTTAAAGAGAGTTTGATGTCACAGAAGGAATGTTGTCATAGTGGTAATGTCATAGTGGGAATGTTGTCATAGAGAGTTTGATGTCATAGAGGGAATGATGTCATAGAGGGAATGTTGTCATAGAGAGAATGATGTCATAGAGGGAATGTTGTCATAGAGAGAATGATGTCACAGAAGGAATGTTGTCATAGTGGTAATGTCATAGAGGGAATGATGTCATAGAGAGTTTGATGTCATAATGGAAATGATGTCATAATAGCAATGTTGTCATAGGCAGAATGATGTCACAGTGGGAATGTTGTCACAGAGAAAATGATGTGATAGAGGCAACAATGTCATAGAGGGCCCAACATCATACTGGGAATGATGTCATAGAGAGAATGATGTCATAGAGGGAATGTTGTCATAGTGGGAATTTTGTTAAAGAGAGTTTGATGTCACAGAAGGAATGTTGTCATAGTGGTAATGTCATAGAGGGAATGATGTCATAGAGTTTGATGTCATAATGGAAATGATGTCATAATAGAAATGTTGTCATAGGGAGAATGATGTCACAGTGGGAATGTTGTCACAGAGAAAATGATGTCATAGAGGCAACGATGTCACAGAGGGCACGACATCATAGTGGGAATGATGTCATAGAGAGAATGATGTCATAGTGGGACTGATGTCATAGTAGGAGTTATGTCAGAGAGAATGATGTCATAGTGGGAATGATGTCAGAGAGAATGTCATAGTGGGAATGATGTCATAGAGAGAACAATGTCATAGAGTGAATGATGACATAGAGGACTTGACACCAAAGTGGGAATGATGTCATAGAGAGCATGATGACATAGTAGGAATGATGTCATAGTGTGAATGGTGTCAGAAAGAATTATGTCATAGTGGGAATGTTGTCAGGGAGAGAATGATGTCTTAGATGGAATGATGTTGTAAAGGGCATGATGTCAGAGTGCATGATGTCATAAAGGGCATGATGTCAGAGTGCATGATGTCATAGAGGGCATGATGTCAGAGCGTATGATGTCATAAAGGGCATGATGTCATGGTCGGCATGATGTCATATTGGAAATGACATCATAGAAGGAATGACATGCAGGAACTGACATCTTCTTGAAGTCATATGACAATGAGTATATTTGCATATTGTATATTTCTGCCATGTATTAGCCAAACTGCCATGGATTAGAGACGAGCCGTAGATCTGAGTCCTACACACATGCAGAGGAGAGTGAGAAGCACACAACAGCTGTAGGGGTAATGAAGTGAGAGAGAGAGTAGCTCCACAGGAACAACAAGCACGCCAGGAACTTCAGAGGGTCTCAAAATCACCAGTTTCTTTCCAATTCAAAGTAAATTCTGTCAAGTCTCAGTTATCTTCCCGAGGCAAGAGTGTTCGTCCACTAGCCTTTTTATCAAAGTCTTGTAGAAACTAGGATTTGATATAGGCTAGTGGACACACTTGCCTGGGAACATGAGTCTCAGTCGAACGTCTAATGTCAGCATTTCTTTCTGGAATGATCCTCAAGTAGACGAAATGTGACTGAAAAGTATTTGTTGCTCATGGCCCCATCCCAGCTGGTTGAACCGTTGCTCAGTTCTAGCTCCGAAGAAAGTGAGCAATAGTCCACACCATAACTATAACACAGTACCAGACCTCCTTTCTAGTTTGGCATTGTCCACAGTGAGTGGGTTGGACTTAACGCTGCTGTGAACGTTTACATTTGTAATATCAAGCCAGGTAAGCTTGACATGTGATTTTGTTTTTGTTTTCGTTTTGTTTGTTGCTTAACGCCGCACTCAGCAATATTCCGGTTATATGACAGCAGTCGTTATATAATCGTGTCTGGACAAGACAATCCAGCTATTGACATCATGAGCATGCATCAACCAAGTCAGCAAGCCTGACCACACAATCCTGTTAGTCGCCTCTAATGACAAGCGTGGGTTGCTGAAGACCAATTCTAACCAAGATCTTCACGGGTCTCTTGATGTGGGAGGAAAGCCCAGGGTGCAGCAGGCTCTGAACATACCCGGGGGCCAAGTGGCCCAGTCGCCTAAGGAGCCGCAATTCGCTGCTTTTTATGTCAACTTCTTTATTATGAGGCACACTACATTTCTGAGTATATACTTACTCCTTCATCAGGTAAATAAATGCAGAGAACATATATATGTACCTGTAAGAACAACAAAAGTAATAACATTACAAAGGTGGAAACTTAACAAGGGAAGCCAACAGCTAATTGATAGGTGATTAGCTAGAGACTTTTGATCTTACAGGTACATATAAAACTCTGCTTCATAGAATTTATTCACCTGATGAAGGGGTAAGTATATACTCCAAAACATTGTGTTCCTCATAATGAAGAAGTTGACATCCATAAATTCTCTCCTTATGTGTTTCACTTCTAAACTCCATTCAAAGACTTCTGTGAAACTCATGAGAGTGGTGCTGACAAAATAAAAACGATAAAAGGAAATCTGGAATTTGAACATACGATCATTAGATTCTGGCACAACTAAGGGATGCAACTCTGCATAGCAATTTGCGGCACCTTAGATGACTGTGTTGCCTATGCCTCCATCATTGTCCAGAATGGTTCCTTCCAAAACTGAATGACTCCTCACTATCATAACATTGTATACAACTGCTGCTGTCATGTTATCACCTGCACAATCCGAGTGAGAGAGTGAGTTGGGTTTAATGCCGCTTTAAACAGTATTCCAGTTACATCACGGTGTGTCAGCCTGATGTGAAGAGTTGCATCCCTTGGACATGCCAGAAACCTTTGATTGTGGGTTCGAATCCCGGTTCACATCAATAAAGTTTCGAGGTTTGTCAGCACCATACCCGTGCTCGTGGGTTTCACCAAAGTGGTAAACGTCTAAGACCTGCATCACTTCGGGCTTTCCTCCAAAGCTGACATGTCGGGATATATAACTGGAATATTGTTCAAAGCGATGTTAACACCAAACCCAAAGCTAAAAGCTCTTTAAAGCTCTATCACATAGGTCAGCACAAATAGATCACGTTGACATTAGGCAGATAAACAAAGGGGTTGGTAACAATTTTGGGGTAAAATATGGTATACTTCTACGTATGCTTGGATGCCTGGTTACATCCCAGTGAGTCCAGGGTCAGGATGCACGACTACAGGGAACATGCACTCTGCCCCTCCAGGCCTTTGTCCTAGGCTCAACAATTACCAAAGTCTTTCCCCAAAAACTAGTCATACATGCAGTCAGCACTGTGCTGAATATAAATTGAAGTTGTTTACAATAACACATTCTATGAAAATTATCCAGATTTTTGCGACCTGTTCCAAAAACGTGTGAGTCTGCTGGTCTGAATTTGTCTCATGACATCATTTTCAGTAGATTTTAGTGTTAATGAATGGACTTTATCAGCAAAGCTTACCAGACCAAAATAAATTTAGTGGCTAAAGTCACAGACTTTCTTTGCACAAGCCCTCATTCATTTTGTTGTCTTATGTTCTCAGTTGGGTAGTAACTATACTAGGTGAGGTGAGACGAAGTGGGGTTTAACGTTGCGTCCAAGATTATTGCACTTATAAAGCAACGTGCATGCATATGGGAGGGGGGGTTACTAGGTACGGGACCAATGCCGAGTTTATAGTGCTAGGCCACTGAGGTACCATGCCACAGTTTAACATGAATACCCCACTCAGACACAGTTTACTGACTGAGCTGACCAGTCCTTGTTTTAGCCCCTTAATGCAGAGTGCCAGGCAGGGAAACAACAAGTACCATCTTTCAACATCCTTTGGTAAGACGCGGCAGGAGATGGAACCCCCAACCATCCGCTCTCCAGGCGGACGCTCTACCACGAGAGCACGGAGGCAGTCTAGAGACCTGACTGATCAAACATGATTCTTAAAGATTATCATATTTCCATTCTTGGAAACTTAATACTTATAGAAATACCAGAGGCAATCAAACTGAAAATTCAAAATTTCCACTCACAGAGTTAGACAAGGGGGGCTATTGGGTCCTTGTGGTTTACTGCTCACAAACAAATTTCTCAGGACCCACTAAATCTGTAATTTAAAGTGTCATGACAAGGACACCTGGACTTTAATCATACATTTTGGACACTGAAAAAGGATATTGTAACATTTTCCAAACCATGACGTTGACCACTGAATTCTTACTACTTGAATATTAGGGCCCCAATCCACAAAGTGTTCGTAGCTGTAATACACCCATAAGTCAGTGTTAATCAAAAGAGCTACAATAGTTTATCACTACGAACACCTTGAAGGGTTTGAAATGAACATGCCGGTAAGTACAGAAGTACAGGGTGAGTAAAATATAGGAAGGACAAGTGACATTTCCTTGTGGACTACCACTTTAACCAATAGGTAAATAGCAACTCCGGACCAGATCACTTTAAAAAATAAATGAAAATAAATTCATTTCTAACCCTTCTTTGTGGAACAGGGCCCAGGTTAATATCAGGAGCAGGTACAACGCAACAGTCAGCACTTTAACAGATGGCCAGGTACACAAAGGCAGTGAAAGGGGCTAGGCTGAGAGGAAGGCAGGGGTTAGAGCAAGATGATGTTAGCATACATACAGGCGAGCCGGGCCGTCCCCAGCCTCACATACGTAATTCTCCGTGTGAACCTCCAGACTACAACAGATAGTTACACTTTCAAAATGGCCGCTGGAGAAAGCTTACAGATGGCTAGTGACGGAAACAAACATCCTGGATGTAGTACATGATGCAATGATGCTGCTGCAACTCTAGATGAACCGGCAAAATTGGGTAGATCACACATAATGTTAAACTATAAAATGTTGATGAGATGAAAACTTTCAAAATTTCAACTGCCACTTGATCATGTAGAGAAAATTTGATCAAATTGATCTTACTGATACTGGTTGTGGAAGAACATGGATGATTAATAGTAATGATTTCAATTTTTAAACTTGGATATAAAAATGTAAAAATTATTATGATTGTTATCAAAATATAGGTCACATTTATGATACTTTGCACGACAGCAAAATATGTAAACATGCTACCACGACATTGTACACCATGAACACAGGTACGTAACGAATGGAGATTCTAGTGGTGTCCACAGGACTGATGCTAGAACATAAAACTAACTCAACAGTGGTTTTCTGACAAGTAGCATCTGACTTCATTGTGATTTGTTAATAGTACGCAAACACTCAAGGCCCTAACTCTGCACACAGAAAACAGACATAGACATCATGCACATATAAAACCACAGCGTGCTTGCATGCTGGACTTCCTTAAAAATTCTATTCTTGGTTCCCAAGACATTTAAAATCTGCATCCATCACCATCATGAGAGGTCTTTGTTCTACTTCAAGACAAATGGATGATGTTAGGAGTATTTCTTTTCAAACGAAAAAACAATCTGTTGTAAATTACATCCTGAGGACCCAAAATCTTTGTTTAGCCTTAATGGAAAATACAGAACAACTTCACATCAAACAGAAACAAAATTGAATATTTTGATACTGTGTACAGTAGTGTATGTTATTAAATATTTATTATCTAAAGTCAAAATATATATTTACATTTTCAAAAAAAAATTAACTTTTATTTTTTTATTTTAAACATAAGTTTCTTAAATGATCTGAACATCCTCTATAATTTTCATCACAAATATCTGAAGTGAAAATAATTTACCCAAACAATTTTTTTCCCCCTATGCTCAAAAAAGAAAAGTATTGCCAAGTGTCATGCAAGAATAGCAGGGTTCCATGCAACAGGAAACATCCCTAACAAGCTGTGATGTCCCAAAAACTCAATATCCATATTCATATGTAAACAACAAATACACTAACACATGATCTGTAACAGGAGTAAAACTTACACTACCGCTCTTTCAGCAGATTTATCAAATTCTCATTAAAAGAAGATCTGCCGCTAAGCGAAGATCTGAGGACATCCATTATGGGACACGTCAGAACCACATTTCATCTGACCAATAAAAGTGTCGTTTACCAGACTGGTACAGTGACAGTCGGAACATTGTTTTAATCATGCTGCTTTGAGAAGGTTAACATGGCTTATTCCGAAATGACAGTTACGGGCTGTACGAAGGATTCCTTCAAAATCATCGTCCGTCTTTCGCTTCAATGGGATAAACAATTGAAACAAGGGACTTTTCACAGCCCGTGCCATAACATCTCAGCCATCTATTAGACATTCCAGAATTTTCATTCATTCACTTTTCAAGTTTTGAATCGATATTTTTGAAGCGCAGTCTGGAACAGAAATTGTCAGTTTGATACTAGTGCTGTAAAGCTTCAGAATTCTGCTTTCTGATTGGCTAATGTCAACTTCTTGTTAGTCACTTCATTGTTGGGTCAAAGTTCGCAAAAGCTCGTTCCGACATGACCTGTAATGGGATGTCTTCAGATCTTTGTGTAGCGAGCACTAAGATCTGATTTTAATGAGATTGGCACATTTTGGTGATCTTTAGAAAACCAAAACATCGAAGATCTATAATTTATCCACTTGATACTTCTATTCATCTGAATAATGCTTAACATCCACATTTCCAATCAATGTTTGCACATAAAACAAGAAATGTTTAAACTTAATGAACATCCTTACAACTGAAAAGCAAGTTTTCAAAAAAATCTTTTTCATCCCCAAATTGAAAAGAATTATATCTATATTTATATTTAAACAGGAGTTGCATATTTACCACATCACATTCATACACCATGCATGTTGTACCAACACATGTTCAGTTTCTAAATAAAATGGATTTACAAAACAAGCCTATATTCAACTCCCCCAATTACCCAGTGTATGTTATCTCCTTTTTATTCTGTTATATACCCTGGAGGCCTGGACCCATTCACAGCCAGAGTTTGTTCTGAAATGGCTCACCATTTCCATCCATCCCTCCCTCTCATCACCAACATGGCACTTAATTTCTGGCGCTCATGAGCATGGAATCAACAACAAATCAAATGCCTCTTCAGAACAAGACTTATAAATATCTTTTAGAAGCTGTGTATTCAGAGAGTTGGAAGGAGCCCTTATGAGGGTCCTGATGGGTGGGTCCCATAAGCAGTAAGCAGTAAAATTTAGGGTACTTTTTCATTAAGCAGTAATTTTTCTTCTTGTTCAATAAAATCGCCACGAAAAATTCCTAAATCGGCCATGGAGGGACATGGGACTTTTAATTCTGCTTTCGTTTCATCCTGACAATTCATATTTTTAATACCTGGTAAAATTTCAAATCGCTAAACATTCTAGACTGGTCCCCTGCATCAGTTGCGCAGCCTGCTTTCTGTGGCGAAGCATCTGGGTCTTGAAGACAGACTGTTTTTGACCATTTTAATCATTTTACGATAAGCAGTAAATTACATGTATTTATTTACGTTAAGCAGTTATTTTTTGGTATTTTACGATAAGCATTTACGATAAAAATAAAAAAAATGAATTTTACGTTTCCAATAGTGTTTGAAGGGTGTTTTACGTTAAGCATTAAAACCCATCAGGACCCTCCCTTATCCTATCAGGACTTCCCAGTTGTTTGTTCAATTCGCCATGCTCAGCAATATTACAGCTAAATGACAGCGGTCTGTATATAATCAAGTCTGGGCCAGACAATCCAGTGATCATCACGAGCATCGATCTACGTAATTGGGATACAATGACAAGCATCAATCAAGTCCCGTTAGTCGCCTCTTACGACAAGCATGTGTTACTGAAGATCAGTTCCAACCTGGATCCTCAGAACGAAGCTTCAGTGGCAAATTGATCCTGGGTGATTACAAAGATAGCTAGCTAAAATGGAGACACAATACACTGAATAGTCAAGGTTGATATCCAAAGTTACACAACAAGAACATGGAACACGAACTGACATCTCATTCCTCAGACAAAGTGTTATTGTTATAAAGACTACTCTAAGCCAGTATTAGTACTAAAAGACCCTACACGATTTCTTTTCATCAATTTTGTTTCATGAAACCAATGTAATTTGGAACAGAAAATATTCTGTTGAAGCAAAGAAACAAAATCCTACAGTGAATTAAAATTTTTGTTCCTAAACCAAAACTCAAAATGATAATAACTTCATCTGACAATGTAGTCCTTCTCGACAGTCATCTTCCCGAGGCAAGAGCGTCAACTAGGCTTTCCATCAGCCATGTTTCCACCCTTGCCACATCAAGCCCTCTTTCCTGTGCTAAATATGATTGGACTATCACACATATCAATAGTCCAATCAGAGAATGTTTCACAAAATCAACATCTACGAATGTTACACCTTCGTATGAAAGTGATTTAATGCTGGAATATGTCTTTTCCATCTTTTTAACCCACCCCCTTGATTGCTTATGTTTTTGTGTCAGAGATAAAATTGTGAATGTTATCGTTGTCTGAGCGAGTTGGTCGTCGCCATGTTTTGTGAAGCTATACAAGATAAGGACAGCAATCTGATTGAATATCGCATTTTCATTACAACTCGTGATCTACGCGTGAGGTGGCGCGGGGGTCGAGCCAAGAAAAGTGGCCTTGATGTGGCAAAGGTAGAAACTAGGCTTTGATATATGCTAGTGGTCACGCTTGCCTCGGGAAGAAGCACAACAGGGGGAGAGTTTAGTTTTCCAGTTTCTCTAAAACAGTTAAATTTGTTTTTACTGCAAAAATCAACTATAACAATAACAATAACTGATATATATATATATATAATACGCTACCCATTTGGTACAGTCCAATGAGAACACACACAGTGATGACAAACTTCAACATACAATCATGTTAAATATCACCACAATGTTGAAACAGTGACACTTCCCAAGGGAGGTAACTCTACACACCTGCTGCTGGAAAGGTAATCCCCGATTTTCTCTTGGTTATTCCACAGTAACCGATGTAACGCGATGACATTTGCATCGTTGATGAAAGACAAACTGTGGTTCCCTGCATCAAGCGTCTCGCAGTCCGATGCAATCTCCGTAAAAAATCTAAAACAGCAATGTCCACAATATTTCCATACATTATATTATACATTATTATATTACAAATCTGCATAGAGCACTTTCCAAAAAATACCTGCTCAAATGCTCTTAGACCATGACCTCATTATTACCCTGGTCACTCGATCAGTTTGAACTTGATTTTCATTCTCAGCTCCTTGGGGAGGATATAACCCGAAGGGCCTGCCAGTTGCTCAAAGTTAACAGTTTGTTTGTTGTTTGTATGTTGTTTAACACCCCATTCAGCAATATTCCAACTTTATGACGGCGGTCCGTAAATAATTCAAAAAGTTGTATTCCAAGTAATTTGGAAATGGTATTCCAGGTAATTCGGAAGTGGTATTCCAGGTAATTCAGAAGAGGTATTCAGTGTAATTCAGAAGCTGTATTCCTGGTATTTCGGAAGTGATATTCCAGGTAATCCACCAGTGGTAATTCCCATTCTATTTTTAATAAGTCAAGGCAATACCGTAAATTATCAGACCTTGTTGGCCAATGAATATGACGGATATCTTTGGATTATATAATAATTGCTAAAACTGCCCAAACAATACTGTCAACGTAATCTGAGCTCTCATTGGTCACAGCAGTCACTAGTTCCTTCTCACTGAAACAAGGCAGTGGCTTGATTGGTTGGTTAAAAATAACTGACAACCGTGTTCACACGTGATAAGGAACATAGTGTACATAACTGGTTTGTTTGTTGTTTAACGCCGCACTCGGCAATATTCCAGCTATATGACGGAGGTCTGTAAATAATCAAGCCTGGACCAGACAATCCAGTAATTAATATCATGAGCATCGATCCACGAAATTGGGATCGATGACATGCATCAACCAAGTCAGCGAACCTGAGCACCCGATCCCGTTAGTCGCCTTTTACGACAAGCAAAGTCACCTTTTACGGCAAGCATGGGTTGCTGAAGACCTATTCTACCCCGGAATCTTCACAGGTCTAGTGTACATAAACCAATGAAGTATTTAAAAAAGGGGAACATGTCGTTATTAACAATTTAGAAAACCATCCTGCTTACTTTCTGCCAGCCTCAAAGTTGGACTTGAGGAATTCATTGAAGGCCGTCATATGCTGCTCCTTGGTAAAGAGCAGGTGGTTGGCAATGTTCTGCATGATCTTGCACATCAGCGTCAGTCCGCGCTTGATGCGCATCGTCGGCTCCTCCTCCACGATGCCAGACTCGTACGGTGAAACTACAAACAACACGTTCAACACACCTTCCAGTTAAATGAGGAGTCTAAACAAAGTCTCGGCTATATTCATGTCTGAATCACTTGGGATTGTATTGCAGGGTTTCAATTAAGTTCAATTTTTGTGATATTGGACTGTCATAAAAAATGTCCTCAGATTATATTTATAAAATTCAAAATGTCACAGAGGACATTCCAGCAAAAGTTGATAAAATAGTGAACATGTACAATACAAATCTTTCTCAAGAAAATCACTGGTTGAATAACTTGAAATCACCAAAAAATGTTCTCAGGATGACAATGTTTTTGATTTTTTTTTGTTTTGTATGTTGTTTATCTCCGCACTCAGCAATATTCCAGCTATATGACGGCAGTCTGTAAATAATCAAATCTGTACCAGACAATCCAGTGATTGACATCATGAGCATCTATCCAAGTAATTGGGATACAATGAAATGCATTAACGAAGTCAGCAAGCCTGACCACCTGATCCAATTAGTTGCCTCTTACAACAACATAATCGCATTTTACAGCAAGCATGGGTGGCTGAAGACCTATTCTAACCCAGATAAAAACTCATTTACTGTCACTATCAGCATAAAAAAAATATTATAAAAATCTACAACTAAAACTTGTTGAAAATGTGCCATAAAAACTTCAAAATGCAGCGAATTATGATGAATCACTGTTACTCCTGAACCAACTTATTCAAAACATATATTTGAAACAGGATTTGGGGTTATTTGAAGAAGCCTATTCTAACCAGAACCCCAAATCACCAAACTGACAAAGAACAATGAGTTAATAATCAGTTGGAAGATTCTGGAATTATTCGTTACCATGGTTACTGACGAGCATATATTGTTTTACAGTAATCTAATATCATAATCTCAGCATTATCAGAAAGGCTGCCATATTTACAGACTCCACACAAAATGAGTGTTAGTGCTCATGGATGATGAATGGTTTTGATTTTGCACAAGCAGCTGTGTGGCTTCAAGGGTAAGTGCAGCCTTACTAGAAGATTAGAACAGTGGCATTAGTTGGCCAGTCACCACAATCAGCCTCAATGTTACCAATTTACCTTTGTCCAGGAGGAAATCAACAGTACCAATTTCACTTGGAAAGAAGGTATTTCAAAATAACCCCTTTGAAAAACAAATACAATCTCGACCATCCACAAAGAACACCAAACACATTTTAGTTGCACAATTACTATACACTTCACAACAAAAGCATACATCACAGTATGGCTACGAATGCAAAACCTTATCAACAAACCTCAAACACAGCTACAGGCAAAACCTAAATCAAATGACCCCCAAAACTGACTAAAGCTGTTATGACTTTGTCCGAACAGTTGTCTTTTCACGAATATAAATACATACTGACATGCATGACTTGCCATGCTTCCAATGACATGCAATACGACACATATCACATATGGCAGCTATCACTGGTATCAACTAATCTCTGTTGCATGCATGCAGATCTAAGCGCTAACTTGGGCTTTCACTCTATTGTCTCAAACATGCAACTTTCCTTCAAACAAACAAGACACCTACATTTCCTAGCTACACGTCATATCTACAACACACATATACTACTCAAAAGAAGTTAAGGAACACCCGATTTTGTCATATAACTATAGTTCATCTGTTGCCACGACAGATCAACTAAAGTCAAATGAAAAAATCGGGTGTTCTTTAACTCCTTTTGAGTAGTATATATAAAAAGTAACAATATCAAATTACTTATATGTACACCTGTTGTGCAACATTTAAACAATACATTTCTTCGTATACAATTTTAATACACTATTGTGAAATTTATGTCATCAAATCCTAATCAGTCGTTATATATTTTCGTCCATTAACTGCAAATTGTTGTGAAACAGCTAAAGCTAACAAATCTTTGATACAAATGACACCACAAAAATAATCATAAAACCTAAGTTCATGATAAAGGTCATCATTGATGCATACCGAAAGGCTTGAGGACCTAAAATATCACATGACTTTGACAAATCTGCATGTAACACCAGTGTGTTAACTACATCCTGATTGAACATGTCTCTAAACATAAATAATCTTAAATTATTCAAATAAAGTTGAACATAACCTCTGTTTTTGTAATAAAAATGCCAATCATTAACCACTTTAAATAGGGCTTTACTGTAGTATCTACAAAGATGAAAGCCATCTGTTAAACAAATCGCTTGGTATCGAAAGGTAGGGAGATTTTCTACTGCACAGGCCAATTATGTCTTATGAGTTGGTTCACAAAAAAATTGGTCTAAAATGCAGAGCAGTTGGTAAAAAAAAAAAAAAGAAAAATTTCCAAGTTCCAGATTAGCACTGCCAGGAATGAATGGAAAACAAACTCTAAAGTCAAACCATCATGGAAGTCTGATCATGAAACAATACCCAAAGAAAATTTATTGTTCTTTTGTCAGAATAAGTTAGTGAGTGAGAATGGTTTTACGCCGCTTTTAGCAATATTCCAGCAACATCACGGCAGGGGAACCCAAAAATGGGCTTCACACCTTGTACCCATGTCGGGAACCGAACCTGGGTCATCGGCGTGACGAGCGAACGCTTCAACCACAAGGCTACCCGACCGCCCCCTAGTCAGAATAAAGATTTTGATACATATTATTCGCTATTGCTTCCGACCAAGGTTGATAAAATCCTGTGTTTTTTTCAATTCACTTAATGGTAAAAGTTGGAAAATATTAGTTGTTGTTAAAAGGTTTCATTTTTTTCTTTTCTAAATTCAGGGATTTTTTTGGGTTGGATTCGTAAACCAACTAAAACTACATACAAGTCCTTTTTTTTACTTTAATTCAGGTTTTGTTGACAATTCATGAAGACTTTACTCCAGTCCCTTTGATCAGAAGCATCTCAGAAGATTGTTTAAAAACACTTGCGCAAGGACTTATCTATGGGTTAAAACCCTGCAATGGTGGAAATAGCTGGACGATGTAAGCCTCTTACTGTTTCATGACATGATCTCTTGATGGCTAAGGCACCTTTAAAACGTCCCTGAACTGAAAATGGTTTACATTATTCCGAAGTGATTTTCATGCACATCTATTCAACAGCAACACGTCGACAGAGAACCAACGAATCCAATCAAACCCACCAACCAATCACAAGACAATATCAGCAAACTCCTAACAGGGTTGAGGCAGGTGCCCCTGCAGTGTGTGGAGTTACCTATTGCAGGGTTGATGAAGCGTAGGAATATTACTGTCCCAATCACTGTCCACACTGCCTCCGCACTACTTTGTTGGAAACGCTGGGTCACCACCTGGTACAGGCAATGGCACATGCTCCGGAGTTTAGGTGGAAACCTGCATGAGCAACAGACAGCAGAGTTACTTCCCTTAGCTCTCCCACACAGCGCCACCTGTGACAACACGTGGAGCTAGCCACCACAGCACTGGAGACAAAGGAACCTGGATGTACACTGAAAGTTATTCACATGGTCAGCTGGGCATGTAACAAATTAGTAAACACATCACGTGAACAAAGCACATATTAAATCAAATAGATAATCAAGTGCCAATCATTCATTCCAAGAGATGCAAGCAGGATGGGGCTGTTAGAACACGATGGTTGATAGTATCGCTGCAGGCAGGCATGCGTAGGTGGGCGTGGCCGGGTGTGGATTCGAGCAACAGAGGCACGGGAAAGTGGACACATATGCCATAAATTCTGACATCTTATCAGCTAATGGGTAAAACAACAATTTATCAATGAAAATTCTTTACATTCATCAATAATGTTTTAGGTTCCACAACTGAAAAAATAAAACCAAAATTATTAAACTTTATGTCTCAAAAAGTTTCCGTACTTAATTCAAATGAAGTTAAAATAACAATCTGGAAAAGTACTTCCAAAAGGATAAGAGGCAACAATTTGGTCAACAAGCCAGAATTAACTTTGAGCTTAGTCTTAAGTCTGTCTACCAGAGCTAGGTTACTGGACCAGAGACATTTAAGTAGGCTGACTTGGACTTGTACCTGGAGCCCCTGGCCTATACTGTGCTTCAGGTTGTGGCCCACTCTCTGCCACGCCCCTACTACCCTGTGAGGAGCCCTACTTACAGCGGCGGGAAGTATCGGCTGACTGTGACTAGGGGAGAGAGGGGCACTATGTAGGCTGTGTGTTCAAAGACCAAGTGACATCATCATATCTCACTTGACCAAATAATGATATGATACATAAACACTTTCTAATTTATTCTGTCCCCTTAATTCAAATGTTCTGGTAACTAATTTAATTGGTTATGAAAAACACATTTGAAAATTGAAAGAAAAAACTCTTTGACTTCATGTCCTACTTGGGCTACATGTATTCAGACAAAATGTTTCCATTTTCAGTAGCATTTGAAAAGAAAGACTAAAGCATTTTTTTTTTTTATAAAATTAATTACAAATAAATGAGTGAGTGTACAAAATCATAAACATTATAGAATAAAATAGCTTAAAGTATCAGCTAATTATATATTTTTCTTCTAAAGAATAGTTATAGCCCACTATGCAAGTTCATCTTAGGAACTAAATATATATGTAGAAATTTGTATTAAATATATAAGTAGGTGTCAAATATGTATGATAAGTTTGTATTATAAGCAGAGGTCTCAAATAAATATAAGTCTGTGTCATTGCTAGAGGTTTCAAATATGCATGAGAAGTTTGTCATAAAAGTAGAGGTCTCAAATATTTATAAGTTTGTATAATAAGTAGAGGTTTCAAATATGCATAACATGTTTGTATTAAAATTAGAGGTCTCAAATATGTATAAGTTTGTATTATAACTAGAGGTTTCAAATATGCATAAGAAGTTTGTCATAAAAGTTGAGGTTTCAAACAAGTAATGACACTCCTCATGGTCTCTGAACACACGTGATGTGAGGACGATTCATGACCACAGTGAGTTATGAATGATAGAAGAATAAAGCAGCATACATGGTCTACAATATTCCATGTCAAGGCGTGGTCACATGACATGGTCACATGACCAGGACGTATGACAGTTACCTAATACTGGGTTGTAAAATCGGAGAAATATAACAGTTCCTGTTGCAGTGATCATGTCCTGCGGAAATCGGAATCCGATGACCTGACCAAGACAATGGCACATTGTCCGAAGTTTGGGAGGGAATCTGGAAACAATTGACATGCATGTTATCACAACCATAAACACTTGTCACTCACTATATTCAAATACAGAGGGCAGATAGAACGCTGGTTTAGATGATGCTGCAATTTCAAACACCAACACCACATACTGCAACAGTATTCAATCGGAATCAAGTTTGTACTGCTGTGACGTCAGTTTCCTTACCCACGTGGCTATTTTCGGGGGTTCAATCTGAATTCGCATTTATCTTGTAATACCGCAATTTTAAATAATGTTACTCTTGAAATTAACGCGAGCATGAATTAAATGCGAAAAATGTGAGTGGTCTTTGCTCGCATTAATTAATTTCACATTTATGTTTCCAAATGACTATCATCAATAAGACGCCTCACAGCACACTTTGGATAGCGGAAATAAACACAAACACGGTTTATTGAGCAGCAGTTGTAACAAGTATATAACAATGTCATTCAAAGAATAGGAATTACACAATGGGCATCCGGTGAGTTATCACTGCTGGGGTCAAGAGTTCTACCCACTCGTGCCAAGCTTGTTGACACCTTTGTATACCAATCAGAGAACTGTTGTTGGTTCATTTATTTTATTGCCTTTGAACTTCAATAATGCCAGTCAACAGAGTAAACATATACACTGTGGGTTTGTTTTAGGAAAACACTGTTTATTGTTTTTACGAAAGTGCTCTACTCAGAGATAGTAAGGGGTGCTATTTGATTGGATTAAGGTAAGGAGTGGGGGGAGTTGCATTGATATTGAGTCACATTTTTGGCTAGGGGTCAGCAGTCATATTAATTTGCAGATGAATTAATTTCCAGATTTACAGTAGCCAGACAACACTGCCACATTTTCTTCCCATCCTGAATTTGCATTTAATAATCTTGTACGAAATTCCAGCTCAAACCAGTTTCATAAATTATAAACTGCAACCGTAGGACTTCATGCAAAAATGAAATTTTAAAAGCAAACAAAAATGAAATAGGATTAAAACAATAAAAATGAAAATCTACCTTTTCTTCAAATAATATATATGTCACCTTAAAACACATGTTATTTAGCACATGACTATCTGTACAGTGTCATAATCTGACATGCATGGAAAATACGTACAACGTGACAATGATAACATTAAAATACACACTGTAAATATTCATATTGCAAATATAAAATATCAACATCTGATAATAATAAGTCTCGATTATCCGCCATAACAGATTCCATTGGAACGAAAGGCAAAATAGTGATGAAAATTATATGAATGGACCACTGAAATGGGCTTCACACATTGTACCCATGTCGGGAATCGAACCCGGGTCTTCTGCGTGACGAGTGAACGCTTTAACCACTAGGCTACCCGACCACCCCTGTTCGCGAAGGAAGTCATTTCTTCACAGTTATCATGCATGGTCATGATGTCGATGTCATGATGTCATCACATGAACACGCTGCAAATGAGGACTAGTTTCATTTTCATATCTAATATATACTGCTCAAAACAAGTTCAAGAAGAACCGATTTTTTCATATGACTGTAGTTAATCTTTCATGGCCATGACAGATTAGCTATAGTCATATGAAAACATTAGGCGTTCTTTAACTTCTTTTGTTCATTTGTTGTTTAACGCCGCACTCAGCAATATTCCAGCCATATGACAGCGGTCTGTAAATAATCGAGTCTGGACCAGACAATCCAGTGATTGACATCATGAGCATTGATCTACGCAATTGGGATACAATGACATCCATCAATCAGGTCACCCGATCCCATTAGTCGCCGCTTGCGATCAGCATAGGTTGCCAGGTACCAATTCTAACCCAGAATCTCCAGGTTCTTAACTGATATGTCCTATACATTTATATCTTCTCAATCTGGCTGAAAAAGACTGGAGAAGATTATTGAATCCCGGTTACTGTAGACTAACATCGCTGCAACAGAGCTGATGCAACTGAAAACAATATTCACTCACTCACTCACTCACTGTTACTGAATAACCATGGTGATGTCCTTGATTTTAACATGTTCCTGACAGTAACCAACCAAAAAGACATGTTTCTGCAATAACAGGGTCCAAACTAAAAAGGTTCTAAAATCCTATTTCAGTTTACTTCAACAATGGTACAGGTTATAACTCATGTAGAACACCATCCAAGACTATTTCTGTGCAAGACAGAGCACCAAGTCGAGAGCTCATTCCTTGAGTCAAGCGTCACAGCAGAAACTAACATACAGTCTATGAAATCTTATATTAGATGATACATTTCTCTCCTCAATAATTGAAACAATTAATTTTACTGATGCTGATTTCATATGTGGAATAGAGCTGGCTAGACTTTTACAAAAATCTAGATTGGTATTGTTTTCATAAAATACATATATTCCAGTCATGGTGCAGGATTAATCACAGCATTGCTGCAGCAATTCCAATCAAATGCAAAAATATCCCCTAGATGCTGCAATTGATGATTCCCACGACAGAAAAAAGATAAACATAACATGCATTTAAAACAAAACATTCGTCAATACCCTCAGCTTGAATTTACCCCGCGAGTGAGCAGTGTGCATTTCGGCACATTCTGAAACAAGCTCCATCAGAATGCGTGACACCTTCGTCACCCTCCCAGGGTATAACACAGGATACATACAGTATAAGGATGCAAGGATGCATTATTAACATGCTTACGATTTTGTTGTTTATTCAGGATTTGTGCACCATTTCTAAAAAATGTCTCTTTTTTTACAAAAAAAACCTCACTATTGGTGGACTGGATTGGTTGGTTGGTTTGTTGTTTAACGCCACACTCAGCAATATTCCAGCTATATGACGGCGGTCTGTAAATAATCCAGTCTGGACCAGACAATCCAGTGATTAATATCATGAGCATCGATCCACGCAATTGGGATCAATGACATGCATCAACCAAGTCAGCGAGCCTGACCACCCGATCCCGTTAGTCGCCTTTTACGACAAGCATAGTCACCTTTTACGGCAAGCATGGGTTGCTGAAGACCTATTCTACCCCGGAATCTTCACGGGGCATTGGTGGATTGGAAGAACCCTACAATTTCACCAGCTAGGATCATCACTTCCTGACTGTCTTTTTCACATGAAGTCCATCTCAAACACTGCATCTTCCCGAGGCAAGGGAGTTAACTGCAAAAGTCCAGTTTCCACCCTACCGAGCAGGGCTAGAATTTCTTTGGAAAAAATATGTTGACGCCGAGTTGGTTGTACACATGCTTTGCAAATCCTGCAATCGACCGAAATCTGAACAACAATTTAGGAATTGGATGCCGATTTCGTTACACAATTTTGATTGGACTATGCGTAGACTTGATAGTGCAGCCAAAATATAACTCCATAATTCCAGCCTTTTTCGGCAAGGGTGGAAAGTGGACTTTTATAATAAAGTCAGTTAACTCCCTTGCCTCGGGAAGATGCTATCACAGGTCATGTTTTCCTTCATCCTTACGCAGTCAAATCAATGGGAACCTCTGTATCAGTGTTTGTACACGGAATCTAATTTTTAGAGCACTGGGCATCAGAACATTGGCAGCAAAACAAAGAGCTCGGTTTCATCTGATACAAACTCTGTAATTATTAATCCCTGTCCAAAGTGAAATATGGTTATTTCAACACAATGTCATTTTATACTACTCAAAAGAAAATAGGACCACATGATTCTTTCATATTACTATAGTTAAAATGTCATGGCATGACACATAAACTATAGTAATATGAAAGAATCAGGTGACCCTTTACTTCTTTTGAGTAGTATAGTTCACGTTGCAGCCCAGTTCTGGACTTAAAGACTCAATCACAGTCTCACCTCTGCGCGGAGCCCACAATGGCGCTGAACACTTTCAGCGTCATGTCCAACAAGTTCTTTTTGTTCTCGTCAATGTTCTCCCCTGGTTCCAATCTAGAACAACAAACGGTAATTGTTTTGGATTGAAGAATTGAATTCAACATGTTTTGCATTTATGGAGACTTAAGGGATTGGTTGTTTATTATTGGGGAGGGGGGTTGGTGAGATTCGAAAGTAACAGATAGAAAAAGTGGGGGGATTGTCAAAATTTATCACAACTATGAAGTTGAGGGGGGCGGGGGCCATGAAAAAAAGGACAGTTCTATTTTTTCAACAACAAAATATTCAAATTTGAACATTATTTATGGACTGCTCACTTATTAGAGAGGGTGATCATGAAAACATATTACATGGTTTTTTTTCAGGGGAGGGAAGTCGCACTGTGCTATATTCCAGCTATATTGTCTTGTCTGTGTTGAAGCTACCCTTCATTTGGGTAACAAACTTCATTTGTGATGAATACATAAGTTTGCATTAGTTTATTATTACGTGCACAGTGTTACAGGGTCAACAGAATCTGATGGAACCTGGCTGGGTCGATCTCATACGAGCAGTTGTCCCTACCTGGCTGGGTCGATGTCATACGAGCAGTTGTCCCTACCTGGCTGGGTCGATCTCATACGAGCAACTGTCCCTACCTGGCTTGGTCGATCTCTACGAGCAACTGTCACTACCTGGCTGGGTCGATCTCATTCGAGCAACTGTCCCTACCTGGCTGGGTCAATCTCATACGAGCAACTGTCCCTACCTGGCTGGGATCGATCTCTACCTGGCTGGGTCGATCTCATACGAGCAGTTGTCCCTACCCGGCTGGGTCGATCTCATACGAGCAGTTGTCCTTACCTGACTGGGTCGATGTCATACGAGCAGTTGTCCCTACCTGACTGGGTCGATCTCATACGAGCAACTGTCCCTACCTGGCTTGGTCGATCTCTACGAGCAACTGTCCCTACCTGGCTCCGTCAATCTTATACGAGCAGTTGTCCCTACCTGACTGGGTCGATGTCATACGGGCAACTGTCACTACCTGGCTGGGTCGATCTCATACGAGCAACTGTCCCTACCTGGCTGGGTCGATGTCATACGAGCAACTGTCCCTACCTGGCTGGGTCGATGTCATACGAGCAACTGTCCCTACCTGGCTGGGTCGATCTCTACCTGGCTGGGTCGATGTCATACGAGCAGTTGTCCCTACCTGGCTGGGTCGATCTCATACGAGCAACTGTCCCTACCTGGCTGGGTCGATCTCTACCTGGCTGGGTCGATCTCATACGAGCAACTGTCCCTACCTGGCTGGGTCAATCTCATACGAGCAACTGTCCCTACCTGGCTTGGTCGATCTCTACGAGCAACTGTCCCTACCTGGCTCCGTCAATCTTATACGAGCAGTTGTCCCTACCCGGCTTGGTCGATCTCTACGAGCAACTGTCACTACCTGGCTGGGTCGATCTCATACGAGCAACTGTCCCTACCTGGCTTGGTCGATCTCTACGAGCAACTGTCCCTACCTGGCTGGGATCGATCTCTACCTGGCTGGGTCGATGTCATACGAGCAGTTGTCCCTACCTGGCTTGGTCGATCTCATACGAGCAGTTGTCCCTACCTGGCTGGGTCAATCTCATACGAGCAACTGTCCCTACCTGGCTTGGTCGATCTCTACGAGCAACTGTCCCTACCTGGCTCCGTCAATCTTATACGAGCAGTTGTCCCTACCCGGCTTGGTCGATCTCTACAAGCAACTGTCCCTACCTGGCTGGGTCGATCTCATACGAGCAGTTGTCCCTACCTGGCTGGGTCGATCTCATACGAGCAGTTGTCCCTACCTGGCTGGGTCGATCTCATACGAGCAACTGTCCCTACCTGGCTGGGTCGATCTCATACGAGCAACTGTCCCTACCTGGCTTGGTAGATCTCTACGAGCAACTGTCCCTACCTGGCTGGGTCTATCTCATACGAGCAACTGTCCCTACCTGGCTTGGTCGATCTTATACGAGCAACTGTCCCTACCCGGCTTGGTCGATCTCTACGAGCAACTGTCCCTACCTGGCTGGGTCGATCTCATACGAGCAGTTGTGCCTACCTGGCTGGGTCGATCTCATACGAGCAGTTGTCCCTGTCCATTAGGAACATGTCCATGATGAGAGGCTGCAGCAGCTCTCGGAGGTAGCCCTGGCCGTAGAAGCGGAAACAGTACGCCATGATCTTGCTGGCCAGACTGTTCCCCCGGAACAGTGTCTGCATGCAGTCTGCTATCTCCACCTGGAAGCAGGCCTTGGAAGTGATATAGTGTCTTAGAAAGATGGTCATTGGTTACCGCACAACACCCGTCAACTTGATGCAAGTTTTTGTCCTTCTTGGTGATTGGTTCAGTTAAGAAGTCTTGAAGCAAGGCTTGGATGAATTGAAGCAAGGCAACATAAATATCAGCGAAAGAAACTAACTATTTTAGTCTTCTAGTCCTTACATTGATAACATATAGCAAAACCCTTAAAAAGGACAAATTTCTACTCGGCCATATGATACCTTAACCACTGGGCAGTATGGCAAGGACTATAGGACCAGAGCCAATTTCTAACGCTGAATATATGACCTCAAGCTTTATTGTTAATATTTGGGTTAATGGGAGTGGGGATCAAGGCAATGGTGTTCTGCTTAACAGGCAGGTTCAGTGCCAGGGTGAATTCAGGCATGTGTGTTCTCACGTCTACCAACAAGGATCAAATCCTACACAAGTTACAGACGCTGTAGTGGCGACACCTACAACGACGCAGGTCACAACATGCACATGCCACACTGATGACAGTATCAGCACACTGTTGATGGAAATTCTTTGCCATTTTGGAACTTCCAAACATGATGTGCTGTTGACATAACCTTGAGACATCCCACCATGCCTCCGTTCAAAACAAACACACAAGACACGAGACTGAAAAAAAGTGTCAGTTACAATCTGAATTTCAAAAATAATAAAGAAACCAAAATCTACTTTTTCCCTCTACTCTGGTGTCTTCCGAATGTGAAAAAAACTCACATTTACGAAATAATGTTTCAGATCATATTTGAATGTTGCATTTTCTTACTTTGCTTGTTTGTGGTTACTCAAGACATTATTGAAAGAACTTAACAATAAAAAGACTAGTTCCTCATACCCAGGTTTAATACTTATGGCGTATTTTCAAAACCAAACTGCAGTCTGTTTAATGTTAACTGTATCTGTGCTTTAGATTGACCCCCAACTTTCTGTGCAATATGAGCCCCCAGCCACCAAGATAATGATCAAAGTAATCATGGATTTGAGGCAACAACCTGCTGTTCCTGGCACGGCAAAGGGACGCAACTCTGCATAGCAAATTGAATCACCTTTGACCTGTTGGCCACTGTGCCCCCTCCACCAGTGGTCATTCACATTACAGTCAAGTCTCGTTAATCCGACACTCGTTTATCCGACAATCGGCTTTATCCGACACAAATGATGGGAACCGATTTAATCAGTGCTATTTAGACCTGTTAATCCTACAGTCTTGCACTCCGACTCAGACACACCTAATTTGCAACAAATTGCTGAAATCACTCATTAATCAGTCTCGTTAATCCGACACAGTGATCAGCGTACTCCATGATCATTTGCCCGCAAGTACACAGCCCTGTAATGGGCGACTTTTCACGAACTTTGACCGACCAAGGAAATTACTAACAGGAAGTCGACATTAGCCACTAAAAAAGCAGCTTTCTTAAGCATTACAGCACTTGTTTCAAATAAGCGACTTCCATTCCAGACAATGCTTTAAAAATTATTTTGAATCATTCATACAGTCCGTAACAGTAGTTTTGTGTCAAACGTTAGAGGTTGCATGATTAGAAAACATATTCTGTTAACAATGTAACACAACAATATGATTATTTCCTTTTTCCTTTTTTTATTATGTGTTCGTATCATTATCTATCGTGTAGTTGTCCAATTTTCGATCACGAACGTTGATACTACCTAATTTCGTTTATCCGACACACTCGTAAATCCGACATAATCATATGCAACCAACAATGTCGGATTAACGGGACATGACTGTAGTTGGATTGACTTACACATGATGATGTATAGTGATACATACTGATGCATACCGATGCATACAAATACACCAATACATACTCATACTGACATACAGATACACACTGATACTGACATACAGATACACACTGATACTGACATACAGATACATACTCATACTGACATACAGATACATACTGATACTGACAAACAGATACATTCTGATACTGACAAACAGAAACATACTGATACTGACATAGATACACTGATACTGACATACAGATACACACTGATACTGACATAGATACACACTGATACTGACATACAGATACACACTGATACTGACATACAGATACACACTGATACTGACATAGATACACTGATACTGACATACAGATACACACTGATACTGACATACAGATACACACTGATACTGACAAACAGATACACACTGATACTGACATACAGATACACAGATACTGACATACAGATACACAGATACTGACATACAGATACACACTGATACTGACATACAGATACACTGATACTGACAAACAGATACACACTGATACTGACATACAGATACACACTGATACTGACATACAGATACACTGATACTGACATACAGATACACACTGACACTGACATACAGATACACACTGATACTGACATACAGATACACACTGATACTGACATACAGATACACAATGATACTGACATACAGATACACACTGATACTGACATACAGATACACACTGATACTGACATAGATACACAGATACTGACATACAGATACACACTGACACTGACATACAGATACACAGATACTGACATACAGATACACACAGATACTGACATACAGATACACACTGACACTGACATACAGATACACACTGATACTGACATACAGATACACACTGATACTGACATACAGATACACACTGATACTGACATACAGATACACAGATACTGACATACAGATACACACTGATACTGACATACAGATACACACTGATACTGACATACAGATACACACTGATACTGACATACAGATACACACTGATACTGACATACAGATACACACTGACACTGACAAACAGATACACACTGACACTGACATACAGATACACACTGATACTGACAAACAGATACACACTGATACTGACATACAGATACACACTGATACTGACATACAGATACACACTAATACTGACATACAGATACACACTGACACTGACATACAGATACATACTGATACTGACATACAGATACACACTGATACTGACATACAGATACACACTGATACTGACATACAGATACACACTGATACTGACATACAGATACACACTGATACTGACATACAGATACACACTGATACTGACATAGATACACTGATACTGACATACAGATACACACTGATACTGACATACAGATACACACTGATACTGACAAACAGATACACACTGATACTGACATACAGATACACAGATACTGACATACAGATACACAGATACTGACATACAGATACACACTGATACTGACATACAGATACACTGATACTGACAAACAGATACACACTGATACTGACATACAGATACACACTGATACTGACATACAGATACACTGATACTGACATACAGATACACACTGACACTGACATACAGATACACACTGATACTGACATACAGATACACACTGATACTGACATACAGATACACAATGATACTGACATACAGATACACACTGATACTGACATACAGATACACACTGATACTGACATAGATACACAGATACTGACATACAGATACACACTGACACTGACATACAGATACACAGATACTGACATACAGATACACACAGATACTGACATACAGATACACACTGACACTGACATACAGATACACACTGATACTGACATACAGATACACACTGATACTGACATACAGATACACACTGATACTGACATACAGATACACAGATACTGACATACAGATACACACTGATACTGACATACAGATACACACTGATACTGACATACAGATACACACTGATACTGACATACAGATACACACTGATACTGACATACAGATACACACTGACACTGACAAACAGATACACACTGACACTGACATACAGATACACACTGATACTGACAAACAGATACACACTGATACTGACATACAGATACACACTGATACTGACATACAGATACACACTAATACTGACATACAGATACACACTGACACTGACATACAGATACATACTGATACTGACATACAGATACACACTGATACTGACATACAGATACACACTGATACTGACATACAGATACACACTGATACTGACATACAGATACACACTGATACACACTGATACTGACATAGATACACTGATACTGACATACAGATACACAGATACTGACATACAGATACACACTGATACACACTGATACTGACATAGATACACTGATACTGACATACAGATACACACTGATACTGACATACAGATACACACTGATACTGACATACAGATACACACTGATACTGACATACAGATACACACTGATACTGACATAGATACACTGATACTGACATACAGATACACACTGATACTGACATACAGATACACACTGATACTGACATACAGATACACACTGATACTGACATAGATACACTGATACTGACAAACAGATACACACTGATACTGACATACTGATACACACTGATACTGACATACAGATACACACTGATACTGACATACAGATACACACTGATACACACTGATACTGACATAGATACACTGATACTGACATACAGATACACACTGATACTGACATACAGATACACACTGATACTGACATACAGATACAGATACACACTGATACTGACATACAGATACACACTGATACTGACATACAGATACATATTGATACTGACATACAGATACACACTGATACTGACATACAGATACACACTGATACTGACATACAGATACACACTGATACTGACATACAGATACACACTGATACTGACATACAGATACACACTGACAAACAGATACACACTGACACTGACATAGATACACTGATACTGACATACATACACACTGATACTGACAAACAGAAACATACTGATACTGACATACAGAAACATACTGATACTGACATAGATACACTAATACTGACATACAGATACACACTCATACTGGCATACAGATACATTCTGATACTGACAAACAGAAACATACTGATACTGACATAGATACACTGATACTGACATACAGATACACACTGATACTGACATACAGATACACACTGACACTGACAAACAGATACACACTGACACTGACATAGATACACTGATACTGACATACATACACACTGATACTGACAAACAGAAACATACTGATACTGACATACAGATACACTGATACTGACATACAGATACATACTGATACTGACATACAGATACACACCGATACTGACATACAGATACACACTGATACTGACATACAGATACACACTGATACTGACATACAGAAACATACTGATACTGACATACAGAAACATACTGATACTGACATAGATACACTAATACTGACATACAGATACACACTCATACTGGCATACAGATACACACTGATACTGACATACAGATACACACTGATACTGACATACAGATACACACTGATACTGACATACAGATACACAATGATACTGACATACAGATACATACTCATACTGACAAACAGATACACACTGATACTGACATACAGATACACACTGATACTGACATACAGATACACACTGATACTGACATACAGATACACACTGACACTGACATACAGATACACACTGATACTGACATACAGATACACACTGATACTGACATACAGATACACACTGATACTGACATACAGATACACACTGATACTGACATACAGATACACACCGATACTGACATACAGATACATACTGATACACACTGATACATCCCGAAGCATACCAAAGCACACCAATACATACTGATACTGACATACCAAAACACACTGATACAAAGTGATACACACTTATACAGATTCATACTGATACATACTGATACACACTATCACACACTGATACATACTGACTGATACATACAAAGGGATTATGACATACATAAAAGTAACATTGTACATGTGTGCTTTAGATGGATTATTTGTTAACCTCCTTGAAACAATTGAAAAAAACATGTGACACAACAGTGACATTAGCGGTGTTACACACTGTTAGTTACAGGCAGATTCAACAACAAAACCTTAGGTTGGCCTAATCACATGGGCATAATGTATATACACTTCACAAGTGAGAGGGGGCACGGCTGGCCCAGTCATCTAAGGCGCAGCAATTCGCTGTGCAGAGTTGCGTCCCTTAGGCACGCCAGAAACCTGTGATTGTGGGTTTCAAATCCCGTTCGCCCAGATTATGTTTCTAGGTTTGTCAGCACCATACCCGTGCTTGTGGGCTTCACTGAAGTGGTAAACGTCTGAGACCTGCATCACTTCGGGCTTTCCTCCCACATTAAGCTAACACGCCGTGATATGACTGGAATACTGTTAGAATCGGCGTTAAACCCAACTCACTCACTCACTCACTCACAATTGAGAGTAGTTTTTTGTTAGTTGTTTTAAGATACAGTCAACAATATCCAACTTATATGACCATACGTGGATCCAGAGAAGGGGGGGGGGTCCGGACCGATTACAAATTTGAAACCTGAACAAAAAACACTCTGGAATCGCTAAAAGATGGTCTAGATTGTAAGGATTCAGTCGTTAAACCCGTAACTATCTTTTGGAATACCCCATGTTAAAGTTTTCGAGATTGCATGATTAGAAATCACATTCCGACTGTCACTTTCATAATCTGGTAAGCGATGCACTGATTGGTCGGATGAAAGGTCGTTCTGACGTTACCCCTAATGGGATGTCCTCAGACCTTTGTTTAGCTGTAGCGAGAACTAAGGTCTGTATTTAATGAGATTGGTGAGCTCTTACAACCAGCACAGGTGGCTGGGGACTATTCTAACCTGGAATCCCCTTTGGGGACTTGAACATAGACTTTCAATAGTCAAAGATGTCTTTGTGCAATAGTATCGCCTAGCCCCCTAGAATGCAATAGAATGCTGGGAAGTTATTCCAACCGGGAATCCCCACACGATACAAAAAGCATTACGTTTACAGTCGAACCTTGTTGTTTCAAACTCTTGAGGACCTGGAAAAGGTTTGAGTTATCTGTGGTTCAAGAGCACCAACAAAGTGAATTTCCAAAATACAAACATCGTGTTATGACCGATTATTATATTTAATCTAGTTCTCTTCGGTGTATCATTAATCTCACTGTTGTCATCTTTACGGAGTTGCTGCTCCAATAAGAAATTCACTAACAAAATCTTAATCCATTTTACGCATTTCTAAATTTACATGTGTCAACAGATCACGTGAGAACACTTCAGTGCCTTGCTGTCGGCGTGTACACAGTAATCACCTTGTACTTTGAAGTAAGCTGCGCTTGTCAGTAGGACTCAGTTGGCTATAAGCAAGTTATTAGAAAGCATCCTGCTTTGAAAGTTGGCAAGTGTGGGTGAATGGACGTTGTTTTGAACTGTTTGAGTGGACCCATGAAGATCCGGGTAAAGAATAGATCTGCAGGAACCAATGCTTGTCATAAGAGGCGACTAATCAGATCAGGGGGTCAGTCTACCTGACTTGGTTGATGCATGTCATCGTATCCCAATAGCGTAGATCGATGCTCATGTTGTCAATCACTGGTTTGGCTGGTCAAGACTCGATTTTTTACAGGCCGCGGTCATATAGCTGGAATATTGCTGAGTGCAGCGTTAAACAAACAAACAAACAAACTGTTCGAGTGGTAAGGCGAATTTTATGCTAAATTTGGATATTTGGGACTCACAAATGAAATTGAGACAACCGTAAATTCGGCACATCCAGTTCAACAGATCCGAGTAAACATGATGTTGACTATCGGTATAGAAGGAATTCGCAGGGCTCGGAAGCTGAGTTTGAGACAACCAGGTATTCGACACATCCATGTTCAACACGAGGTTCAACTATATATAGAAACAGTTCACAACAAGCACAACAGAGTAATAATGAGTGAAATAGAATCGGCCATGAAAAATTCATTATTGTTTTAATGATCATGATAATTACAGCATTACAAGGACTTCAATTAGAGCAGTGTTATTTTCTAAGCCTCCCTCCACCTCCAAGCTGACTGTACATACTCACCTCTTTTGAAAACATGTTCCACAGGAGCTGATACAGCAGCCGCTTGGCATCAAACAGGTTGACGAACACCCGAGCCAGCTCATCCTGAAACATCAAGCTTCATGTCAGAACACACTGCTTGCACTTGCCTACATGACATGGGTTTGTCGTTGTAGACAACATCATGTATTGATGTCGCGAATGTTGATTGTTTACATAGTCTACATGACATGAGTAGATCATTGATGCCCGACTTATCTTAGCTCTACCACCCCTACCACCCCTAGCCCCACTACCCCTCCCCCCAACATATGTAGACCCTCGATGAGCTCACCATCTGCGAGTTGGACACCACTGTCGCTAGTGCCATGGCGATAGGCAGTTCCCCTTTGTCTCCAATCATCGTGACTAACTCCACCAGACGCTCAAATCGGTCGGCCAACGCTGTCTCTGCCAGTGTCTCAAACTCCGTGCCTTGTTGCAGGATCTTTGTGAGGACCTCCATGAAGGCCGCCCTGGTCTGAGGGTCCTTGTGGTAGCCCAGAGCTGGAGGAGAAATCACAATTACAGCCCAATGATCTCCATCGTCAAGACTAGCAAGTTGTTAAATAGTGAAAATGGCTTTCTGTAATAGTAAGAGAGGGTCCTATGAGTGAGTGAGTGAGTGAGTTGGGTTTAATGCCGCTTTTAATTTTATTCCACTTATATCCTGGCATGTCAGCTTAATGTGGGAGGAAAGCGTGAAATGATGCAGGTCTCAGACGTTTACCACTTCGCTGAACTCCACGAGCACGGGTATGGTGCTGACAAACCTAGAAACATAATTTGGGCAAACCCGGTCATAGGTTTCTGGTGTGCCCAAGGGACGCAACTCTGCACAGCCAAACGCAGCGCCTAGGACAACTGGGCCACCCGTGCCCCCGAGGGTCCTATGAACTATTCCTTCAGAGAATCAAACACAAGAACAGGCTCGCTGACTTGGTTGTCGCATGTCATTGTATGCTGATTGCGTAGATCAATGCACATGATTATTTACAGACTCAGCGACAGAAATTGCCACTTGTCCTTTAGTCCTTGACAAACTGACCAATAGTTAAGGTATGATAACAGTTAGTTGAAATTTGCCATTTCTAAGGGTTTTGCTACATGTTATCATCATAAGGACAAGCGGACTAACAATATTAGTTTATTCCTCTGCCTGAGACTGTCATCACGTAGCTGGAATACTGCCGAGTGCGGCGTTAAACAACAAACAAACAAATAAAACAGACACTCACCTATGGAGTGCATCAGGCCACTGTCAATGTTGGCATTGAGGAGGTTGGACATGGCTTGTACTGTACAGTTCCGGAGGGCACTCAGATTGGACATGCTGCGCTTCCTGTTCGGATCCATCGCCTTGTCCTGCTCCTCTTCAGAGCAGTCGTTGAGCAGGTTCATGAACAGCGTCAGGTACCTGAAACACATCACACAAATACAACCCTCCTTGTGGTGCACATGCATTACATTAATTGCATTCTTTGCAGTATTGTGCCAAGTTTTGCACATATTTTCCAAGACTTCCTGGTGAGGTGAGGTGAGGTGAGGTGAGGTGAGGTGAGGTGAAATTGGGTTTAACGTCGCGTCCAAGATTATTGCACTTATATAGCGACGTGCATGCACTTGTGTGTGTTTGTGTGGCTGCTTGTACTAGTCCGGACTGATGCCGATTTATAGTGCTAGCTCACTGAGATACCATGCCGCAGTTTAACATGAATACCCCACTCAGACACAGTATACTGACTCCGAGCCGACCAGTACTTGTTTTAGCCCCTTTATGCCGGGCGCCAGACAGGGTAACAACAAATACCATCTTTTGTCTACCAAGTCTTTTGGTATGACGCGACCAGGGATTGAACCCCGGACCTTCCGCTCTCCGGGCGGACGCTCTACCACAAGACCACAGAGGCGGCCAGATTTCCTGGACATGGCATAGTAATGAGTGTGTATAGGAGTCCCAATCTGATCCAAATCAATAAACATAGTTAACATGGTTAAGGGCCACCCAACTCTTTGATCGTATTTTCGTTTATCTGCCATGCCACATAGTAACACTAAAATCTAGTGGAAATCTACTGTGAAAATATTTCATGTGACAAATTCAGGCAAATCAGGGCTTGATTTAAGGAACTTGATTTAAATTGCACCTTGACGTGAATACCAAGCTGCACAAAAAAGCCAGGTTGCGTCCTGGCCCCGAAAGTTTATCAAAGTTGAAACACAGACCCAGTTGTCACATACATTAATGATGCATTGCTGCAATATGTAATGGGAACTTGTGCACAATTATGATTTGTTTGTTTGTTGTTTTACGCCACACTGAGCAATATTCCAGCTTTTGACGGCGGTCTGTAAATAATCGAGCCTGGACCAAACAATCCAGTGATTGACATCATGAGGATCAATCCACGCAATTGGGATCGATGACATGCATCAACCAAGTCAGTCAGCCTGACCACCCGGTTTCTTTAGTTGCTTTTTACGACAAGCATAGTCACATTCTACGTCAAGCATGGGTTGCTGAAGACCCGGATCTAACCCGGATCTTCACGTGCCACAAAATTATGAAGTACCCACAGTTTGATGATGTCGAGCCCAAGAAAGTATGAATAAGTACATATAACACAGTGATTAGTGATGCAGTATGGCATAGAATTTAGAGGTATTGAGTGGATTCAAGATCGTTTATGTATGTGGAAAAGTAAGTGTTAGTCAGACACAAGCCTCGAAATCTTTTGACAAGCACTTGGTGCATGTGGACATGAATATTAGGTTGCATTTAGGAGATAAACATACTGTGTTTTCAATGTTGAGCTAGGTAACCTGTAGATTTAACTGCGCTAAATTGATTTTGGAACCGAACGTGCAGCGTGAGGTTTCAAATGTTAAATTATGACATCACAGTCGTATATAGAAAAGCACCAAAATCCCAAGCTCTCTGTTGTTTCCAAAACATAAATACATTCCCTTTGTTGATTTCTATCGTGTTTCTGCATGAAATGTATTGCCACACATCCTTTGAATATTGCAAACCAGCTGTTTCAATCAGAGGGGGTTTATTTTGATTTAATAGCCCCTGATTGACCAATCAGGTTAGAGTAAATTCCAAATTCATGGTAGAATTTTCAATAATAGGTTGCTCTGGTGCATGTTATATATAGCTAAATCAATCCCTGCAAATACATTCTAAAGGTTTCGGCACAGACTGCATACATGATGCACATTGTCCTGACTTCCCTGACTAATCCAGGGTCCTGTTCCACAAAGCGATCATAGCGCTAAGATGATCGTAACAAAGACTTTCAACAGTCCATGTTCAAGTGTTAGGATGTCATAACGCTTAGAGGCTTTCGTGAAACGGCACCCTGGAGAGCCAGCGTGTTTGACTTACTTGAGGAAGAGCTGAGACTTGGCCTCCATCAGGTCGCCCCGGTCACTCTCCTCGGGCTGGAGGGGCAGTCCGGCCAGCAGCGCTGCCACAGCCTCCATACTGGCCTGGTCCAGGTCCCTGTCCACACACAACACACATACACATACACATCATGCATGGAGCAAGTCCTAGGTTAAGTTCCTTTATGTTATACTTTCAACAATACCAGTATTCCCACCCAGCCTCCCTTACCAGCTGCTTACTCTACGGGTAGTCATAATAAGTGGATCCCCCTTTCATAAGAAGCTGTGCATCCCCTCCCCCTTTCCTAAAAAGCTGTGCACACCCTCCCCCTTTCCTAAAAAGCTGTGCATCCCCTCTCTCTTTCCTAAAAAACTGAGCACCCCTCCACATTTCCTAAAACATGCCCCCCTCCCTTTACAGAAACCTCTGTAACCTCTCCCCCTTTTACAAAAAAAAAAGTGCACCACCCCCCTCTCCCCCCTTTCCTTAAAAAGCTTACAACACAAGCCAATCTTCCCACCTAGGTGACCCCTTACAGACAGTTACTTTGCAGGGTGGATATTTAAGGATTGTTTTTTCATTTTTAAAGCATTTATCAAGGCACAACAGTCACAAATTAAACAAATTGTGTAGCATAATTGGTCCTCATTGTCTTTGGCTGAAACATGTCATGTCTGAAACATGGGAGTTCCCGATACTATTTAAGACATTGTTCCAAATGGTGCAAGTTGCTGGAATGTCGCGAGGGCACAGGGAATCCCTTTTGAGAAAGTTGTTCTGATCAAGTCTTTTCTGCAGTTATCGAAAAAAATAACAGTCAATTTTGATTCCAGAATCAGGAAAAATAGGATAACACACACACTTTGTAATTGTATGGAATTAATTCAGAAACTTGGTGGCATATGTGCGCAGGTTAATGGCACCACATGATAGCCTCGGGGATGGCTGTTACCAACTCTGCCTCTGGCTTGTGAGTGAGTGAGTGAGTGAGTATGGTTTTACGCCGCTTTTAGCAATATTCCAGCAATATTATGGCGGGGGACACCAGAAATGGGCTTCACACATTGTACCCATGTTGGGAATCGAACCCGGGTCTTCGGCGTGACGAGCGAACGCTTTAACCACTAGGCTACCCGACCGCCCCCTCTGGCTTGTGATTGGTGCGACTACACACTGACCTGGACATGCTGCAGATGTCGCCCTGAATGTTGACCTGATGAGAGTTCCCCATGATCCAGTCTGTCAGGTACTCCACAAGCTTGTTCCTGAACTTCATCTCCTGTCGGAAGGTCAACTCATCACGACGCTGCATCATCTGAAGCAAGTAGTATTGCCATGTGTGAATGAGTGTTTGTTTGTTTGTTTTGTTTGTTTGTTTGTTTTTTAACGCCGCACTCAGCAATATTCCAGGTATATGATGGCTGTCTGTAAATACTGTAAACAGGGATTTTTTTGCGACCGTTTTATTATTGTGAGTTTTGTGAAAGAAAACTCAATCGAAAAAATTAAAAACCCAAATATAAGTATAAATAATACATACATACTTTATTCATTGCAACACGTCATCAAATGTTGAAATCATCAACCAGAACCACAAGTTACTCAATAAGTAAAAAACACAAATGAATGCAGAATGGTCACACAATACATCACAAATGACAGTGCAAACAGACCAATTAGTGTCACTGTTACCTCACAGTAATCCTGCCTTCTTCCAACCTTGCTTGATTGCGTCAGTGTCCTTTGCAATTTTGTCCACAATTTTGTTATATTCAAACTCACAGTCATGACACTGAGTTGAGTCAATTATCGTATTTGATAATTGGTCGCAATCCCACCCGGCCAACTCAGATCAACTAGCTTTGGAGAGAAGCTGTCTATTGTTTGGTAATCGAGAGGTTATCTCAACACGTCAACTCGCAAAAATATCTCGTCGCAGTATTGTCTTTGGTGTGGTATTCGCAATATTTTAAAGGCGCAGAAATAAAGCTGTTTACAGTAATCAAGTCTGGACCAGACAATCCAGTGATTTACATCATGAGCATCGATCTATGCAATTGGGATCGATGACATGCATCAGCAAAGTCAGCAAGCCTGACCTTCTGATCCCGTTAGTCACCTCTTACGATGACCATATGGCTTTTATGGCAAGCCTGGGTTACTGAAGACCTATTCTACCCCGGATCTTTACGGGTTGTGTGAATGAGTGAAGAAGATGTCATAACAGCCACCAGTATACGTAGCTTATAGCGTGAGCATTAAACTGTATACAGTGATTTATCCAGGATTCCAATCAAAGTGCCCTTGGCAGGCAAATTTGGCCATCGTTATTTGGTCAAAAACTTGGATTTTTTTTAAGTTCCTATTTTCCTTAATTCAGAGGTATTTTAACATTGCATTCAATGCAATAATTAAGCATTGAATCCTCTTCCTCTATACTGGTTCTGTTATCAGGGAAATACAAGGCACCTTATCACTATGACATTAGTTTTAACTATAACAGCATAAATTTGGAAATGTTTAACTCCAATTTGGGTAATTATAGACATTTGCTGCAGACTTGGGGCCGAGACCACCCTCTTATCAGATCTAGATCAAACCCTGGTATCTATAACAATTTATCATATATAGTCTGGAAGGTAATTTAAGGTACCAACGTTTACTACAATATCTGAAAAACTATTGGACCTACTCCAGTCAAAAGGGGAATCACGCACGCACGCACAAATACGGCGTTAGCGTTGGGCGTCTCAACGTGCGTGATTCCCGTGCACCCTTTCGAGTTGAGTTGATTGGTTCAACTGTGTCATATGGCCCTGTGACGCAGGGGTAGCATTATGCAGATGGCTGTTTCAATGAATGCTCGTTCCACCCGTGACGAACGGGTCTGGTTGTTGATGAAATATAGTGATAGCTAAATAGACAGATTTTTTGTTCATGCACCGATTGTCTTTAAATGCAATATCCAGTTATGTATGACTGTTTAATAATCTCATACCAAATTTGACTGGAATAGGTCCAACAGTTTTTCAGATATTGTAGTAAACGTCGGTACCTTAAATTACCTTCCAGACTATACCTATCAATGATATGAGGCATTTTGCATGCACGATAGAGCCAACATGGAGACTGGGCCACCCATGCCCCCTCCCCCTCAGCAGGAAGCCTTGTCTTGAACAGGCACCTGTTTAATGTTTAACATCACAGTCACTGTATTCCAGCTATATCATTACAGCCTGTAAATAATTGAGCCTGGACCAGACAATCCAGTGACTATCAATATGCACAACAATCCATATTGGTATACGATGAAATGCACTCAACCAAGTCATCTAGCTTGGGCAGTTGATAGATTTATTCGCCTCTTGCAACAAACAGAGACTACTTGGGACCAGTCTATCCTGGAATCACCAAGGGGGACAGAGAAGGGGACTACAGTGGGACACAGAACAGGGATAAACGTACCGCTTCCACCAGCTGACAGAGCTTGGTTTTGATCTGTATGGCATGGACTGATGAGTCCAGGTGTCTCACATATCTGCAACACAACAATAAGTCTTTTAATACACGATGCCTTTCAGAAAGTGGTCAGATGTAACAAATGTTATAATTGGGATAACACTTTCTGGGTGAAGTACAAATTCCAGTACTTTTGGGGGTTGTGTCCCATCTGGGATTCGAACCCACACTGCCAGAGTGAGGCACCTAATCGCCAGCACACAAAGTCAGCGATCAAACCCACTCAGCTTCCACAAACAATGGAAGTCCGACAACTGGAAGCCTGGATCACATACTTTGTGTACCCTTCTGATCAGTGTAAAGTGGCACGGCTCCCATTGCCAAAAGCTATGAATACACAATGCCTTTTAGAAAGGGGGTCAAACGAAGGTTATATATGGGATAACGCTAACTTGGTAATGCATAAATAACTTATTAATAAGTCTATTTACAAAGAACAGGAAAGTAGCAAAAGGAAGAGAATATATATATGGATGTCAACTTCTTTATTATGAGGAACACAACGTTTCGGAGTACATGTATATGCTTACTCCTTCATCAGGTGAATGAATGCCATGAGGCAGATACATATATATGTACATGTAAGGACAACAAAATTAATAAGATAACAAAAGGTGGAAAATAACAAAGGGTAGAAACAAACAAGGGAAGCCAACAGATGATTGATGCTGATAGGTGATTAGCAATAGACCAAGTAGCAGGTGTAATGCAAGGGAAACAACTCTCATCACAATAAGTTACGGAATACTTATACACAGAATTCAGCCGACAGTTTTGTAGCTATGTGCTGTCATTGCTGCCTCCTTACTGGATTTGTATAAAATCTGAACATTCCATCATTCTCTAGTGAGTGAGTGATAGTTTTACGCCACTTTTAGCAATATTCCAGCAATATCACGTCTGGGGACACCAGAAATGGGCTTCACACATTGTACCCATGTTGGGAATCGATCCTGGGTCTTCGTCGTGACGAGCGAACGCTTTAACCACTAGACTACCCGACCGCCCCTCAAGCATTCTCTAGGATATACCTTATTACTGGTAAACATACATCATAAATTTCAGATTTGACATGTTTGTTTGTTTTCTTGTTTAAGCCCACATCAGCAATATTCCATCAAAATTACGACAGCGTGCAAATAATCAAGTCTGAACCAGTCAATCCAGTGATCCATATTGTGAGCAACAACAGGTAGATGACTCGCTATCAACCACGTCACCGAGCAGGACCACCCGATCCAATTAGTCACAGGTCTCCTACAACCAGCATTGGTAGCTAGGCAGCTATTCTAACACAGAATCCCCACACCGGATGAGGGCAGGAAAAATCAATGTGATCCCCCAGGTAAGGTGAGTGATAAAGCCATTAGCATTTCTAGAGATTGCACAGCAAATTATCCATCCGTTATTCCCATGTAAACATGAAACCCCCCTCTCATCACACACTCAAGTTACCTGACAATGGTGAGCATGAGCGACTCAATGCTGGCCAGTCCGAGATATTCGCAGGGCTGGTCAGACTTCATCTCCAGGATGTTTTTCATGATGAAGATGACATTCTCAACAAACTGGGTGTTCATGTCGGTTACAATCACCTGAGAACAATAACAAGTGTTATAATCGTAGTGACATCACTCGAAGTGCATGATTATTGCTTATCGCTCCATCTAGTATGTTGCAGCTATTCGTGGCGATGTTTCCTGAGTGTGCACAGCTTAATGCCATGCTTACCACTTGGGTTTCACACATTCAAGGTTTTGGAACTTTTTGGTCAAAAATTAGAAATGTGTTTGCAACTACTTTCAAAAACAGTGAGTGAGTGAGTTGGGTTTAACGCCGCTTTTAACACTATTCCAGTTATATCACGGCGTGTCAGCCTAATGTGGGAGGAAAGTGATGCAGGTCTTGGACGTTTACCACTTCGGTGAAACCCACGAGCATGGGTATGTTGCTGACAAACCTAGAAACATAATCGGGGCGAACCGGGATTCGAACCCACGATCATAGGTTTCTGGCATGCCCAAGGGACGCAACTTTTCACAGCGAATTGCGGCGCCTTAGACGACTGGGCCACCCGTGCCCCCCTTTCAAAAACAGAAGCATGAATACATTCTTATAGCTGACAATGAAATGTGTTCTACACACCTGACCAGTGGCATCGAAGTACTTGTCGACACAGACCTTGATCTGGTCAAACAGTATGGGGTAGAGCGCTGGGTTTAGCTCGTGGCCCACCAGCTCCTTCACATGCTTCTGGATCTGGGCCCCGAACTTCTCGTTCTGGAAGATCAGAAGCTTCAGAAGGTTCCCGATAAACCTGTCAACAGACGAGATTGGAGTTTACTTCTAGATCATGTCTGTCTGGAAATTTAGGAAAATCTAAATATTTTTCATATTTGTTAACAAGCAGAAATATGATTTGATGTGACTTCACATCTGGTCACATGACAGTGGCGATGGTCCTACAAAAAGCAGACTTGAGATGGAGGCAGCTTTTTCTTTTTTCACCCAGAACCATCGCTAGGCGCTGCCTCTTTTGTCATAAGGTAAGCAGTAAATGCATTAAGGAGTAATGCAGGATAAGCATACAATCTAAAGTATTGTATGACTCTATTATCACAGGCTCTACATTATCAGGGTATCGGTAAATCTTGTAATCCACACTCCCTGTTGACTGGTTAAATATGCAAATCTAACCACAATATTTTATCACTTGGTCGAATACAGGACTTGTTGCGGTATGTCACAGTTATTCGTAAGTATACACGTTACCTTTTTGGAATGTTTTTGAAGTGGAATTACCCCTACCTCCATTCGAAAAGACCTCATTTGTTTAGACGAAGTCCCTTGACTCAACCTTGATGCACACTGATTATGCATAATCAAAAGAAGGAAGTGATGTAAACCACATCACAAATTAGTCATAATACAGAGTTGCTTGCCCTTGAGGCGCTAATAACAGGTACTTTGTTTACCGAACCTTGTACAGAAAATCTGCACCTGTGCCCCCACAGCAATAAATAACAAACAAACAATTAAAATTGAGTTGAACAGTGTCAAGTTGTCCTCCATCACTCACTGTGTAACAGGGCAATACTGGGTGTCGTTGGCACAGCTCTGCATGAGGCTGGACTTGCGCGCCGTGTCGACGTTGATGCCAGACATGCTGATGGTGCTGACGCGGTGGGACTTGTTCTGCAGCCTTACACTGCCCAGGGCACACAGGAAGCCTGTCATGTTGGCCCACTCGTTCAGCTGGTCCTGCAATACACAACCATAGATGCCTTACATCCAACAGCATTCCCACAAACTTAAGCTAACCACAGTTCCAGTAAGAACAAGCATTAAATACTCATATCCCCAGCCAATATGACAGGGTAAGAAATATTTACGGTTTTCAAAATATGCCCCGGAAACAAGAACTACTGTCATTCAAAATCATTGCTATGGAAACTCGAAAAAAACACATTTTTAAAAAAGGCACCAGTTTACCACTAGACCTATCTATGTGCCAAGTTTGGTGAAGAAATATTTACAGTTTTCAAGATCTGCTCCGGGAAGGAGTACTACCGCAATTTCCAGTCAAAGTCAACGTTGTTGCCATAGAAACTCAAAAAATAATTTTTTTTAAAATCCCAAACTATCAAAAGGCACCAGTTCACTACTAGACCTATCTATATGCCAAGTTTAGTTAAGACATATCTCATGCTTTTTCAGTTCTGCTCCGGAAACGAAACATGACGGACGGAAGGATGAATCGACGAATGGATGGAGGGACAGCCCCCATTCCTATATCCCCTTTCCACTTCATGGTGGGGGATAAAAAGAAGGTATTTCAGGCCAAGTTAAATACAGTGTTTGGGTTGCTAAACTTTTTAAACTACTTCTTTGTTCTCATCACATCAGAGGTCCAGACATCAATACTGTCACAAAACAAGCTCTATGTATTTTGGGACAGGTTCAAACAAACAAACAACACAGCAATATTTTATATAAGCAAATGTCAATATTAAACAATGAAAGACTAATTTAGCCATGGATAATCATAATACAGCAAACTGCAAAGGTCCTGACACAGAAAAAAGCAAGAAAAAAAGTGACCAGGTCTCACTAATACCGAACTTCGACTCTAACATATTTCTAAGTCAAAACATGAAAAAAGCAAAATTTCTCAGAAAATCCTCATTTCAAATCAAACTTTGCAAGAATGGGTTGCTGAAGACCAATTCTACCCCAGACCTTCACTGGTCCAGACCTCCTTGAAATAGCAAGTGAACTTTCTGTTCCAGAATGTGAGAAGTAATACACACAGATCTGAAGGAATAGCATGGACCTAGGCGTTAAAACAAGTTGTTGATGGTGGTCACGACCTACCTCCAGTTCATGTTCCGTGGAGGCATGGTTGGGAGGTTTCCTCTTCATTTTGATCATGTCTGCAATTTCCCTCTGAGTGTCATCGAACTTCACCTTGGGGTAGGACTCCAGGTAGCGGGTCACCATGTCCCAGTTCCGGAATGTGTCCTCCCAGGCCTGTGGGTGCATGGACAGACATCTCAACAACAGCACAACTTGTACACAAAAGCGGGCAAATATCTCTCCTTGAATGATTAAATGAGTGAATATTGTTTAAGGCCAAGTTATATCAAGGCTGCCAAGAAACTGATGTGTGACTCATGAATGTTGTTTAACGCCAGTCAATATTCAAGTTATATCAAGGCTGCCCATAAATTGATGTGTGACTGAGCGAATGTTGTTTAACGCCACATTCAGCAATATTCAAGTCATATCAAAGCTTCCCATAAGTTGATGTGTGACTGAGTGAATGTTGTTTAACGCCAGTCAATATTCAAGTTATATCAAGGCTGACCATAAATTGATGTGTGACTCAGTGAATGTTATTTAACGCCACAGTCAATCTTCAAGCTCACAAGCAGTATGTGAATAACAGTCTGGACATCATCAGACAAGCCAGTGAAGTGCTCTCCACTGTGCCAGGTGGCTAAATGTCTGTACCTGAGAGTTCCCTGGTGTCGACTGGTCTATCTTCCTCAATAAGGCCATAATACGCTTCTGGAGGGCTGCTCGACCTGGGGGAACAAAAAACACACTGGAGTCCTGACTATCTACAGCTTTCAGCTTTCACTATTCATTGCTTATTTGGGTGTGTTTACAATCTTTTAATAGCAAATACAAGCTCTGGCTGTACTTTCTGAGAAAACAGCACTTCATTATTCCTGACAAGAATTAGGAAATACAATCAGGATCAGGTTGCTTAGCGTCAGATTGCACAGGATTGCAGTGGTGCATGACCCATTAGTTTAGGCAGTGACCATGAAGATGCTGGGATGTGTTCGGGTAAAATGTTTTTTGAAGCTGGAATCGCTGTTTTAGCACATTTCCACACCAGAGCCCACTTGCACAAAGCGATCTTAGCGCTAAGATGATCTTAACTCCCATACTGTAACATAGGCTTACAATAGTCTTAGCGTTAAGATCGTTTTGTGCAAGTGGGCCCAGGATCGAAGTAAGAAGGAAGAAATGCACGGTGTGAGATGGGATAAGTTTAAATATAAGTAAATATTGTATGAGAAATGTGGGATCTTTCAGTATATTTCTGCTAATGTGTTAACAAGAAATATCTAATGGATTTCTTCATGTCTGCTTGTGTGACCCATGAAACCGGAGTGCACGCTGCAATACGTCACAATCATCAAAATTTCAGCTGTATCACTGCCTGAAAATTATTATATCTGGTACAGAAAAACTGGTGATCGAGGCAAGATAACATACAATCAACCAGTTCACACACCTTGGCCCTGTCCACAAAACATTCTTAGCGCTAAGACGATAGTAACTCTCATGATTTAACATAGACTTACGACAATCGTGGAGCTAAGATTGCTTTGCAAAAAGGAATCCTTACCAAGAATGGTGAAATGGGATCCTTACCAAGAAATGTGCCCAGGAAAACTATATGCCCATTTCACCCTTCAAAAAAATACCATAACAATTCCTGGCTAAACCTTCATATACAACTCATTCGTTCGTTTGTTAGTGAGAGTGAGTGAGGTGGGTTTAACGCCACTTTTAACAGTATTCATGTTATATCATGGCGGGTCAGCTTAATGTGGGAGGAAAGCCCGGTGTGATGCAGGTCTCAGACGTTTACCACTTTGGTGAACCCACGAGCACAGGTATGGTGCTGACAAACCTTGAAACAAAATCGGGGTGAAAATGGTCATAGGTTCCTGGCGTGTCCAAGGGACGCAACTCTGCACAGCAAAAAGTGGCACTTTAGATCACTGAACCTCCCATGCCCCCCATAATGACGAAAGTAATGAGTGTGGTATAATTTTATGATTGGTACTCTAAACATATATGCTTACTCTTTTCGGCGAACCAGGATATGAACCCACACTCACAACTCAATAGGTGATACCTAGACATTTTACATAGGGATTCTTGCCGTACCAGTGGTAAGGACGGTGCTAGCAGCTGCCAGTTCTGCGTAGACATTGTAGTTGGGAAGGAGTTGTGTGACGGCCATCTCGTCAGCGCCGCACCGGATGTCTGCCTCCTCACACAGCAGACGGAAACAAGACATCGCCGTCAACACCGCATCCATGTCGATACTCCACAGGTACATGAAGAACACCACCTGCAGGGGGAGACAACTGCAGTCAAAATCACCCACATCAACAAACACCCAAAGTCTTATAATTGAAACCTCTACTTAACGCCCTCCATTAAAAAAGTAATGTCTTGATCTGTAATATTCAAGAACACCATCTGAAAATACATTAGACTCCATTAAAAAAAGAAAATGCTTCTCGGGACATTGCAGAGGGCTGTCGGACTTTATTATATTTTTTTAATGAAAACAATTTTTTTTTTTTTTCCCTCCAAAAATACCATCAAACAAAACTGGGCACACGCTGAATTTTGCCCTTTGATACAGCTTCAGTTGTCAAGCATTTTTTTTTTTGAGTATCCTTCAAAAGAAGAGTGAAAATTGAAAAATATTTGATTTACTTGCAATAAAACTGAAAGACATGCAGGATTTAAAGTGACGTGCCAATGCCAAAGAAAGAATTCCATTTATTTCAGTCGAACTATCTTAATCAAATAAGCAGAAACTGTCTGACAATTCTAGTCATCCCATCCATGCCTGATGCATGGTGGACTGCTGACCTCTTCAAGAGACATAACAGGAGACTGACCTCCAGTTTGATGTGGGCTTGTATGCAGACGGGGATGTTGCTGCCGACATTGGCATTGGCACTGTGTTTCTGGAGGAAACGGTTCCGACACACCAGGATGTCCCGAAGCCACTTGAGGATCTCTGTGTAGTTGACGATCTGGTGCTGGATGAGGCGCTGGGAGATGTAGAACAACACCTGCGAGCTGGAAACAAACCATGTTTATAAACATGTAGCCAAACCCTGTTTGTCCAGAAACCTGCTAGTCCAGACACCTGTTAGTCTAGAACCCTTGTATGTCTGGACGCCTTTTAGTCTAGAAGCCCCACTAGTCCAGAAACCAATTTAGTCTGGAATATCTCATTAGTCCAGAAACCCTGTTATTCTGGAAACCCCATTAGTCCAGACATCTTGTTAGTCTGAACTTCTTGTTAGCCTGGAAACCCTGTTATTCCAGGAACCCTTTAGTCCAGAAACCCTTTAGTCTCGAAACCCTTTAGTCTCGAAACCCTGTAAGTTCGGACACCTGTTAGTCTGGAAGTCTGGAAACCCTTTAGTTCAGCACACCTGTTATTCTGGAAACCCTTAACCCAGAAACCCTGTGAGCCTGGAAACCCTTTTAGTCTGGACATCTCATTTAGTCTGGAAACCCTTTAGTCCAGCTAACCTATTATTCTGGAAACCCTTAACCCGGAAACCCTGTGAGCCTGGAAACCCTTTTAGTCCAGAAATCCAATTAGTTCGGAAACCCTGTTAGTTTGGAACGCTTGTTAGTCCAGAGCACCTTACTGACAATTACTGTTAAGAACATCTACAAATATTGACATTCTTGACGTCACAATAACAAATCACACTTTGTGAATGATTAGCTGTAAGAACTATTTCATCAATAACAAAGAAAGATGTTGGGAAAATATTGATACAACCCACTCATAATTCAATAGAAAAAATAAAAATTCCCCCACCCTGCACAACACTGGTAAACACATCAGGGGAGACAACTCCTGCATGACTAACCTGATGTCCCAGAAGGTGTTGATGGGAGCTTCCGGGTTCCACAGCTCAATGTTCTCAGGCTGATGTAGGCAAAGCAAAGCCTGGGGAGAGAGGAAATTGTACAAATCAAAATAAAGGAGCTAACTTAGTTCCCTGTCCCTTGTAGACAGAAACCAGTAATTGGTCACACATATTTTGGTACAGGAAGACTAGCAATGTTGAGCCCTTATGTTGAGATTAAAATCTGCCAAAAATGAATCAGGACATATTGAAGTGGTGCTTAGGGTGGGGAAAAACTTGGATTCAAAACATTGCTGGTTTAATCATCTACAATAGCTGGCTCATATCTCAGGCATATCATACAAGCAGTGTTTTAAAGGGTATGTTTGGAGGGGGTATAACTTATTAGATTTCCTTGCATCATTAATATGATCACAATTTATATCCCAATATCATTTAATGATGAAGTAATATTTTGTTACAAAAGGTTATCACTCACAATAGTTGTCAACAATGGCCATGTCTAGAAAGCCAGATTCAAATACATTGCCCTTTCAAGGTCAGACCGACAAATTCAAGCAATGAGCTAAATGCAAAACATTTCAAGCTTATGCGAGTGAGTGAGTATGGTTTTTACGCCGCTTTTAGCAATATTCCAGCAATATCACGGCGGGGGACACCAGACATGGACTTCACACATTGTACCCATGTCGGGAATCGAAATCCGGGTCTTTGGCGTGACAAGTGCACGCTTACCCACTGGGCTACCCGACTGCCCCCCAAGCTTGTGCGAACCTTGCCCTTGCCCTTATCTAACATACCTCCATGGCCTTCTGTGCAACATCTGTCATCCACTGCTGGTGCACGAGAGACACAAGGCTTGTGATCAGCTCCAGGGTACTGCGCTGGATCTCATGGCCCGGCTTGCCTTGATTCTGGGGACAAACCACACAGGGTCACTCACAGGGTCACTCACAGAGTCACTCACAGGGAGACCTGGGTCATGAACAGTTCACGCCTAGCCTGTCCGAGCAGTGACATCAAATCCTACGTGAATTCCTTGATTTCAGTTAGCTCAAATTTCATTTTAGTTTAAACTGATTGTGTCAGTGGTGATGCATGTCACATTAAATACTGATCCAATCATGTTGGGATATTATGTTTTGAAGGATGAGCTATGTATCAGAAAGAGTCTAGAGAGTCTAAGAACACACTCACACACAAACTACCTGATATATTCACATGCAACATGAGATATGGATCATATACCCCACCCTAGAGATACATATACTCACATGCAACATGAGATATGGATCATACACCCCACCCTAGAGACACATATACTCACAAGCAACATGAGATATGGATCATACACCCCACCCTAGAGCCACATATACTCACATGCAACATGAGATATGGATTATATACCCCACCCTACAGGCACACATATACTCACATGCAACATGAGATATGGATCATATACCCCACCCTACAGCCACATATACTCACATACAATATGAGATATGGATCATACACCCCACCCTACAGACACATATACTCACATACAATATGAGAAATGGATCATACACCCCACCCTACAGACACACATATACTCACATGCAACATGAGATATGGATCATATACCCCACCCTACAGACACATATACTCACACACAACATGAGATATGGATCATACACCCCACCCTAGAGACACATATATACTCACACACAACATGAGATATGGATCATATACCCCACCCTACAGCCACATATACTCACACACAACATGGGATATGGATCATACACCCCACCCTACAGACACATATACTCACATACAATATGAGAAATGGATCATATACCCCACCCTACAGACACATATACTCACACACAACATGAGATATGGATCATACACCCCACCCTAGAGACACATATATACTCACACACAACATGAGATATGGATCATATACCCCACCCTACAGACGCACATATACTCACATGCAACATGAGATATGGATCATATACCCCACCCTACAGACACACATATACTCACATGCAACATGAGATATGGATCATACACCCCACCCTACAGACACACATATACTCACACACAACATGAGATATGGATCATACACCCCACCCTACAGACACACATATACTCACATGCAACATGAGATATGGATCATACACCCCACCCTACAGACACACATATACTCACATGCAACATGAGATATGGATCCGCATGGATGAGCTTCACTATCCACAGTAGGATGTACTTGTAGCTGGTCAATGTCTCATCTGATGTGGCTCTCGTTAGCGTGATAGCCTTGGTCACTCTGGTTATTGTCTGACAACAAGAAATAGCAAGGCATAATATTAATATAAGGGTGAAAAAAGGTGAACTGGGTTTTGTGACACTGAGCCTCATGGTCATCTGAAAAATATAAATATAAAGATGGTAGAAACCTATTTAGTCCTGCTGAACAGACTTGATCATTTGCGACAAAATCTGTAATATTCAGTATTTGTCAGCATCATTTTTCAGAGCCTTCATTTTGTTATTAACAACTAAAATTCTGAATTGTTTGATAGGCATTACTAAGAAGTTGACGAATGACAAAGTAGACACAAGTTATGGATAACATCTTCTTTATTTACTGTAAAGGCGACCCTTGACCCTTGAGTCCTCAAACTGCCCAATAGTAAAGGTATCCTAAGGAGTAGTAGGAATGTGTCCTTTTTCAGGATTTGCTATACATTATCATTATAAGGACTAGTGGGCTAAACCTGTTAATTTTTATCGCTGTTTACCGAAAAGTCGCCATTACAGTTAAAAAAGAAGCTGTCATCCATAAATTGTGTCTACTGTAATTATAATTCCGTAAAGTGCTGTAAAGTGCAGTAAAGTGCAATAGGCCCAGCATCTGTAGCATTGTAAGGTATCTTCGTGTACACGTAGCTACAATAGCTACAGCAGCTCCATTCCTACAACATTCAGTCCACAGTCCATGTTCACCACCTCCATATTGGCGGCTTTACCTTGGGGCAGTTGTGGCTGCTGAAGCCCTGTGTGACCTTGTTGACGATGTCGGTGAACATGTTTCTCAGCTCTCCAGCTTTGCCGTAGTTGAGGCTGATGTCTGGCCACCACGCCAGGCGGGGCTGAACACACGTGAACACACACATTACTGGGGTGACAACAAATTGGCATAATCAAGATCAGTCAAAACCGTTAAACAAACAGCCCTCAAATTTTGAATTTTTCCAGACTCTCATACTATCTCTCTCTCCATTCCCCGTCAATCCCCATTTTCATGTTGCATTCACATAATAAGAGAGAGGTTGACTCTACCTTAAAATTGACTTTCATGTGTGGTCTTTTCTAACAAGTCTTTAAAAGGTGGGGTGAAATGGGGTTTAAACATCGCATTCAAGGTTATTACACTTACGTAGAGACGTGAATGCATGAGTGTGTGTGGCTGCTTGTACTAGTCCAGACTACTGCCGTTCTTATAGTGCTAGCCCACTGAGATACCATGCCAAAGTTTAACATGAATACCTGAACCTTAACATGAAACGCCGGATCTTCCTCTCTCCGGGCAGACGCTCTACCACGAGGCCACGAGTTTTGAAAAGAGTTTTGATTTGAAACAAAATTTTCACAGTGCCCTATGAGTTTTTAAGTTCTTTAAAATACTATCATTATTGAGTGCATGAGTATAATTTAAGACGCTTTTAGCAATATGCCAGCAATATCGTGGCAGGAGGACACCAGAAATGGGCTTCACACATGACTATTGATAAGCCTGAACACAAAAATGTTTCTAAAACATATTGTCTCAAGGTATTATTTTAGGTCCAAATAAAAACAACAAAAGAAACACAATCTAGTTTGGGATGGTCTTACCTGTGTGATGATCCGATGGAGGGCGTTGACAAGGACAAAGTGATACATGGGAGGCGAGTGGCTGTTGAGGCAGACTTTCAGGACATCATTGTTGTGTGGCGTGATGCGGAAACAGGACACGAAGCAGTCGATGTACAGGTCAAGGTCTTGTCCGAACATGCCCTGACCCTTGTAGAACGGTTTACTGTTGGAGGGCGGATTGAACAGCAGCGTCTAGCCAAACACAACATGGAAAATGCATAACACTTGACGATTTCATAGTCAACGTCCCACATGAGTTCTTACTAAGACCTAGATCGGAAATGGGCTTCAGATTGTGTGGCAAAGTCTTCCATAAAGTCAGGACCCTATGGGAGTGAGTGAGTATGGTTTTACGCTGCTTTTAGCAATAATCCAGCAATATCAGGGCGGTGTACACCAGAAATGGGCTTCACACATTGTACCCATGTCGAGAATCGAACCCGGGTCTTCGGCGTGACGAGCAAACGTTTAAACCACCAGGCTACCCAACCGCCCCCAGGACCCTAAGGAGCTCCATTAAAACAGAAGAGTGAAGTTTCCCAATAGACAGCATAATGGAGGGTTTCCTTTCATGGCATCAACACAGGGAATTACCACAGGTATTTATTTTGGGGGACCTCATAATAAAACAAGCATGACATACTCATATCTCCCCACACACACATCCCTCCCCCCAATATTACATTCCAGTTGTGTGCAAGGCATTAGCCCTCCAGAAAAAAACACTACCACTACAGTCTAAGTCAAAGTCATTGCTATGGAAGCTCAAATAATAAATTTAAAAATAAATAAATATCAAAACGCACCAGTTCACCACAAGATCTATCTATGTGCCAAATAGTGTACGTTTTTTAAGATCTGCTCCAGGAAGGAACACTACCACCATTTTCAGTCTAAGTCAAAGTCGTTGCCATGGTAACTCGAAAAATAATTTTTCAAAAATCTCTATAAAACGTGCTGGATGGTAGAAGGACAGACAGCACCCATTCCTATATCAGAATATAATAATAATCTGAAAACTTTAAATACTAAGGCAATTAATTATCTTAATCTTGTTTTCAAAACAACAACTTCTACCCCTAGAATCCCCAGATGGTGAAGCCCTGTGTGTACCTTGAGATCCTGAATGACAGACTGCACTAGAGAGAAGAGGACGTTGAGACTATCATTGATGCTGATGTATGTGGAAGCTTTACATAGTCGCACACACGTCACAGCAGCGCCCTCTGTGAACTGCTTGTTGCCACCGTGACACGCAATGGCTCGCTTCACTTCGTCTATAAAATGTTTCTGTAAAACAAACAATCGGATAATTAGATTTCAGAATATATTATCTATTCAATACTAAGCCTGCATTGCATTATGCATATTGTTGCTATCAGGTCAAAAGTATCCAAGGAAAGAAGAGGATTGTATTCTTGCTATAAATATAGTTGTTGAACCAGTAGTATCGCAATGACCGCTCACTGGAGTTACCTCCCATGCCCCTCTGTAGTCATTGTTGTTTCTTTCGTCCGTGGTGAGATCTCCTTGGCCACAAAGATCAGAAAGATTGTTCAACTATACCTTTTGTCCTTTCTTTTGGGGTTTTATTTTCTACTTAGTGCCTTATATTTTAAACTATGAACCATACCCACAGATTAACTGCATATTTATTCTGATTATAACTCTACATATGTTCGATTTTTTTCCTAACCACTTTTATTAACTCCCTAATTTGGTTTGTTGCTGTTGGCATGAGCCCTTGATGCAGCTGAGGATCAAACCCTGGACGTTCCGCTCTCCGGGCGGATGCTCTACTACAAGGCCACGGAGGAGTTGAGACCCATAGTCCAACAAGACACTGATACTTTGATATATTGTCAGAGGTAAGGATGTCACAATACACTGACCATACACCTGACAACACGATATATGATAATTGAGAACCCAAGTCAAATTTCAAGCATGCTCAAATTCAGATGAAAGTGAGAATAGCATCATGACTAAGGTATCGCCACATGTTTTCAGTGTTCTGGGGTAATTGATGTCTTCTATAAAATTTGAATCCTGGGATGACCTAAAATGCAACGTTATAGTTATGAGTGAGTTGGGTTGAATGCCGCCTTGAACAGTACTCCAATGATATCTCGGCAGGTAAGCTTAATGTTGGAGGAAAACCTGAAGTGCTGCAGGCTTGTATGGTGCAGAAATAATCGGGGTGAACCGGAATTCGAACTCATGATCATAGGTTTCTGGCATTCCTAAGGGACGCAACTCTGCAAAGAGCCAGCGATGCCCTAAATAAGGTTGTGACAAAGACGACATGACTTCCCAGCTTAATTCTGAATGATCCAGGTGAGTTTGAGCCCCCCACTGATTACAGGCAGTCCCTACTCACCTTCCTGAGGTGCTGCTGGGAACAGGGGGCGCCTGTGTCAGCGTTGTTTATCTCCTCCAAGATTTTCTAAAAACAAAACTGTTAAGTTCATTATTTGGTCACTTACATTGTGCAAGGTTGTATGTCACAGAGTAGAGATACATTCAGTATTTCAAACTTTTAAAAGAAAATTGTGCATTTTTTCAAACTTTGGAGTTTCAAAATTCTTATTTTCCAAAATTCAGAGAGGATGAAAATATTCCTCTGTGCTGAGGCTAATTAATGACCATCTCTTTATCAGTGTCTATGAAAATTTCGTCCTTGTGATCTTTAATTGTAGACTGGCATATTATTCGTTACAATTATGAAGAAATTGCATGTTCGTAATTTAGTTGAAAATTCGCAACGAATACGAAAAACTAACTAGACGTAAGTGGCAGGCTTGTACTAAAGTTTTAAATCACTAATTCAAATACAACACTCATGTTTGGGTCTTGGGAGAGTTTGAGCTGATGAACAGAGTGATTGCTCACCGGACAGAGAATGAGTAGCATCATCTGGAGGGGCCAGACCGACACCCTTCTCTTGGACCCCTCTGTCAGAGCATTGAAGTGTTCAAACATCTTGTCACAGCACTCTGCAAACAACAGTTCATATTGCATTAGATTTCTTGTTGAGTATGATTGAAGACCCCGGTGAAGATCAGCAACCCATGCTTGTCCTGAGAAGTGACTAATAGGATCAGGCAGTCAGGCTCACTGACTTGGTTGCTGCATGCCATCATATCCCAAATTGGTAGATCGATGTCGATCACTGGATTGTCTGGTCGACTCGATTATTTATAGACAGCTGTCAGACAGCTGGAATATTGCTATGTGCAGCAATGAACTAACAACAAACACAAGAACTATGGAAGAGTATGCACACTGTGTCCTGGGTAAAAGGACATTCACTGAGCACCCAAATTAGGAATTGATAAAAGGATATGTCTTCGGGAACCAAAGATGTTTGGTTTCGTTCATTTGTACTTGTGTTTTTCTCACAGTATCACAACAGCAGTGATGTGAATAGTTCTTTTGTAGTCAGAGATTTGATTTTGCTGCCTTTTAATATCAGGGATGCCATATCTCAGCAGATTACTTCTTAGAGTGTTTATATACAAGAAACTGAACCTACATTGTTCCCTATCTAGGAACTGTACAGAGATTGTTCCCTATCGAGGAACTGAACCTAGATTGTTCCCTATCGAGGAACTGAACCTAGATTGTTCCCTTACAAGGAACTGAACCTAGATTGTTCCCTATCGAGGAACTGAACCTAGATTGTTCCCTATCGAGGAACTGAACCTAGATTGTTCCCTATCGAGGAACTGAACCTAGATTGTTCCCTTACAAGGAACTGAACCTAGATTGTTCCCTATCGAGGAACTGAACCTAGATTGTTCCCTAACAAGGAACTGAACCTAGATTGTTCCCTATCGAGGAACTGAACCTAGATTGTTCCCTATCGAGGAAATGAACCTAGATTGTTCCCTATCGACGAACTGAACCTAGATTGTTCCCTATCGACGAACTGAACCTAGATTGTTCCCTATCGACGAACTGAACCTAGATTGTTCCCTAACAAGGAACTGAACCTAGATTGTTCCCTAACAAGGAACTGAACCTAGATTGTTCCCTAACAAGGAACTGAACCTAGATTGTTCCCTAACAAGGAAATGAACCTAGATTGTTCCCTAACAAGGAACTGAACCTAGATTGTTCCCTATCGAGGAACTGAACTTAGATTGTTCCCTATCGAGGAAATGAACCTAGATTGTTCCCTAACAAGGAAATGAACCTAGATTGTTCCCTATCGAGGGACTGAACCTAGATTGTTCCCTAACGAGGAACTGAACCTAGATTGTTCCCTATCGAGGAACTGAACCTAGATTGTTCCCTATCGAGGAAATGAACCTAGATTGTTCCCTATCGAGGAAATGAACCTACATTGTTCCCTAACAAGGAACTGAACCTAGATTGTTCCCTAACAAGGAAATGAACCTAGATTGTTCCCTAACAAGGAACTGAACCTAGATTGTTCCCTAACAAGGAAATGAACCTAGATTGTTCCCTATCGAGGAACTGAACCTAGATTGTTCCCTAACAAGGAACTGAACCTAGATTGTTCCCTAACAAGGAAATGAACCTAGATTGTTCCCTATCGAGGAACTGAACCTAGATTGTTCCCTAACGAGGAACTGAACCTAGATTGTTCCCTAACAAGGAACTGAACCTAGATTGTTCCCTATCGAGGAACTGAACCTAGATTGTTCCCTATCGAGGAACTGAACCTAGATTGTTCCCTAACGAGGAACTGAACCTAGATTGTTCCCTAACGAGGAAATGAACCTAGATTGTTCCCTAACAAGGAACTGAACCTGAGGACTCGGTGTTAAGAGGCAATGTTTTAACTCCAAGTCTATCCTGCTGCCAATGATTTAGATTCATTAGCTGTATAGGATTAACATAACTAAAAACAAGTTGGACGCATATGAGGAATCAAACCTGGGACCTTGACGAGCCAATATTTTACCTACTAGGCTACCCCACTCCTGTTAAACATAAAGATCCATTAGCTGTACAGGCCAAAAACTGATGCCCCAAAAGAAGGGGCCATCACTACCCAATGGCTGCAACTGATGGTAAATATATTTAAACATAAACAGTAGTTAATTTATCAGCATTTTCATACATGTTCAAAATCATATAAGAAAGAAATACTAAAATAAAATTGCCAGAGGATAATATTGTTAGCAGATGCAATTCCATGTGAGTCCAACAGACATACCCTGCAGCTCATCGTTGGGCCTCTTCTGCAGGTCTGTGAACTCATGAGGGTAGTTGTCCATCCAGTTCCACACCGCCTGTAACATACAGCAGAACGTGCAGGGACCTCAAGGATAACAATAACAGAGACAACATGTGGAATGATCAGACACAAAATAGACCCGTGAAGATCCAGGGTAGAACAGGTCTTCAGCAACACATGCTTGCCGTAAAAGGTGACTATGCTTGTTGTAAGAGGCGACTAACGGCATCGGGTGGTCAGGCTCGCTGACTTGGTTGATGCATGACATCGATCCCAATTTCGTGGATCAATGCTCATGATACTAATCACTGGATTGTCTGGTCCAGACTTGATTATTTACAGACCGCCGTCATATAGCTGGAATATTGATGAGTGCGGCGTAAAACAAACAACAACATACAATGTCTGATTTCTTCATAGATGTATCATACGTTATTAGTTGGTGGTACAGTGGTAACCCTGGTACTCATATTTTCATGGTACCCGCAAAAATCATCACTAAGTGCCCAAAGGAAAAATCCAGGAAAATCCCATAATGTTAAAAAATGTTCCACAAGTATGCAGCAATATTAAAAAAAAAAAATTCAATATTTTAGTGATCATGAAACAACTTTACTTATTTCAACCAGTGATAAAAACATCTTTACATTTATTAGTATACTTGTTGTAAGAGGCAACTAACGGGATCGGGTGATTAGGCTCAGTGACTTGGTTGATCCATGTCATCGTACCCCAATTGTGTGGATCGATGCTCATGATGTCAATCACTGGTTTGTCTGTTCCAGACTCGATTATTTACAGACCGCTGTCATATAGCTGGAATATTGCTATGTGCAGCAATGAACTAACAACAAACACAAGAACTATGGAAGAGTATGCACACTGTGTCTTGGGTAAAAGGACATTCACTGAGCATCCAAGTTAGGAACTGATAAAAGGATATTTCTTTGGGAACCAAAGATGTGCGGAGTAATACAACACACAAACAAATGTACATGATGTGATCCTAATCGGAAAACTAGCACTAATTTGAAACTTAGATACTCAGGTGTTCCACAGAGGATAAAATCAAGTGGAATCCAGGGTGCCGTTGTACAAAACAACCTTAGCGCTACGACTGTCGTAAGTCTATGTTAAGGTATGGGAGTTACGATCACCTTTGCGCTAAGATCGCTTTGTACAACAGCACCCTGGACCCTTAATTTATAACAATAGCATTAAAAAGAAAATGTCAATATTTTGCTTTAATAATTTTCAGTGCCAAATGATAACTGCTTTGTGATACCACAGATCACTTGACTCTGGTATGGGTTATCTCCCTTGAGACATTAACATGCTACTATTATCCTGGAGACTACTCACCTTCTCCAGGTTCTGGCCCAGCGTGATGAGCACCTGTCTCGACTTGAGGGACTTGAACTTTGACACAACTTCTGTAACAAACAGCAACAATAACAGCCAACAGCAAAAGCCCTGACTAAGCAGAATGGCAACCCTTGGTTTCAGCACATTGACATGCCATACCAGCAGAGCTAAGAACGAGATTTTATTACCAGGGATACACAGCACTACCATTCTGAGAATATCAACTGAAACCTCACTCATACACACATTCTCCCCTCATCATACACTCACTGTCCCCCTCCAACTCCATCCCTCTCATTGTGATTCGGAGTTAGGCATGCAGTCTCTCGCTTATCCCAATATAAGCTAAACTGCTTAGTGCATGATTAAAGAGTCTAAATGATCAGAAACAACGCTTCTGTATTTCTTCTTGCTAGAGAATTCCCAGAGGTTCCCCCAGCAATGTGGAAGTAGTCAATCAGCTGTTACGAATACAGTCTCGTGAAAAAATGTATGAACATCAAAATGTGTCGTTCATGCATCCATGAGCATCAGTTCTGCAGTCGTGTGACCGACCTCTCATTCAATGGAAAAGCTGTGTATCGTATAAACCCCACCGCCCTCCCCCTAACACAGTACAGCATCACCCCCACCCCTTCCCCCTAACACAGTACAGCATCACCCCCACTGCCCTCCCCCTAACACAGTACAGCATCACCCCAACTGCCCCCACCCTACACCCCATCCCCCTAACACAGTACAGCATCACCCCCACTGCCCCCACCCTAACACAGTACAGCAACACCCCACCCCCCTAACACAGTACAGCATCATTCCCACTGCCCCCCTAACACAGTACAGCAACACCCCCACTGCCCCCACCCTAACATAGTACAGAATCACCCCACCCACCCTAACACAGTACAGCATCACCCCCACCCTAACACAGTACAGCAACACCCCACCCCACTAACACAGTACAGCATCACCCCCACTGCCCCAACCCTAACACAGTACAGCATCACCCCCACTCTAACACAGTACAGCAACACCCCACCCCCCTAACACAGTACAGCATCATTCCCACTGCCCCCCTAACACAGTACAGCAACACCCCCACTGCCCCCACCCTAACATAGTACAGAATCACCCCACCCACCCTAACACAGTACAGCATCACCCCCACCCTAACACAGTACAGCAACACCCCACCCCACTAACACAGTACAGCATCACCCCCACTGCCCCAACCCTAACACAGTACAGCATCACCCCCACTCTAACACAGTACAGCATCACCCCACTGCCCCAACCCTAACACAGTACAGCAACACCCCCACTCTAACACAGTACAGCATCACCCCACTGCCCCAACCCTAACACAGTACAGCATCACCCCCACTGGCGCCACCCTAACACAGTACAGCAACACCCCCACTCTAACACAGTACAGCATCACCCCACTGCCCCAACCCTAACACAGTACAGCATCACCCCCACTGGCGCCACCCTAACACAGTACAGCATCACCCCCACTGCCCCAACCCTAACACAGTACAGCATCACCCCCACTCTAACACAGTACAGCATCACCCCACTGCCATCCCCCCTAACACAGTACAGCAACACCCCCACTCTAACACAGTACAGCATCACCCCCACCCTAACACAGTACAGCATCACCCCCACTCTAACACAGTACAGCATCACCCCCACTGCCCCAACCCTAACACAGTACAGCATCACCCCACTGCCATCCCCCCTAACACAGTACAGCATCACCCCACCCCCCTAACACAGTACAGCATCACCCCACTGCCCCCACCCTAACACAGTACAGCATCACCCCACCCCCCTAACACAGTACAGCATCACCCCACTGCCATCCCACTCTAACACAGTACAGCATCACCCCACCCCCCTAACACAGTACAGCATCACCCCACTGCCATCCCCCCTAACACAGTACAGCAACACCCCCACTCTAACACAGTACAGCATCACCCCACTGGCGCCACCCTAACACAGTACAGCATCACCCCCACTGGCGCCACCCTAACACAGTACAGCATCACCCCACCCCCCTAACACGGTACAGCATCACCCCACTGCCCCCTCCCCCTAACACAGTACAGCATCACCCCCAATGGCCCCACCCTAACACAGTACAGCATCACCCCACTGCCCTCCTCCCCCTAACACAGTACAGCATCACCCCCAATGGCCCCACCCTAACACAGTACAGCATCACCCCCACTGCCCCCCTCCCCCTAACACAGTACAGTATCACCCCCCTTCCCCTTCACACAGTACAGCATCAAGCCCCACCCCCCTTTCACCCCCCAACCCACACACCAAACACAGTGCAGCCCTCACCATTGAGCAGTTTGCTGAGTCTGGCCAGGTCCATGTTCATGTGCTGGATGAGCTCCAGGTCAGTGAGATCTGAGGGGTCTTCATTGCAGGTCGACAGAGTCACCAGTCTGAAAACATACATTGAATGAAGATGGGGAACAAGCAAACATAGTACAACTCGCAGTTAGAACGTTTACACTGTATGCACTCACGAAGGGTCCTTGTCATGACCCTAATACCATCGAAGACCTCAACGAACCGAAAGACCCTTCTTCATTTTGACCATTGAAATGGTGTCCATGATGTTTCAAGAAACTTGTCATACACCCATGCAGTGAAATGCTTCTAAGCAAGACTGTTAGTCCAGACAACGGTATAAGGATCAATACCAAACATCGCCTTTACAGTAAGTAAAGAAGTTGCTATCCATAAAATGTGTCTACGTTGTCATTCGTCAACTTCAAAGAAATGCCCATCAAACAATTAACCCACAATGAGTTGACACTGAGTTCATTTTGTTGTAGTTGGAAAACCTGTGAACTAGTGCAGCTTTTCCAGATCCCTTCATTTTTCACCAGGGGTCACTATATCCTGTAATGGTGGGGACTGTTACATTCAATGATTCAAACACTGTTAATCTTGAAATTAACGCGAGCGTGAATTAAATGCGAAAAGTGCTAACGGTCTTTGCTCGCATAAACTAACTTTGTATTTATATCTTCAAATGAATATCAACAATAAGACGTCCTCACTGCACACTTTGGAAAGCGGAAATACCAACTTGAATATAAACACAACTGGTTTATTGAGCTGCAGTTGTAACAAGTATATAACAATGTCATTCAAAGAATAGGAATTACACAATGGGCATCCGGTGAGTTATCACTGCTGGGGTCAAGCGTTCTACCCACTCTTGTCAAGGTTCTTGACGCCTTCTCCTCATACCAATCAGTGAACTGTTGTTGGTTCAGTTATTTTATTGCCTTTGAACTTCCTTAATGCCAGTCAGCAGGGTAAACATTTCAACTGTGTGATGTTTTTAGGAAAACGCTGTTTATTGTATTTACGGAAGTGCTCCACTCAGCGCTAATAAGCAGTGCTATTTGCTGTTTGATTGGATATGATTTGATTGATTTGTATCATTCACTGGGGATGGGGTGGGGGAGTCACATTGATATTGAGTTGCATTTTAGGCTAGGGGTCAACAATCTCCCAGATTTACAGTTATAATATAACAACGAAAATCAATAATAACAATCCTAAAAGAAAGAACAAAACAAGCATGAAATACTCATATCCCCTGCCAATATGACATGTCCGGTTGTGTGCAAGACAAGAAATATTGTACGGTTTTCAAGATCTGTTCTGGAAAGGAGCACTACGTCCATTTTTAGTGTACCGTATATCGCTGTGTATAAGGTGACCCCACGTATAAGACGACCCCCCTGTACACGCCTTCAAAATCAACCCAAAATTCTATACTCCGTGTATAAGGCGACCTGGATTGAAACACATCACAAGTCTGACTGATATAGAAGATTTAACGTGCGCTTTCCGACGGTAGCGTATTTCGCACACGGACATCACAAGTGCGCACACAAACCTTATATATGCAATAAAAATATGTTTATCTTGCGTTGTTGTTTTTTTTCTACAATGATAGGTCGCGTGTGTAACTCCAGCACACGTCGCCATTTTGTGTTTACACGGTACGACACCAATTGGTGCCCGTAAAATAAAATTCATTTATGAAGTAATAACATATAAGAGACAATGGTGAGTAATTTAATCGCCAATTAACTATGTTGTAACTAACTAGGCTTATGTTTGCTTCACATTCAGCGTGTTTATTCCAATCACTTGTACACACGGTCTCCAACACTTGTTAATACAACTGTAAAAACAGCGGGAATTGATTTCAGCTTCACCGGTTATCACATGTTAGGTCACATGTGCAATATGCAAATGCTTACCGGTACTTCCGGCTCTCTACTCACGGATGTTGATTGTTTTACCGTGTCAGGTGGTTTGACAATCTGCATCGAGGCGAGGGTCATTTCAACTTTATTTGCAGAAATTATTAAACTTTATTCAAGGAAAAGAGATACAAATCATGTTTATGTATGGAAATAGTTATTGGAACAGTTATTTAGGACGAAATGCGAAGTTTTATTGTCAAATGCTGGGCTGGCTATCGGACGCCGGTTGACATCGCCAGTGAAAAAAAATGTGAGATCTTCGACTCCGTGTATAAGACGACCCCCCCCTTCTTAGCCCCCTCATTTTAGGTACGAAAAACTCGCCTTATACACAGCGATATACGGTAAGTCAAAGCCGTCGCTATGAAAACTTGAAAAACTTTTTTTTTAAAATCCCAAACTATCAAAAGGCACCAGTTCACCACTAGATCTATCTATGTGCCAAGTTTGGTTAAGATTTCTCTTCTGGTTTTTGAGTTCTGCTCCGGAAACAAAACGTGATGGATGAAGAGCACTCATTCCTACATCCAACTTCCACTTCGTGGCGGGGGATAATAAGGATATTCTTATGTTACACGCACCTTGCTGAGATGCGGCTGAAGACGGCAGTGAAGTTGTTGAGACTGAGGGCAAACAGGACCTCAGACGCCAACTTCTTGAGCTGCATCATCACTGGCGTGTCACTCTGCTGGTTCAAGAACTGGAACACAAACGGAGCATTGAGTTACAGTGTTTGCTGGTGAACACTACCCAGAGCAATATTCCAGCAAAGATTGTGACCTAGGTTTCAGGAGCATTCCAGCCAGATCCTCCTCAACTTTGAAAGGGGTCAACACTTAGGTGCATTCATGAGCATGGGTATGCCATAGTACTGTCGGAAATACCAGAAAAATGCTTTTCTTGCTTCATTAAATAAATATGAAACATAGGGCCATGAAAATGGCATACCGTATTCGTTGAATAAGCGCCCAGGGCGCTCTCAAAATTTGAAATAGGGGGCTCTTATAAGAATATTAATTTGGTGAAAAAAAAAACAGAGTTGAAAAATCTTAAATTTTGTGGTTTATGCTGACAGCCTGAAATGTTTATATACAACAGATACATTTTTCCAGAATTTAATTAAGGGTGCATATAACACACGAGTGCGTATGATACACGAATAAATAAGTCTTGTGTACATTGATCAATCAGAAGGGGTACTAATTGGGATTGTTCACTAGCCAATATATTAGCAAATATCGCAGTGGGCACTTAAAAGAACGGGGCGCTTATTACGTCAAGTACGGTATATGAAAATAAAATAAATCTTAAATGACACTGTGATTAACATAGGAGGTATTTTTACAGGTAAAATGATGATAAACTAAATATTTGTGTTGCCATGCATGCATGAAACAGCCTATAGCCGTATGACCTCACACCAGCCATGTATTCCGGTGTATTATTATTATGATGATCATTAGGATTAACAAAGTTGTTTGCACATATTTCTATAGTCTGTTTCAGACTTTCCTCATTGGACTTTGAAATAAATCTGAACTTGTTTGAATTTTTCTACTGTAAAATTGACGATAGGACTCCTTGTGACTGAAATTTTTCAAACTACAGGTAGGTAAATTGGTAGTTACTCAATATTTCAATAGCAACACTCTGTGAAACATTCTCTCTTGTTTTAACGGGCAAAAAGCATTTTTCTATCATTTCCGACAGTATTTAAGGATTACAATTAGGATGAAATTGGCATTGGACCCATGACCTGTAAGTCTTTGAACACCAAAGGGACATAACTCCGCACAGCCATACATGTGTCGATCACCTTGATTAAGAAGATGGCCTCTTGACTATGGCCTCACCTTACATATCTCTGGCAGAAGCAGCTTCACATACATAGCTTCATCAAGGCGGGACGTGTCCTTTGGTTGCTGTCAATACAGAGTAAGACACAATCAGTCACAGAGATTTGCTCATTAAGCTGCATGAGTGAGTGAGTGAGTGGTTGAGTGAGTGGTTGAGTGAGTGGTTGAGTGAGTGAGTGGTTGAGTGAGTGAGTGGTTGAGTGAGTGGTTGAGTGAGTGGTTGAGTGAGTGGTTGAGTGAGTGGTTGAGTGAGTGAGTGGTTAAGTGGTTGAGTGAGTGGTTGAGTGAGTGAATGAGTGAGTGGTTGAGTGAGTGAGTGGTTGAGTGAGTGGATGGTTGAGTGAGTGGTTGAGTGAGTGGTTAAGTGGTTGAGTAAGTGGTTGAGTAAGTGAGTGAGGTTTCGCGCCGCTTTGAACGGTCTTCCAGTTATATCATGGCGTGTCAGCTTCATTTTGGAGGATAGCCAGAAGTGCTGCAGGTCTTAGACGTTTAACACTTTGGTTAAACTCATAGGTCACAGTGTCATGGAAGTATGATTATAAAACAAAACAAGAAAATAACATGGTTTTATTTGTTGTAGAGATTTTTGTCCATATTATTCACATTCAACAGTGGTGACTAAATCTTATTGGTAACTACATTTCACGTGACTAGGCTAATTGTAAAATAGAGTCGACAAAACAAAGTTAAACAAGTCAAAAGTCATTTCATTTGTTTCTTTCAAATTTTTTTTAGGGGGGCAGCCTTGTAAAGCGTTTAATAATATCACTAGAGACATCCTCTTCGCTAAGGAGATTAAATAAAGTAATCTGCAAGATTGAGGTATCGAATAGAGTGAGTGAGTATGGTTTTACGCCGTTTTTAGCAATATTCCAGCAATATCACGGCAGGGGACACCAGAAATTGGCTTCACACATCGTACCTATGTCGGGAATCGAACCCAGGTTTTGGGCATGACAGCGAACACTTTAACCAGAAGGCTACCCCACCGCCCCAGTATCGAATAGAACTAGTCTCCTCTTCCATTTTACTAGCCCTGTAGGCATTATTAGCAGGCTATCAATATCTGCTAACACTCACTAGGAACTAATGGCTATAATTCTAGTGAGTCTTGTCTCACATCATCAAAAATAAGCATTAAAGGGATATACACTCAAAACATAAATAAATGAAACAACATCTCTTTTCTGCTCTTATGCCTGTCTCTGAAAAAATAGTGGTGGAAGTCATGAGCATCAATCCACGTCATTGGATTATGACGACACAGTCTGCCAAGCCACAAACTAGCCGATCTTCAATGTACTTAGCTTCTACACACATGGGAACTGGGGACCTATTTTAACCCCACCTCTCCACAGTTTAACACTATCAGTGATTCAAGGAGTCCAGAAACTGCTGAGTGCGAGTGTACTCACCGAGTTGAGCACCTGCTTGAGAGTGTCCAGGATAATAAGCTGGGACTCATAGTGACTCCGCTCCGCCTCTGGGTGGTAGATTCTCTGTAAAACAAGAGGCATCAACTGTCACACTTGTATATAACCTGCACTGTAAACTGTTATGTGACAGAAGAGATTGTGGTTTATTTGAAGTGAAAGTGTGGTGCTAGTGGCAGAAAATGATAGAAGCACAGATTTATGCGCTATCCAGTGATTGATAACATGAGCATCGATCCACGCAATTGGGATACGATGACATGCATCAACCAAATCAGCGAGCCTGACCACCTGATCCCGTTAGTCGCCTCTTATGAAAAGAATATGCAAGCATGGGTTGCTGAAGACCAATTCTCACCTGGATCTTTACAGGTAAAATCCTAATGTTAGAAATCCTAATGACAAGAGTTCTGTTTTACTTGTTTGTTTACATCCCCACTCAGCAATATTCCAGCTATATGATGGCAGCCCAGTGACCAATATTGTGAGTCACGACCTATACAATCAGGGAACAAGGACACACTATCAACCAAGTCTCTACGCTCGACTTCATCAACTCTTACGACCGGCATAGGTTGCTGGGGACCTATTCTAACCCAGGATCTTCACAGGTCCAACTCATTGTAAGATAAATGGGACCCGAAAGCCAGTTCTGTAGTGATCATCACTGTGTTGCGTAGTGGAATATAAACTAAAATGTGAATTTCCCTTTCTGTTGTATGCAGGGTAACTAAGCGTGACTCTCTTGATATTGACGAAGTAATTCATATAATAAATGTGGGGAACTAAACATGAATATCTTATTGAAAAGCTAAAGAAACGTAAATCTGAACTAAATATGATTTTCAAAGTCTATTTGCTGCAATCAAACCTAGAAGTTAATCAGTAGTCTAGCTCTATTGTAGCTAGCTATGGTGCGCCCTATTGCAACGACCTATCTAAATGAATGTGTTCTACCTACACCCTACCTTTACAAGCTACAGAACAAATCTGTTGAATGTACGTCATATTGCGATGCCATATCATGCCAATCTGACCTTAACTTATTATTGTTTGTTTGTTTGCTGTTTAACGCCTCACTCAGCAATATTCCAGCTATATGACATTGGTCTGTAAATAATCAAGTCTGGACCAGACAATCCAGTGGAGGACATCATGATCATCGATACATGCAATTGAGATCAATGACATGCATCAACCAAGTCAGCGAGCCTGACCACCTGATCCCGTTAGTCGTCTCAGACGACAAGCAAAGTTGCATTTTACGGCAAGCATAGTCGCCTTTTACGGCAAGCATAGGTTGCTGAAGACCTATTCTACCCCGGGTCTGACCTTAACTCAAGTGACTCCGATTTGCCTCATTTTGCACATGCTCTGACAGCACTTGCCATGTCATACTTTTGTTTTCTCCGCAAAGCAAGTTGCGTTCCAGCTGTCTTTTCCAGCCATCTATTCATGCTTAACATGTCTTCAAACCATACAATATGGAGAATAACTAAGGGTGCGAGGTATTACTGGTATATCGGTTTATTGAGGTTCAATCGCTCCACGATACATATCACAATATCATTTTTTAATGCTCGGTATATCGGGATATTTCACATTTTTATCAAGTGTTTAATGTTAAGAACCAAATACCCAGAGCATGTATTCGTGCGAATTTTTTGAATTAGTAAACATTATGTTGTTGAAGCATCTTGTTTGTTCCATTCATGAACTTCAATTCATACACAGGTGTTTCAAATTGCTGAATTCAAAACTTTGAATCATACAATATATTGTGATATGTATCGCAATTTAGCCGAGTGCATTGTAAAATATTGTGATACACTTCAAACCTCCAATACCAATCTCTAAGCATAACCAATAACAAACTCTGCGTTATTGAGTATACACATTATATAGAGCATGTAGACATGGTAGAGTTAAACACTGTTATACAATATATATACAGGACTGAGTATACAACTGTTTGTGCCATGTATTATACAGACTTACATCCCCCGGATCATAACAATGGTTTCGACTCTTTATTATACAGGGTATATATATCATAGATGCACATAGATGTCTTTATTATACAGTATATTGCATAGATCATAACATTGTCTGTATCATATAGTACATGTTACATGGGTCTTGCACATTATTACACTGTACTGTCATGCATGTTACAATCTTACATTCGTATTGGCAAGATGTAATTGTGAAGGTGTGAATTGTACTACGCTTGGGATGTCACGATTCATTGATTGTACCGATGCATCTGTAGATAATTATCATGACACGATATAAGATACATGTGAATTTATATCGAATAGAAATTTAATTGAAATCGGTATCGATTTGTTCGCGTATCGATTGAGTTTGTCATCGTATTTTCTAAATTTGACACATACGAAAACTTGTTAGTGTCTGACACTTGTTTGAATAAACAGAATCAGCCTTTTTTAAAGATTATTATTTTACAAAATAATCTGCTGATAGTGATTAGAAAACATAATTGTAAATGTGATATGTGATTAAAAAGTTTGCTTCTAAATTTACCCATAAAAAGTCACTATTGCTGTATTGAGATAAGTTTCATATCGTGATCTCAAAATAGAGATAAGTATCGTATCGTGAGGTATCTGTATCGTGACACCCCTACTAAGCAGCAAATGAGGAAATTGGGAATATTCCTAGATTGGGAATAACAAACATATCCGGGTAAGTTTCGAGTCGGAAGTGCCAGATGGCTGATGAACCTGGACTTCCCTAATTTAGCCCCACGCGGAATTAAGCTCATGGGCTTAAAAAAGGAAAATATTTCTGTGTTTAGGTCCATGGGTTGAAATTCTGATACCAATTTTGGAGTGATCTTCCTCAAACTAATACCTTAGCCCCTTCGAAAGGTAATACCTGGCGATGCACTACACATGGCAAATCTAAATATACCTTCAATGAGCATGATGAGTGCAAGTTCAAGTTTAGCAATCCATGAGGTTACTTCCTGTTCAAATGTTAACGCCATGTATAATATTTTCACAGCTAAAACAACTATTTTTCTGCAAAGGTCATCCCCTACATTTTGGTAAGAAAGTGTGAGCGTCCGAAATTGAGCCCTGGGCTTAATTTCGGATTAAATATTTTAAATGAGAAAGTGCTATTTTCCTTAATTAGGCCCAGGGCTTAAATACGTGAAGTCCCGGTAGGATGGGAACTATGCTTGATGGGATTCATCCGGGAAGCAAATGTCAGGGTTGAAATTTGCAGGGGTTAGTTGATGAAGGTGTAGCTTGGAACTGGCTTATGGGAACAGCCATGGTGGCATATGTCTAGATGTCATCACTGTCAGCTCCTCAACATCCCCCATTTCTCCACACACAATCCCCTGAATCCTTTCCCGCAGTTCTTGTGACTTCAAATTACCTGCCCTTGCTTTTCAGTAATATTTTACCGACCAATCAAACATCGAGATAAGGTTGGTTGGTTCGCTATTTAATGCTGCACTCAGCAATATTCCAGCTATATGCGGTCTGTAAATAATCGAGTCTGGACCAGACAATCCAGTGATTGACATCATGCACATCGATCCACCCAATTGGGATCGATGACATGCATCAACCAAGTCAGCGAGCCTGACCACCCGATCCCGTTAGTCACCTCTTACGACAAGCATAGTTGCCTTTTACGCCAAGTATGGGTTGCCGAAGACCTATTCTACCGCTGATCTTCACGGGTCTATTGTAATGTAAGTGCTTCCCTGATAGATCTACAACCTGACCCCTCTTATCATTCCCACAATTTTACTGTAAACAACTTCACTTAGTTGTCAATGCTATCAGACTGACCGCATTGTTTAAACAGAAATAACTCAATCAGTAGCACAACAAAGATACCACTTAACAGGAGGAGGCTTGAACCACTCATAACTGACACATGTGACGAATGCACACATATTAAAAAAGAGATGTAGATGTTTGCATAACATTATAACCATCATAAGTACCATATAACAAAACAACTTATTTACCTAGATTCCTAGATAACGTGTGTACAGCTGATTGCTGTTTCCGGCTTAGTTTACAAGAACATACACAAGATAATCTTAATCCCTCGATGTAAAACAATGCCTAGCAGAACAAAAAATACAATTTAAACGTTTTTATCTCAAATTTCGAATGTGTACTGACCAAGTTTCTTGTCACCTGTTCATTTACCAAAATTCGCTGAAGGGGTAGATCTACGGTGTATTTTTTTTCTGCGCTTGATATTCAAAAATTTTTTTTGAAAAATACTGAATCCGCTAGAGGGGGGTGCGCAATATCCATGGGTGCGCACTATACTCAAGAAAATAGGGTAATATTGTTAGCAACCAGTATCAACTGAGTTGATGTAGTTAACCCACTGGCTGCACGTACTATGAGATAACACCGATGCACAGATATAAGTACTTGAGAACATCTACCCTTGTACACATGATGTAGTTATCCAGGACTCGTTATTTTTATCTTTATCTTACAAGGCCAAGGATTGGCCTACACAGCATGGTCAGACTTTCAGTATTACGTAAACCTAGTCACTATCCTTCTCCTCAGTGTAATGTTCATTTGTGTCGGAGCATGTTTGAAGCCACAACAGTCCGATCTGGTCTCTGTTGGTAGACGTTCAGTCGTAGCTGTCTACAAGATATAGTCAGCCTGGAAGTCATTCATTGCACTTTGAGAAAACTTGGATTGAGAAAACTAACCTCTACAATTACTGACTTGGATTGAGAAAACCAGCCTCTACAATTTCTAACTTGGATTGAGAAAGCTAGCCTCTACAATTACTGACTTGGATTGAGTAAGCTAGCCCCTACAATTACCGACTTGGATTGAGAAAGCTAGCCTCTACAAATACTGACTTGATTTGAGAAAGCTAGCCTCTACAATTACCGACTTGGATTAGCCTGCACAAGTACTGACTAATTCCACAAAGAAATCCAGCCTACAGAAAAATGAGTGACAAAAGCAGTGATGTTATTCTTGGAATAACAAATCCAGTGTACGATACTTCCAATGAAACAGTTCCAGAATCTCCCCCTGAAGACAAGGAACTAAAGTTCCAACTACTATCAAACCAAAACAGCCATTATGAACTAGCAAAGACCAATGAGAACGTCAACATTTGCAATGACCTCGTACACTTAACCGAAAGCACCAGTGCATGCGGTGCCGATTCTCCTGCACAAAATGCCTCGCCAGAAGCATGGGGGTTGACTGACTCTGCAGACACCCCAAGAGAAACACCCAGCCATGGGAATAATGCTTTTATAAGTCCCAGCAGCCACGGTGAGACAGTGCTGCCGAACATGTCACTACAGGATACTTTCAATAATCATGATAATACATTCACAATCACAAACAGAATGGTTTCACGTTCTAACCTTCAAAACGGTTCAGTGAAGGAAGAAGGCAAAGGCATGTTCTGTGTTTCCATGGTTACAGGAGATTCCACAAATGGTGAAAGAGGAACTAATTTCAGGGAAAATGTAACAGGCATGTCAAAAGGCACAGATGACATTACAAACAGGGACCAAGAAAACATCCATCTTCCCACAGGCACCAATGGAGCAAAACTAGCGGATGAAAATTGGTCTATTTTGTGTCATTCAAATGACATAGGTTATCTTCCTAGCCAACGAAATGCATCCCCTGACGGCCAGAGTGTGGACCTTGGTGATGGTCTGGGTGGGTTTCAGCTTCAAGACCCTACATCACACAAACCCTCAAATGGTACCGAAATTAATGCAATCATCAAAATCAGTGAGTACCGCCTTTACATTATCCTTTATCATCTTGAAGATCATGTTTATTTGTTTGTTGTTTAAGACGCACTCAGCAATATTCCAGATTTATGTTTGTGGCCGGAAAATAATCAAATCTGGACCAGACAATCCAGTGATTGATATCATGAGCAACGATCCATGCCATTGGGGTACAATGGCATGTAACCGAGCCACGAGTTTGACCACCCGATCCATTTGGTCAACACTCTGACAACCAGCAGGGGATTGATACAACGAGCAACACATCACATCATTGGGGTATCATGACACACAACCAAACAAGTAGTGGTGGGACGATAAACCGATGCATCGCTATTTTTTACTTCTCGATACAAGTATCACAGTCGCATACTAAGTATAACATGGTATAAAGTATAGATTCTTACCTTAAATGTTTTCTTGAATAAGTGTTACATGAAACACTAATTACTAGTGAGTGAGCGAGCGAGTTGGGTTTAACGCCGCTTTTAACATTATTCCAGTTATATCACGGCGTTCAGCTTAATGTGGGAGGAAAGCCCGAAATGATTCAGGTCTCACACGTTTATCACTTCGGTGAAACCCACGAGCACGGGTATGGTGCTGACAAACCTTGAAACATAATTGGGGCGAACCGGGATTCGAACCCACAATCATAGGTTTCTGGCGTGTCTAAGGGACGCAACTCTGCACAGCGAATCGCGGCACCTTAGACGACTGGGCCACCCGTGCCCCCCTAATTACTAGTGAAATGAGTAGTGAAAATGTAAATATTTTCATCCATTGCGCCATACCTGACACTGCCAACTGTTAATCATTAGTGTGCCAGGTCTTTGGCAATCCCGTCTTTGAAGAAGATGGCTTACGCACCACAGATAAGTGCACATGCAAGTATCGCAATACATATCAGATCGTAAGCAAGGTATCGCGATATGTATCAGATCTAACAAGGTATGGTGATACGTATTGGATCACACAGTTAGCGTATAGTCCCAGTCCTACAAACAAGTCATCAAGCCCAACCACCAACCCATTTAAACATAGGTTGCTGCGACCAACTCTAACCCAAAGTGCACACTGGGCTTCCCAATGACAGTCTGTGACTTTAGTCACTATTCCCAAGCCTGTGTCTAGCAAATTTCTGCTCAGTCAAGTCAGCTCAGGTGAGGTGAAATGGGGTTTAACATCGCATCCAAGATTATTGCACTTATATAGCGACCTGCATGTACGTGTGTGTGTTTGTGTGGCTGTTTGTACAAGTCCGGACTGATGCCGATTTATAGTGCTAGCTCACTGAGATACCATGCCGCAGTTTAACATGAATACCCCACTCAGACACAGTATACTGACCCCGAGCCAACAGTCCTTGTTTTAGCCCCTTATGGCGAGCGCCAGACAGGGTAACAAGTACCATCTTTTAACGTCTTTTGGTATGACGCGGCCGGGGATCGAACCCCGGACCTTCCGCTCTCCGGGCGGACGCTCTACCACTAGACCACGGAGGCGGTCCAAGTCAGCTCAGAATATTAGTCCATATAACACTAAAATCGACTGAAAATGATGATAAGAGCCAAGTTTGGCCAGTAGCCTTAAATGTTTTGGGCAAACAGTGTGATGGGGTTGACATGAGACAAAAGCCCTAACTGACCATCTGAGAGACGGACTGCAGTGTCTTGGTCAGGCCATTGATGACCAGGGAGAACTTGTACTTGCTGACGTTCACCAAACATTCCTTGTTCTGTTTGACGTTCTGTACAGACTGTGTAGTATGTAATCCTGTCTTGATAGGCAACTGAAACAGAAACAAACAGTGAGTAAGTTGGGTTTAATGCCGCTTTACAGTATTCCAGTTATATCACGGCGTATCAGCTTAATGTGGGAGGAAAGCCCGAAGTGATGCAGGTCTCAGACATTTACCACTTCGGTGAAACCCACGAGCACGGGCATGGTGCTGACAAACCTAGAAACATAATCAGGGCAAATCGGGATTCGAACCCACAATCATAGGTTTCCGGCGTGCCCAAGTGACGCAACTCTGCACAGCGAATAGCGGCGCCTTAGACGACTGGGCCACCCATGCCCCCCAGAAACAAACAGCATAATTAGACATGTTACACATTTTGCTTGTTTGTTGTTTTACGCCGCACTCAGCCATATTCCAGCTGTATGACAGCAGCCTGTAAATAATCTAGCATAGACCAGACATTCCACGGATCGATACTGCGAGCAACGATCCATGTCATCAGAGTACGATGACACGCAAGCAACCAAATCACCAAGATCCATTACATGACATAGGTGTCAACAGCAGGTTTAATTCAAGGATGGCAGTAAATCATGTTGAACACTGGACAGAAATACAGGGAAACTTCTCTAATCCACAAAAATTTATCATTTTTGCCATCTCAGATAATGATTTTCTCAACAGTAATCGTCAGGTAGGGTGGGTTCCACACAGCTCTATAGGCTTAATTCAAGTCCTTAATGAGTTGTGTATCTTCTTATTTAAAGCCACACTCATCAGTATTCCAGCCATGCCATTAATCAAGTTAGTTTAGACAAAGTGGTGGTTGATGTTATGAGCAAAGTCTTATGCTGTCACCGTACAATGGCACACAATCAATGAAGTCACCATGACCACAAGATCTATTTAAGCTGCCTATTACAACAAGCACAGGTTACTACTACTAGAGACCAAATCTAACCTGGAACTCTTGAATGGTTGCAGAGGCTAAAACCAAATAGTAACACTGTGTAGAGTTATACGCAACATGTGAATATCCAGGTTAGAATTGGTTATCAGCAACACAAGTTTGTCGTAAGAGGCGAATGTGCTTGTAAGAGGCGACTAATGGAATCGGGTGGTCAAGCTTGGTGACTCGGTTGATGAATGTCATCGTATCTCAAAAGCGTAGATCAATGCTCATGATGTCGATCACTGTATTGTCTGAACTCGACTGTCACTCAAACACTGTTATGTCGAACTTTGATGTTGCAAACTTACGCTGTCTCAAAGTAAAAGCATGGTCCCTATGTATACCTTTTTTATTTATAATTAAATTATTATTGTGTCGAACCTTGGGTAACTTGGAATATTTATGCAGGTCCCTTCAAGTTTGTCACAACAGTGTTTGACTGTATATGAACATGAATTGGGAAATTATTAATTCAACTTTGGGAATTTGTTGACATTGGGTCACTTTGGTTGGACTATCAGCCTCTAAATAAGTCTTGATATATCCTATCTTTGGATTAAAGGAAAGGGCACTTGTCAGAAGGAATAAGGTACAATGTATGAGAGTAAATGAATGCTCATTTTGAAGCGCTAAATAATGACCTGTCATGTATTACTGTCATGTCAGCTGATTTAACAAAAAAAGTATAACTTCCAAATCCAAGGTCTTCCATCAAGTATTTACAGCCTGTATGGTATATATTATTTATATCAGGGTCATAAACAACATTGTGCCATATTCATGACATTCAACAATGTAACTGAACACATTGTAGTTATTGAGCCATTTGTACTCTGTAACCTATTCTTTCTACATGTCCTGAAGTCCTGAGAAGCACTTTAACAGTTAACATAGTGACAGAATTATTTAGTTCAATTTCAAATGTCCCTACAAACACCATTCAGTCTTACGACTGTTAAGAACAAAGATATATACCATTCAGAAATGAAAATATTAAGCTTATTAACATTAACTACAATGCACTAAGTAGCTCTGCATACGATAAGTCTTTTGCAAAGTGAAATGTATATTCATAATATTAACAAAGAGCATGATTTATAATGCTCATTCCTAGACCGACATTTCCAAATAAATATGATATTTAAAATTATTTACACTGATTTACAGGATTTATAATAAACCACTTAAACATTGGTGTACACTGCCAAATATGGACTTGCCTGTATAAACTCAAATCAGGTGTGCCAGTCAATGCAATATAATGCCAAGCCCCTATCACCACCTACACAAATGCATTTTTTAAACCCATACATAGTAGAACTTGCAGCATGATGCAAATTGTGCATGCATTCACGACATGTATATTATCTCTCAACTCACATTCATTGCTAACATGCTTGAATAGACAGGATATTATCCTGAAAACTCCAAATCCGAATTATTATTTGGAGTAGAACCAAATTCAACAATATAATGAAAAAGGCATGAAACGTCGGTTTGTGAAAATCCTTTTGAATTATAATAATGTGGGATTGACAAGTATACACCATATAGCTTATATAAGTGTATACTATAGACACGACAAAATACATGCTATTGGAGAACCGATACAGTCAAAAGTGCAACAGGTCCTTTGCGATGTTCGGCGATTGTCTCCCAATTGACAGGGACATTAGTGACACTAGCTAGCTTATGTATGTTTATTTTCTATTATTTACAGCGTTTACAGGTCTATCTCGAATAAACACGACTTAAATAGTAAACAGGTGTGTGTGTCAGTCACAAGAGAGGTAATAGCGTTGTTACAGAACCAAAAACATCTAACAATAAACGCGGTGTCAACATATTCCCATATCTTCATAAATAACATTCTCGCAGTTGACATCTGTGCCGAGGAAAATTCATTCATAAATTTCAGCGACGATGCCTTACATCCCTTGACTGACGATCGCACGATCTGTGCATCGTCATATGCACGTGTCGGGTACTAACCTGAGCGTCAAACCGAGCAATGAGTGACTGCACCCATTCGCCCGGTTTCTGCGTGGCCATCGCTCAAGGTAAATACAGTATAAGCTTGTCTTCACTTCGCTAACATTGCGGCCATCATGCCTCCGTATTTTTAATGAAATCGCGCGCATGCGCACTCGAGACCCTCACTCCATTTTTGGTAACGCACCTTCTAACATATTTATGACATCATTGACCGAGAGCGAGTCTGACCCGGTTTTGATACCACCGCGGTCATCATTGGATGTTTACGAGCCGCCCCCTCACTCATCTGATAACGGGATTTGCCGATGTTTCCCGAACGCTTGTTTCCCGAAACATTTCTGCTAAGTAACATATTCCCAACTATATATCATGTATGAGCCCCGACCATTTAATAAATAAACGATATCACATATACGGCTAGTCGCATGTCGTGTTATATTAATTTGAAAATATTCGTACTCCTTGAGTGGTGCTTTTATCATCTGAATTTCAAACTTCATTTAAACCAGAGACCACATATCGCTATATGGTCTCTGTTAAACGTAAACAATATTAAACGTGTTTTGTATGGAAAGCGTTGTTTTTTTTCTGTTTGCTTATTTAATGTACAACCTTAACAAAAAAAATAACTAACACATTTAGATAACATATATATATATATATATATTACTGGGAGTTTTTTCTTAATTTAATTAGAGAGTTGAATGAAAAGTACCAACTCTTACAAACCCTAAGTGGATAATATATTTATATCTACTGGTGGCCAACGATTGAATTTCAAGGTTTTTTTGTTCTAAAGAAGTTATTTAAATTTATAATTTTCACAAAATGGATTTAATTTTTTCGTCTTTAAAATATCTGTATTAAATTTATGAATCATTGGTACTAACTCAGTCCCTTCATAATGTATGTACACTTATATATATATATATATGAATGGTGTATTCGGAACTCAATGGCCCTTCCTCGTAGCCCACGGATTTCAATTTGCATTCAACCGGCGTTCATTCACACGATGAGCCGCCTCCGTGGTCTTGTGGTAGAGCGTCCGTCCGGAGAGCGGAAGGTCCGGGGTTCGATCCCCGGCCGCGTCATACCAAAAGACGTTAAAAGATGGTACTTGTTGTTACCCTGTCTGGCGCTCGGCATTAAGGGGCTAAAGCAAGGACTGGTCGGCTCGGAGTCAGTATACTGTGTCTGAGTGGGGTATTCATGTTAAACTGCGGCATGGTATCTCAGTGAGCTAGCACTATAAATCGGCATCAGTCCGGACTAGTACAAGCAGCCACACACACGCGTGCATGCACGTCGCTATATAAGTGCAATAATCTTGGACGCGACGTTAAACCAAATTTCACCTCACCTCACTCATTCACACGAGGCATGTAGTCATAGACAAATGACACTGAAGCAGTTGTAAATCCTTTTAAGAGACCAGACGACTCACGGTCTAGTTTGTCTCGACATTGTTTGTTTGTTTGTTTGACGCCGCATTCAGTAATATTTCAGCTATATGACAGCGGTTTGTAAATAACTCATATAGGACCAGACAATCCAGTGATTGACAAAGTGAGCACCGATCCTCGCAAATTTGGATACGATAACATGCATCAACCAAGTTAGCGAGTCTGGCCACCCGATTCCGTTAGTCGCCTCTTATGACAAGCATAGTTGCCTTTTACGACAAGCATGGGCTATATGACGGCGTACTGTAAATAATCGAGTCTGGACCAGACAATCCCGTGATTAATATCATGAGCATCAATCCACGATATTAGGATCGATGGCATGCATCAACCACGTCAGCGAGCCTGACCACCCGATCCCGTTAGTCGCCTCTTGCGACAAGCATGTGTTGCTGAAGACCAAATCAACCCGGATAATCACGGGTGTCTCGACATTGTAATTTCCGTCTGTGTGGATGAGACATTATCGAATCAGAATCAGCAAAGATGGTACATGAGAATATACATATAAAATATGTATGCAGGAATTTTAAGATGAGGTGGGTTTGGGGGTCACATATTACCCAAGTCACGAAGACGTGATTTGGCCGAGAGTGAGTGAGTATGATTTTACGCCGCTTTTAGCAATATTCCAGCAATATCACGGCAGGGGACACCAGATATGGGCTTCACACATTGTACCCATCTGGGGATTCGAACCCGGGTCTTCGGCGTGACGACTGAACGCTTTAACCACTCGGCTACCCCAACGCCCCGATTTGACCGAGTGCGTTATCATGTAAAGTATCTGAAATAATGCAACCCCTAGCCTAGTGGTTAAAGTGTTCGCTCCTTATCACGAGGGCCTGGGTTCGATTCTCCTCATGGGTACAATGTGTGAGCCTATTTCTGGTGTCCCCCGCCGTGATATTATAATATTGCTAAAAGCGGCACAAAACCATATCCATTCACAGACTTTAGCATTAAAAACTTAATATTAGCGATTGACATTTCGGGGTATACGATGCCACACAAACTAGTAAGATCATGCAGCGTATATCATTTAATGCTCTTATAGAGTGAGTGTGTTGGGTTTAACGCCGCTTTTAACAGCATTCAAGTTGTATCACGGCGTGTCAGCTTAATGTGGGAGGAAAGCCCGAAGTGATGCAGGTCTCAGACGGTTATACCACTTTGGGGAAGACTTTTCTGAAGCAGATATTTCATCACTCTTGTCAATTAAAGCGGCAAAAATCAAAAGCATTAACTACTTATAACCGTATTATAAACACATTTCAGCCCCTTGGTGGGTCAAAACACATAAAAAAAACAAAGTTTTGACTAAGATTATGTGGTCTCTGAAATGAAAATATTGTTAGAGATTTTTTTTTTCAATTGTCTTTTTAAATATAATAAAAAAGGATAATCTCTTCATTCCAGAAAGTGAAAGGGAAAAACGAAAGAAATATAGACAAGGAATTGTAAGACTTACTTGGGAGTTTTCGGATATTATTTGTTTGTTTGTTTGTTTATTTGTTTGTCAGTTGTTTAACGCCGCCTCAGCAATATACCAACTATATGACGGCGGTCTGTAAATAATCGAATGTGGACCGGACAATGCAGTGATTGACATAATGAGCATCGATCCTTGCGCGTCCGATGGAATGATATGCGTCAACCGAGTCAGCGAGCCTGACCACTTGATCCCGTTAGACGCCTCCTACGACAAGCATGGGTTGCTGTAGACGAATTCTAACCCGGATATTCGTAGGTGTTCAGGGCCAGTATAAGGCCAGGTTCACACAGTGCCGATTATGGCTCCCGTTTGAGATCAGACAGCGCTGCGACACGAAAAGTGAAAAAGTCGGATTACTATCCTCAATGACCTGGTATGTCCTATCATTGTCTGAACGCAGTCGTATACGTTCGTAACAGAGTCCTACGGATCGGGAAAGGTCCAGAGAGGTCGGCCAAGCACACCCGACAGTATGGTGAGTCCCGTAACATTCGGGGAACTCAGCCGATTTTGTCTAGTAGGATTACAATCGTGACTATGTCGTGACAGATTCTGCTGTACCGGATCAGATTTGGATTGAGAACGGCAGAATCGGGACGAATCCGTTTGGAAACGGCTGAATCGGGACGCTTCCAAAACAATATCTAATTGCTTGTGAATATCCTGCCACGAATCAAAGGATCTTGATCAGACTTTTGACAAATTTTAATCGGGAATGGTCCTATCAAGGACGGCAGTAACAATCCTGATTGAGTGAGTGAGTGAGTGAGTGAGTATGGTTTTACGCCGCTTTTAGCAATATTCCAGCAATATCACGACGGGGGACACCAGAAATGGGCTTCACACATTGTACCCATGTCGGGAATCGAACCCGGGTCTTCGGCGTGACGAGCGAACGCTTTAACCACTAGGCTACCCGACCGCCCCTAATCCTGAATGTGTGACTGAGCCTTAGAGACTAACTGGACAAAGTGCTTGGTGTCGACAGTCGTACATACTCAAAAGGAGCGGGCAAAAAGTTCAGTTAGGGTAACACAATGGATTCCTCGAGGTTTGAGACAACACCCCGTATATTCAGATATTCAGTTTGGACGAAGGACTAATTCTCTTGGGGGGGGGGGGGGGGGGGGGGGGGGCACAGGTGGCCCAGTCGTCTAATGCGCCGCAATTCGCTGTGCGGATTTATGTTCCTAGGGCACGACAGAAACCTATGATTGTGGGTTCGAATCCCGGTTCGCCCCAATTATGTTTCTAGGTTTGTCAGCACCATACCCGTGCTCGTGGGTTTCACCGAAGTGGTAAACGTCTGAGACCTGCATCACTTTGGGCTTTCCTCCCACATAAAGCTGACACGCCGTGATATAACTGGAATAATGTTAAAAGCGGCGTTAAACCCAACTCACTCACTCAACCACTCTTTCTTGAGGGACAGGCAGTCTGTGATTACTCGTAAAGCTCCTATGGGATTTTTTTCTAAGTTTGCTGCATGACGCAAATATGAGTTTAGACACAAGAGGATGATATTTTCATATATTACTCTCTTTGCTTTGAGACAGATTGAACATTATGCAGTTCTGTGTATTGTGATATTAAACTTAAATTTTAATAATACTCGTATCAAATTCATCACCACCAAAAAAACATTTCTTGTTTGTTTCATTTTAGCCACGATCAAACCTTGATGTATACTTTCTTTCCCCGGCAGTTTATATATGACAGCAACCCGTGAAGATCCGGGGTAGAATATAGGTCTTCAGCAACCCATGCTTGCCGCAAAAGGCGACTGTGCTTGTCGTAAGAGGCGACGAGCGGGATCGGGTGGTCAGGCTCTCTTGACTTGGTTTGATGCATCAATCACTGGACTGTCTGGTCGAGACTCGATTATTACAGACCGCCGTCGTGTAGTTGGATTATTGCTGAGATCGTCGTTTAACAATAATAAAAAAAACAAGAAAGAAAGAAACAAACACGTTGTAATAATGTACAAACTGTCACAAATATTTGACGAGTGCGTGTATCTTTATAGGTCTTCAGCAACCCATGCTTGCCATAAGAGGCGACTTTGCTTGTCGTAAGAGGCGACTAACGGGAGTCGGGTGGTCAGGCTCGCTGACTTGGTTTGATGCATGTCATCGATCCCAATTGGGGAATATTGCTGAATGCGGCGTTAAACAACATACTAACCAACCAATAGAAGACAGCGGCCTGTACATAATTAGACTAACATCTAGTCTCTGAAATGAACATATCGTACAGAAAAAAACCAGTTGTTCAGTTATCTTAATAAAAATATAATAAAAGGGAGCCCAGTGATTCTTTTCATTTTCAGATACTGCAGTAATCTAGACTTGCCAAACATTAGACTTGCATGGGCTGTATTTGATTTATATTTGTATCAGGGTCTGTAAGACAGACTATGTACATAATGTGAGTGAGTTAACATTTAACGTGGCATCGGCATTATTTCAGCGACGAGAGCAAGTTGATATATACACAAGTAAGTCATGATGTGTCTGAAACGCAATCGACCAAGTCCCCGAGCCTGACCTTCCCATTCATAAATCAATTCTAACCCTGAATCAATCCCCACAGGGTTAGACCCCCTTCAGACAATCACCTCCGCAAACACGCGGAGGATGCTCCAGTCTCATATACACACTAGGGTAATACAGTTATTGGATCAAACAAACCGTTATATATATATCCATATAAAGACGCTCACATGACGCTTACGGGAGCGGGTCGTCAGACTCACTGACTTGGTTTCATGAATCAATCACTGGATTGTCTGGTCGAGACCTATTTACAGACCGCCGTCATTTAGTTGGAATGGTGATGAGATCGTCGTTTAACAAAAAAAAAAGAAGAGAAGAAACAAACATGTTATAATAATGTACAAACTGTCACAAATATTTGACGAGTGCGTGTTTCATTATAGGCCTTCAGCAACCCATGCTTGCCGTAAAAGGGGACTGTGCTTGTCGTAAGAGGCGACTTACGGGATCGGGTGGTCAGGCTCGCTGACTTGTTGATGCATGTCATCGATCCCAGTTGCGTGGATCGATGCTCATGATGTAAATCACTGGATTGTCTAGTCCAGACTCAATTATTTACAGACCGCCGTCATGTAGCTGGAATATTGCTGAGTGCAGCGTAAAACAACAAACGCCAAACAAGAATCATAAATCATCAATTGCTTGAAGCGGCCGTAAAATATTGAACGCTGATGTCACCTTCTTCCATTTCGAATGGTATTTTGGTGGGTGACTTGTCGAAGGCTTTTTCGTGTGTATGTTATTAAAATGTACTAATACATTTAGAAACTGTGAACTCATAGGAACCATTAATTGACATAAGCAGAACTTTGAAACAACTGATGGAAGTTTAGAAACTGCCTCAATACAGCAGTACCTCGGGGGACTCCTGGCTGAAAAAGGTCCCAAGCAACCTCAGGGGATGTTCTCGCAATAAGCATAGGCTACTGGGGACCAAATCTAACCTAGAACTTTATACCGGTAGGGGAGACCAAACAGTAACACTGTGTTGAGCTATACACAAACTGTGAAGATCTTCATCAACCCAATGAAAGCTTGTCGCAAGAGGCGACTAACGGGATCGGGTGGTCAGGCTCGCTGACTCGGTTGACGCATGTCATCCCATCGGACGCGCAAGGATCGATTCTCATAATGTCAATCACTGCATTGCCCGGTCCAGATTCGATTATTTACAGACCGGCGTCTATATTTGGAATATTGCTAAGTTCAAACGTAAGAGGCGACTATGAATCGGGTAGTCTGGCGTGGTGACATGGTTGACAGAGTGTCTTCGTATCGCTACAGCGTGGACCGTTGTTCATAGTCAAGCACTGGATTGTCTGGTTCAGACTCGATTATTTTCAGGTCGCCGTAATTTAGCTGGAATATTACTGAGTGTGGTGTCAATTTAAACAACAAACAAAACAACATTAATATCAATACATGACACAGATATTCCGTAACGCGAGTGTGCGTTACATACTGTGTCAACCGACAGAGTGCTTCCAGATCGGAATCAGCTGTTATGATACTCATAGAAAATAGAAACGCACAGCCCGATTTTGTTTTAGGAAGAATTTTGGTTTGGTTTGTTGTTTTACGCCGCACTCAGGAATATTCCAGCTATATGCATGACGGCGGTCTGTAAATAATCGAGTCTGGACCAGACAATCCAGTGATTGATATCATGAACATCGATCCACGCAATTGGGATCGATGACATGCATCAACCAAGTCAGTGAGCCTGACCACCCGATCCCGTTAGTCGCCTTTTACGACAAGCATAGTCACCTTTTACGGCAAGCATGGGTTGCTGAAGACCTATTCCACCCCGGAATCTTCACGGGTATTGTAGGAAGTAACACACATTGACTAAAAGAACTGAACACTAAGTCTTTTGCTGGACGGAGTGCTTGCAATCACCCGGCGACGTGTATCTGTTGTGAGTATGGTTTTACGCCGTTTTAAGCATTATTCCAGCAATATCACGGCGGGGGACACAAGAAATGGGCTACACACATTGTACTCATGTCGGGAATCGAACCCGGGTCTTCGGCGTGACGAGCGAACGCTTTAACCACTAGGCTACCCGACCGCCCTGGCTCTGTTGTGTTTCAGTTAGATTCCGACCCGTGAAGATTCCGGGGTAGAATAGGTCTTCAGCAACCCATGCTTGCCGTAAAAGGCGACTATGCTTGTCGTAAAAGGTGACTAACGGGATCGGGTGGTCAGGCTTGCTGACTTGGTTGATACATGTCATCAATCCCAATTGCGTGGATGGATGCTCATGATATCAATTACTGGACTGTCTGGTCTAGACCCGATTATTTACAGACCGCCGTCATATAGCTGGAATATTGCTGAGTGCGGCGTTAAACAACAAACCAACCAACCAATCAGTTAGATTCCGGGTTAAAATTCCGAGTCTTCAGCAATCCATGCATGCTTGTCGTAAGAGGCGACTAACGGGATCGGGTGGCCAGGTTTACTGACTTGGCGTGTGCATGTAATCGTATCCCAAATGCGTAGATCGATGTATGATGTCAATAACTGGATCGTCCCGTCCAGACTCGATTATTTACAGACCGCCGTCAAATAGCTGGAATATTGCTGAGTGCGGCGTTAAACAACAAACAAACATTACAATCACTAATGCGTTTCCTTTTTTAATGTGCATATGTCGTAACATGACCGTGTGGTAAGTGTAACGTATGTCAGCTGATTGTGACTGAACTTACCATGACCCATATATAAAGTTGACTAATTTCCGTCATTGTGTATTTATCAGCTCGCGTCTTATCACTGCATTCACGCGATGTCAACGAGTCTCTATAACCTACATAGCACCACGCAACGCAGTTTTCAGGCTTTAAATCGAAACAAGGACTTTGTGAATCATGGAGATTGATCATGGATATTACTAGTGGGATTGCATCGACCAGTGCGTGTGTGTTTATCACTTGACCGTAACAATGTACAGTAGTGTGGCAGGTAGGTCGGTGCGATGCATGTATTTAACAATTTTCAAGATTATTGAGGTGACCATAAGTGTTCGCTTTAACTTGCGACTTCTTATCAGTGCTATGTTTCAACAGGAAATTATTGTAGTTCCAGGTCCGTGAGGAGTAGGGGTGTTGGGGGAAGGCGAGGCGCCCCACCCCCTCTTCCCACACCACACAGACACACACATACGCACACACACACACAGAGACACAAAACACACACACACACACGCGCGCGCTCCCCCCCCCCCCCCCCTCACTCTCTCACACACATACGCACACAGACACAAAACACACACGCGCTCCTCCCCCCCCCCCCCCCCCCCCCCCCTCACACACACACACACACACACACACACACACACACACCACTTCTATGCCCACCCCCTCTGCCACTAAGCTACAAAAATATGTTTCTCCCCCGCATCCGAGAAACGTTACAGAAACACCTATAGTTCTAAATGGTGGTTTCATATTTACAGGAAACAATATAAGACATAAATCTTATTTTATTCAATCGAAAACCTTTGTGGTGGATGCACAGAATTGATCCTTAATCCCGACCGGCATGTTTCTAATAAAATACATCGCTATGTATTTCTTTTTATATTATATCACAATACAATACGACTAAAGGGGTATTGGGGGGCAGACTTGCATGGTGATATACGGCTGGTGAATATTACGTGTAACATTGTACCCGGAAGGCGTCTGCCAGACCCAACAGAATTAATTAAAAAACGAAACCAACTTCAACTCTAGGTTGATTTGGCAAGTCTAGATTGATTCAACGCATATCAAGTTTTGTTCTAGGCTCCATTTGGATTTATTTTTTATTTTGTTAATCAATATTTTTCAAGAAGATAACTTTGTTTCCGGGACGAAAGGGTAACCAAGCGTGGGACATAAAGTCATGAGAGCACCCAAATGTAGCTTTACTACCTGGCCAAGAATCAATTATATATGTGTACAATGCTGGAATATTTCTGACTGCGTCTTGAAATAACAAAAAGCTAGAAGCTATAACTAAAGTACTTTAATACTGTTACTGCAATGAAATATTACATGTTGATGTGACAAGGAAATGATTGAGGTTCTGATAATGAAACGCGCGTTATTAAAACATGCATGCAGCATATCATAATCTAAATATTATAATACATTCTGGAAAGTTGTTTATTGTCACAACTCAAACAAAAATTTACCCCAATATCGCTCGATGCTTTATCAGAAGAAGTCACGGCACTATACCAGAAATAGTTGTGTGGAATATCTATTCTTTAGCTTTCGTTTACTTCCGGTTTAAGCCTCACTGCCTCATGACTTGCTTGGTTATGGATACGGAAACACAGTATTTCTAAAGGACTATGACTTAATATTGGAAGTCCCAAATGAATAACTTTGTCCCGCCTTTTGACGACACTGTATTGATGGACGACATGCCCGTTCCTATTACAGAATCGGACACAGCGCCGATAGTTGAGAACGAGGAAAATGGACACGCCGTTGCCAATGTTCCTGATACCGAAGCAGTTCAGCCTTCAGGCAGTGGAATCAGTCGGGTGACATCCTACATCACCGTAGCGACGCTGCTTGTCATCAACTTGCTCAACTACATGGATAGATACACAGTATCAGGTAAAATAGTGGTTGAAGAATGAGGAAATGTTACTTGAATAATGTCAATATTGAGCCTTGAGACACATAGGGGCGTGGTTAGGTGTGTCAGCAGCTCAATATATTTTTCGTCTTGTTCCATCCGCTCATGTTATAGATTGTGACAAAACTGTAGTTTGCTTGGTATAGTTATGGGAAATTAATCATCCTTGGAAATTTGTTGTTTATAAGGCTAGTAGGGCTGGGACGGGTAACTCGGGTCGGGTAGGTCCTGAGTAGGACCCGGGTACCCACAGGACTACCCGGACCCGTGGTTAGTCACGTGATATATTGTTTGATGACAAAAACTCACTATAGCTCATTGGTTACACCACAAGTCGCTAATGTTCGCATTTCTTTCTGACGATGCACACATTCCTTTTGGCTGGTATATGTTTCAGTAAAGATAAAACTGAAGTCAACTTCAGTGTATTGATTGTTTGATACAAGAATCTAAATAGGTTTGGCCAGGGCTGCAATAAAACAATTCCCAATCAGACATTTTGTTCCCAATTCTTGAGACCTGCAGTGGGTACCCGGTAGGGCCGGGTAATATGGGATCGGGTACCCGGGTAGTAAATTTGGACTCGTCCCAGCCCTAAAGGCTAGTCCAGAGGACTAGTGGATAAACCTTATTTCACTCAAAGACCCTGCTGAGAGCTGCGATGGGGTCCTACAGTCAATACATGACCCTACAACACGTCGGAGAACACCACCTTTATAAATCCCATTCAGACTGTGGTGGTTGACTACCCTCATATTTTTTCTGAGATTTATAAAAAATATTTCCCTTGGGTTTGTGACTGAAAATATGATATCGTTGTACTCCCAGATAATTTCCCAATCTATTCACATGTTTGACATAACTTTATTACCACAACTTTAAGCAATTACATACCAGACTTACCAGTAAGCCGTTCGCTTCGTGTTTCGGCAGTAGTGAGCTGACATGGTCTATGTGTATGTGCTTGATTTCTATGGACTGATTCTGCATGAGTTTTCTCAAAGCTGTATGAAGTACGCAATCAGGTGAGCACCTTGATTAAAAAACATGACAAGATTTGGAAAATATCTGTTGACACCGAGTTGGTGGCACACATGCTTTGCAAATCCCGCAATCGACTGAAATCTGCACAGCAGTTTAAAACCAGATCGAATTTGATTGATCCAGCCAAAATATGACTTCATAGTTCCCGCCTACAAGGGTGGAAACTGGGCTTTTATGGTCAGTTAACTCCCTTGCCTCAGGAAGATGTACAAAACAAGCGTTAGCCTTGACTAGTACAAACAGCCATACACACACACACACGTGCATGCACATCGCTATATAAGTGTAATAATCTTGAATGCGATGTGAAACTCCCTTTCACCTAACCACAAACTCTTGAGGAGTAGTGAAGTAAGGTTTCCTCTTGTCCTCCAGACTAGTCTTAAAACAAAAAGATTGTCTAGGGCTGTTGGATTCAGAAAAAGTGTACAGTGTTCTCTAGAAATGAGAATGTTATGTGTTATCTATCATCTTCTGAAGGTAGGGTAATGTTGGCAATTGAAGTTTCATTCCACAGAGTTGTGTCCCTTGGATACTCTGGACACATATGATCATGGGTCAAAAACCGGTTCGCCCCGATTATGTTTCAAGGTTTGTCAGCACCATACCCGTGCTCATGGGTTTCACCAAAGTGGTAATACGTCTGAGACCTGCATCACTTAGGGCTTTCCTCGCACATTAAGCTGACATGCCGTGATATAACTGGAATTCTGTTAAATGTGGCGTTAAATTTGATTTGCTATACTACTTGTCTAATGGACCAACCAGAATGCAAGTAACAAACCAGACTCAATTTTTGGTTCTCGATATTAACACCATGACTGGCAGTCCCATTGGTTACTATAGAGTTTGCAAGAAATTCAACATAAAAAAACTGACAGACATGCCAAAGAAAGCACTAAAAAGACGTTTTGATGGATAGGATGTCTTCATGTCCATTAAAACTGGCAGTGGCAACACCCTTACTCATTTCTGTTTTCCTTTATCTTAAGGGGGCACGGGTGGCCCAGTCATCTAAGGTGCCACGATTTGCTGTGCAGAGTTACGTCCCTTGGGCACGCCAGAAACCTATGATTGTGGGTTTGAATCCTGGTTCACCTGATTATGTTTCTAGGTTTGTCAGCACCATACCCGTGCTCGCGGGTTTAAAAAAAGCGGTAAATGTCTGAGACCTGCATCACTTCGGGCTTTCCTCCCACATTAAAACCGACACGTCGTGATATAACTGGAATACTGTTAAAAGCGGCGTTAAACCCAACTCACTCACTCACTCACTCACTCAACTTTATCTTGACATTTGATTGGTTGGTAAAATGTAAATGAAAATCCAGGGCGGTTAGTTTGAGATTGCGAGAACTACCGTAATGGATCCAGGGGTAAGTGTAGGTTATCGAGATGCAATCCCTGGAGATACAGGGGATGCTGAGGGTGGTGTTAATCAACGTAGTTGTGATCCCCTTAATTCATATGTGCAACATGAGGAATGTCAATAAACATCAGTTTTTCTTGAACGTTATTCTTTTAATATCAGACATAAATTTTTAAAATATGGAAAATCCATTGCATAAATGATGAAAAATGTAATTGATTGATATGATATTGGTGCCATCAGTGGTAACCATGGTAACAGTGATATTTGATTTATAGTTTAACAGTAATAGTTACTGAAGTGGTGAAGGAGCTCATTGTTCAGTTTTAATGAACTGTATTGCAATTACATTGGTGGCCATCATGTGAAGTTGATTTGGTTGGTTGGTTGGTTGGTTGTTTAACACCGCACTCAGCAATATACCAGCTATATGAAAATGTAAGTAATCGAATCTGGACCAGACAATCCAGTGATTGATATCATGAGCATCAATCCACGCAATTGGGACCGATGACATGCATCAACCAAGTAAGCGAGCCTGACCACCCAATCCCATAAGTCGCCTCTTACGACAAGTACCCTATTCGACGTAATAAGCGCCCCGCTCTAATAAGCACCCACGGCGATATTTGCTAATATATTGGCAAGTGAACATAGCCATTAGCACCCCTTCCGATTGATCAATGTACACAAGACTTATTTATTCGTGTATAATACACACTCGTGTGTTATATGCACCCTTAATTATGGGCAATTAAATTCTGGAAAAATATATCTGTCGTATATAAACAGTTCAAACCGTCAGCATAAACCACAAAATTTATCTTTCAACTCTGTTTTTTCCACCAAAATAATATTCTAATAAGAGCCCCCCATTTCTAATTTTGAGAGCGCCCTGGGCGCTTATTACGTCAAATACAGTATAATCACTTTTTACGGCAAGCATGGGTTGCTGAAGACCTTTTCTACCCCGGAATCTTCACGGGTCATGTGAAGTTGAAGTCCCACTGGGTATAGATTGTGAAGTCAAGGAATTGTAAGCGTGGTAAGGGAGTAGGTAAAACATTTGATGTCTCATAACACTGAATTCCTTAAGTTTTGAAACCAGGGATACGGAAATATTTTTTCGCAAATCAGACATTTGCATTTGGCCACACCCACCTCATATCTGAGGTGCTGGATGTTTATGCATGATTAAAAGAATAAACTCAAGTGTCACTTTCATGACATGTATACTTGATATACATACAATATATTAACAATTCAACGTCACATAGATCTAATATTTACAATTTCAACCTATCGGGATGTTGGTTTTACTAACTTGGCTATGGAACACTTTCCACTTTAAAGCTGTCTGTTGCGTCTAGCTTTCCAGCGTCGCATCGTCGGTGTTGAGTCGAAATCCGTCAATTTTGGTCAACAAAGCAATATACGCATAAGTCTGTCCAGTGTCTCCATCGTTAATCTACATCTCGGTCGCATCTTAATGAGGTTTTGTTTAGAAAATCCCCTCTCACATTCTACGCTGGACACGGGCAGTACACGACCAATCTCCATGAGCTTCACTGATTGGTCAATTTAGAAGCATGTGCTTTACTCAGTAGCTGTCCATATGTCAACCGTCTGTAGTTGTTGAAGATTAAAGGCCGAAATATTCCCCATTCTCGTTCTAATTGGTCTTTATCGATTAGGGTATGTCCTTTTAATCTGCTGCCATAATGGATCCTTAACCTAGAAATACTCTGATCTCACTACGTTGTGAGGTCAAATTGAAACATAGCCACTCAACCCATTAACAATGTTGACAGTTCTAGGGCCGGTTCCACAAACCGATCTTGGCGCTAAGATGAATGTAACTCCCATACTTAAACATAGGCTTATTGTGGTCGGGGTGCTAAGATCGCTTTGTAGAACGTGACCCTGGATCCCTCAACCAATAATCTGAATATTTGGTAATCCAGGCACTTGCTTAGTTGCTATGGTAATCCATGATCTAGCTGTGATTCTGCTATATTTAACTGCTGTATCATTACCTAAAGCGCTGTTGGATATGCTAGAAAAATGTTTTTCTGGCTTCATTTAATTATTACGATTCATAGGGCTAGGAAAAAAGGAAATATGACTTTTAACGAGTCAAAGTATGGCATTTATGATATATGTATCCATTCTCTGTCAACTAATGTTCGTTTCAAGGCGTCAATAGCGGTAATCTGACCATGGTTGCTGTTAATAATTGTGAGTTGTGCAATCTTCCGATCGCTTCACACACGATTTCGCTGAAATTAATTAAAACAACATTAAAAGGAATTTTGAATAAAATTAATGTAATAAGTTACATACGTAAGACCAGATATACAAAAACACTTTTTATAGCCAGACAGTGAAATTACATGATTAATTTGCATACGTCAGGATGGATTTGTTGACATGGTATTGCTTGTGCTACGTGCTCATGGTAATATCTTTCCATGGTGAAAAAAACATCAAAACTCATTATTTCGTGTATAATGCGCACCCCCTTCTTCACAGCTGTGTTTTTTGGAAAAAAAAGTGTGCACTATACTCAAGAAAATACGGTATATCAAAATTGAGCAAATCTACCTAATATATCCTATCCTATGGACTCTGATTACCGGTAGCCTTAAAAGGAACTTTTACAGGTAAAATGACGATAAATTCAGAAATTATTCTTGTATTGTCATGCATGTATTAAAATGGCTGTAGCCAGAGGTAATTACCTAACACCTGTCCCAAGGTGATGACCTCACACTGGCCGTGTATTCGCACAGACTACATTATTATGATTATTATTATGATTAAGAGACTCATTAGGCAATAGACAATAAATCTGAACTTGCGGTTTCCGTTCGAATTTTTCTCCTGTAAAATTGTCGATAGGACTCCTTGCGACTAAAATACTTCAAACCACAGGTAGGTAGATTGGTAGTTACTCAATATTTCTGTCCTTCTGTAACTGGCAAAAAGCATTTTTCTGGCATTTCCGACAGCACTTTGCCTACTTGTATTCCAGGGGTACTGCTCCCTCTCCAGAGTTTCAATGGAATCAGTAATTCCCCAAGCCATGATTCTGCTGTATTTAACTGCCGTGTCCTTACCCAGCTTTCTTTATTCCAGGCATACTGCTCCCTCTCCAGAGTTTCTATGGAATCGGTAATTCCCAAGCCATGATTCTGCCGTATTTAACTGCCGTGTCCTTACCCAGCTTTCTTTATTCCAGGCGTACTGCTCCCCCTTCAGGATTTCTATGGAATCGGTAATTCCCAAGCCGGTCTCATTCAGACATCCTTCATCTGCACATACATGATCTTCTCCCCAATATTCGGTTACCTTGGCGACAGATACACCAGGAAGTACATCATGGCCTTTGGCATCTTCATGTGGTCCGTGTTCACACTCTCTGCATCCTTCATTGGCAAAGATGTAAGTTGAAGAAGTCACATTGTTTGCAGGGGCACATAGCGACCTTTGCGCTAAGATGATCATAACTATGGGCGGCCATTCGGTCAAAAAATACAGAGTTTAAAAAAAGGACAAAAATATGCAATTAAGGTCAAATATTACGAATAAAGAATTAAATGTTACTACTAAAGGTCAAAATACAATATTAATAGTCAAATGTTACGAAAAGACGTCCAAAGAAAAGAAAGAACAATGTGTACGAAAGGACGTTTTCAATTAAGAACGTCAGTGAGCACGAAAGGACATTTCAATAAAGAACGTCAGTGAGCACGAAAGGACGTTTTCAATAAAGAACGTCAGTGAGCACGAAAGGACATTGACAATAAAGAACGCCAGATGGCGCTGCAATTTGTAAAATATTCCGAGTTTAATCGGCTTGTTCCGCCGTTTATATGATAACTGCATGCCGAGGTGCACAATGTATCACGTCATTCCTCATGCACTCACCGTCTTATTCGTAATATTTGACCTTAATTGCGTATTTTTGTCCTTTTTATAAACTTTGTATTTTTTTGACCGAATGGCCGCCCATACATAACTCCATACTTTAAGATTGACTTATGATGGTTAAGGTACTAAGATCACTTTGTGGAATAGGACCTTGTTTCACAAATTGATGTCAACTCAGGTGATGGTTAGTCCGTCTCAGAGCTACAGATAAGCAAATGTACAAAAACAGCATTTGTAAATACCCAATGAAGCTTTTTCAGCATGTGTGCAACAAGGCTAATTTCTGGAACACAATTACGAGCTAACTTACTTTCCGAGTCAAGCCCTTATATACATGTAAAATATTATATTTATTTTTTTGAATCTCTAAATGTTAGATCATTTTGGGAAAACCCCAATAGAGTGATGAATAGATGAGTGAAAAAATATTGGTTACCCAATGAAAAATGTGATTACCCAATTAAAATAGAAACCTTTGAGTAAAAACTCAATTGCTCAAAAGGTTATCTGGAGGTCTGATATTTTTATGGTTATTTATCTTTACCATGTTTTCCAAACTAAAACCTGTTTAATATTTTACTAATGTTATGTGTAATTTTTGACAAAATGTGGTCATATTGTAAGGTATCATTGGGGTAGCCCTTGACAGTGTTATTTGTATAATGTTTACTGTTGAACTGGAACTGTTCTTATCATACCACTACTTATGCTTGCAGTCATTCTATGCATTTGTGTTGCTGCGAGCGCTGGTGGGTATCGGTGAAGCTAGCTACTCGACGATCGCCCCCACCATCATCGCTGACCTGTTCTCCAAAGGCATGAGGACGAAGATGCTGATGGTGTTCTACTTTGCCATTCCAGTTGGAAGGTAAACCCAAGAGAGTTACAATCATAATAATAATAATAAGAAGAAGAAGAAGAAGTCAAAATTTAAACAGTTCTTCACTTCTGGACTGTCTGACCAGAGCCAAAAAAACACAGTGAAAACAAAATAGAAGTTTTGTCATTGATTATGTGCCAGTGCATATGCTGATGAAAAACGAAACTAAAAGAATTCATATACAAAATGCAGCAGCTATTATTTTTAATAATAACTGATTACGTGCATACTATTATATCCCTGGTACATATTTTAATACATTTTCTAAAAGCTTATTCTTTGTAGAGTTACACAATATGTCATTTTTCAGACACAAGCCAACACACGTCTGTCATCGCATTAAAACATGTTTACTTTCTTGAAAACTACATGTACCGTCTCTCAAAAACTTAACTGTTGCAGAAGCCGATAAGGGGAGGTAACTGATACTTTGCTAAAATATTCAATCGGAATGTCCATCTTGTTACATGAAATATCTCTGTCTGAATGGTATGTATATATACACAATATTTAGTGTGTAGTTTTGAGATGATTTGTGATTAGGAAATATATTTTAGTGCCATTTTCGTCTAAGTGTTCAAGTATTGTTCCAATGTCTGTACCTACTCCATGTTTTTCAGCGGCCTGGGCTACATTGTGGGGTCCTACGTTGCGAAGGCGATGCACAACTGGCAGTGGGCTCTACGGGTAGGTTCTGTTTTCTGTACCTTCACAATAACAATTTCCATATGCAGAACTACACCATGTAACTGTAAGTCATTCCTGAATATTGACAGCTGAAGACTACCTCCGAGATTTTGATTCCAGTTAAACAGGAGCCAATCCCGCGCTAAGGACTCTGTGTCTGTCTAGTGTTGATTCTAGTGTTGTGTTCTTAGTGTTCCTGGTTCAACCAGGCCTCTGTGCTCTGTCTAGTGTTGATTCTAGTGTTGTGTTCTTTGTGCACCAAGTAACACCAGGTCTAGGTGCTCTGTCTAGTGTTGATTCTAGTGTTATGTGTCAGGTTACACCAGGTCTAGGTGCTCTGTCTAGTGTTGTTTATAGTGTTATGTTTCAGGCTACACCAGGTCTAGGTGCTCTGTCTAGTGTTATGGTCTAGGTGCTCTGTCTAGTGTTGATTCTAGTGTTGTGTTTCAGGTTACACCAGGTCTAGGTGCTCTGTCTAGTGTTGATTCTAGTGTTGTGTTCCAGGTTACACCATCTCTAGGTGCTCTGTCTAGTGTTGATTCTAGTGTTGTGTTCCAGGTTACACCAGGTCTAGGTGCTCTGTCTAGTGTTGATTCTAGTGTTATGTTCCAGGTTACACCAGGTCTAGGTGCTCTGTCTAGTGTTGATTCTAGTGTTGTGTTCCAGGTTTCACCAGGTCTAGGTGCTCTGTCTAGTGTTGTTTCTCATGTTATGTTCCAGGTTACACCAGGTCTAGGTGCTCTGTCTAGTGTTGATTCTAGTGTTATGTTCCAGGTTACACCAGGTCTAGGTGCTCTGTCTAGTGTTGATTCTAGTGTTGTGTTCCAGGTTTCACCAGGTCTAGGTGCTCTGTCTAGTGTTGATTCTAGTGTTATGTTCCAGGTTACACCAGGTCTAGGTGCTCTGTCTAGTGTTGATTCTAGTGTTATGTTCCAGGTTACACCAGGTCTAGGTGCTCTGTCTAGTGTTGATTCTAGTGCTGTGTTCCAGGTTACACCAGGTCTAGGTGCTCTGTCTAGTGTTGATTCTAGTGTTGTGTTTCAGGTTACACCAGGTCCAGGTGCTCTGTCTAGTGTTGATTCTAGTGTTGTGTTCTTTGTGTTCCAGGTTACACCAGGTCCAGGTGCTCTGTCTAGTGTTGATTCTAGTGCTGTGTTCCAGGTTACACCAGGTCTAGGTGCTCTGTCTAGTGTTGTTTCTCATGTTATGTTCCAGGTTACACCAGGTCTAGGTGCTCTGTCTAGTGTTGATTCTAGTGTTATGTTCCAGGTTACACCAGGTCTAGGTGCTCTGTCTAGTGTTGATTCTAGTGTTGTGTTCCAGGTTTCACCAGGTCTAGGTGCTCTGTCTAGTGTTGATTCTAGTGTTATGTTCCAGGTTACACCAGGTCTAGGTGCTCTGTCTAGTGTTGATTCTAGTGTTGTGTTTCAGGTTACACCAGGTCCAGGTGCTCTGTCTAGTGTTGATTCTAGTGTTGTGTTCTTTGTGTTCCAGGTTACACCAGGTCCAGGTGCTCTGTCTAGTGTTGATTCTAGTGCTGTGTTCCAGGTTACACCAGGTCTAGGTGCTCTGTCTAGTGTTGATTCTAGTGTTATGTTTCAGGTTACACCAGGTCCAGGTGCTCTGTCTAGTGTTGATTCTAGTGTTGTGTTCTTTGTGTTCCAGGTTACACCAGGTCCAGGTGCTCTGTCTAGTGTTGATTCTAGTGCTGTGTTCCAGGTTACACCAGGTCTAGGTGCTCTGTCTAGTGTTGATTCTAGTGTTGTGTTCCAGGTTACACCAGGTCTAGGTGCTCTGTCTAGTGTTGATTCTAGTGTTGTGTTCCAGGTTGCACCAGGTCCAGGTGCTCTGTCTGGTGTTGATTCTGGTGTTATGTTCCAGGTTACACCAGGTCTAGGTGCTCTGTCTAGTGTTGATTCTAGTGTTGTGTTCCAGGTTGCACCAGGTCCAGGTGCTCTGTCTAGTGTTGATTCTAGTGTTGTGTTCCTTGTGTTTCAGGTTACACCAGGTCTAGGTGCTCTTTGTGTGGTGTTGATTCTAATATTCTGCAAGGAACCACCACGAGGCCACTCTGAGGGTGGAACACATCTTGTCAACACAAGCTTTTTGCAGGATATTAAAGCTCTATTAAAAAAGTAAGAGTATATTTACCTATTTGTCAGTCATGCATAATTAATGCTTGAGGATACTACAATTAAGATATTCAATAAAGCTGCCAGGTTATCATTATACTGGAGTATCTCATTCTTGATCTTTTGATATCAAATATATCAACAGAAGTCGATAAAATGTTTACTTTTCTTGACAAGTTATGATATATTTGTTATCGAAAGGGAGATAAGTGCAAAACAATGTGATGAAATTCATTGCTGCCATATCTCCTCAGATATCTCCTTGGAGATATCGCTTGATCTCACCCTAGTGATATCTCCTGTGGAAGCCAGATTGGTATGATACAATGAAGAGATGTGTATTGTGAATAAGTTAAATGGTGATGATGATGATGATGATGATGATGATGATGATGATGATGATTGGTATGATACAATGAAGAGATGTGTATTGTGAATAAGTTAAATGGTGATGATGATGATGATGATGATGATGATGATTGGTATGATACAATGAAGAGATGTGTATTGTGAATAAGTTAAATGGTGATGATGATGATGATGATGATGATGATGATTCGTATGATACAATGAAGAGATGTGTATTGTGAATAAGTTAAATGGTGATGATGATGATGATGATGATGATGATGATGATGATTGGTATGATACAATGATGAGATAAGTATTGTGAATAAGTTAAATGGTGATGATGATGATGATGATGATGATGATTGGTATGATACAATGAAGAGATGTGTATTGTGAATAAGTTAAATGGTGATGATGATGATGATGATGATTGGTATGATACAATGATGAGATAAGTATTGTGAATAAGTTAAATGGTGATGATGATGATGATGATGATGATGATTGGTATGATACAATGAAGAGATGTGTATTGTGAATAAGTTAAATGGTGATGGTGATGATGATGATGATGATTGGTATGATACAATGATGAGATAAGTATTGTGAATAAGTTAAATGGTGATGATGATGATGATGATGATGATGATGATGGTGATTGGTATGATACAATGATGAGATGTGTATTGTGAATAAGTTAAATGGTGATGATGATGGTGATGATGATGATGATTGGTATGATACAATGATGAGATGTGTATTGTGAATAAGTTAAATGGTGATGATGATGATGATGATGATGATGATGATGGTGATTGGTATGATACAATGATGAGATGTGTATTGTGAATAAGTTAAATGGTGATGATGATGGTGATGATGATGATGATTGGTATGATACAATGATGAGATAAGTATTGTGAATAAGTTAAATGGTGATGATGATGATGATGATGATGATTGGTATGATACAATGAAGAGATGTGTATTGTGAATAAGTTAAATGGTGATGATGATGATGATGATGATGATGATGATGAACTGTGGTTTGTATGCGTAATAAGTGCAGTATTAGATACTTAAACCATGTAAACTGACATTAGTGAGGTATAATTAATTATGGTCCAAATTAAGTAAGTGAATATTGCGTTATGCCACATCAACAATCTGCAGCTGTGTGCAGCCGGGGCATTGAAAGTTTCTGTACAGTTGTGTCCCTTTCCTATGCCAGGATCCGGTGGAAAATGTCTCACTTTGGGCTTTCCGCCTACAGTCACTGCAATACTTTTCAGAACAAACTAACACACCCACTCTCAGTTATGAAACAGGTGGTCACTCTGAATTGCCTTTTAATATATGCATCAGTGTGAAGTTTCAGAGTTTTCTGAAGTTGAGAAACATAATATGAGCATGATGAACATAACACTTTGACAGAAATATTGTCATACAAGAGTTACCTCCCCACAAGTTGTCCCCCTTTACTGTAAGTGCCTGGGACGTAAACAAACTGTTGACTTCCTTTTTACATCAGTTCCATGTTGACAAGGGAAAATAATGAGAGATGGTTATTTATGGAGTTAATATCGCTATCATTATTCTCAAGAAAATGTTTGGTTATAAACTGTAAATTTCTCATTAAACCCGTCAATGGAGACTGTTCGTTTCGCAGAGCGCCATTTTTGTTACTTGACCAGCGTTATGACACAGTTATGATGCAGAAGGACACTGTGATAATACTGATTTGTCTTATGTTTCAGCACCAGTTTTATGTTCTCGACGGGCGGCTTCACGTGTGTGGCCTTCGTGACGGGAGCTCTGGCCTTCTGGGCCCCGACATATATGGTGGATTCTATAGAATCTCAAAGTCAGACAGTTGACATGTCACAGTAAGTACTGCCACTCTACCAGTGTCTGAAATAAACTGCCTGCCCGCCATCCCGTGGCTGGTAACCTTTCTGTTGGGCTGCATGAAATTTTCCTCCACCTGCCGACTGTTGGGTAGATAATTTTAAGCCAACTTACGTATTCAGTTATATTATAACTCCTTGAAGAGTCTCAATCAATTGTTTGCATTATTTCAATGATTCAAGACACGATTTGACTCTTATTTTTCGCAAGTTTTCAATATTTATAGTGTCTGAATGCGTGCAGGTAAGTTTGAAGATGGGCAGGCAACAGTTATGGGTCACCTGCCCGACTGTCTTGTTGGGTTTTAAGATTATTTCAAACACTGCACACTACACTCCAGGGTGAAATGATACACCTTAGTCACAAGAAATTGCATTTTTTACAGAAAACAAAAGACACTTTTATTGATGCTAAATGTCCATTTTATTTAAGACATTATTTATGACCAGTGTCATTTTGTAGACCATACAGATCCTAAAAAGTTTTGTTTGTTTGTTGTTTAATGCCGCACTCAGCAATATTCCAGCTATATGACGGTATGTAAATAATTGAGTCTAGACGTGACAATCCAGTGATTGATATCATGAGCATCGATCCAGGTAATTGGGATACGATACCATGCATCAACCAAGTCAGCGAGCCTGACCGCCCGATCCCGCTAGTCGCCCCCGTTAGACTATGATAGTCACCTTTTACCCTAAAAAATTAATATTTGCAATAGAATGTGCTTTCCTGATATATCTTTTACTCACTTATTGTACCACAGAAAAACATAAATTTTGCTTACCCGAAACAATGAAAACGAAAGTGGGCTTTCTCCCTTGTTGATAGCAAGACCTGTGATAGCGGCCATAAAATTTTTTCGAGTCCTTGAATCACGAACCTTCTGATCAGAGGTCGGACGCCTTGTTCCCATGACCAAAGAGGTTAACCCCGTCAGCAAGCTGACAAGGTAAGGATGTCATCTGTGGGATGACTCCACGCCCTGCTGCAATAGCAAGACCTGTGATTATCTTCAGTGGTCAAATGTATATGGATTACAATGTATGATTGATAGTCAGGACACAAACACACTCCCCTCCCTCTGTCTCCACAGAGTTATGATATGTATGATAAACCCAAGGAGATTTTCAAGGTATTTTGAACGCCTGTTAACCTATCTTGATCACCGTTGTATGATTGATTTCTGTTCTTCTTTCAGAGTAGCACAAATATTTGGTGTCATCACTGTAGCTGCTGGGTTCATTGGCGTTGCGCTGGGGGCAGAGACGGCCAGGAGATACAAGAAGATCAACCCCCGGTCTGATCCCCTGATCTGTGCCCTGGGACTCTTGTCATCAGCGCCATTCCTCTTCTTTGCTCTTGTCCTGGCCAATTACTCAACGCCAGCCACATGGGTGAGTAGTCAGCTACAGTTATCTCCCTTGGAACACTGCGCAATCAAGCTCCTTACAATGATAGCCGGTTCGTGGTGCTCTCTATTTTTGCTAGCCAGACGGGCCATCTATGTTACGTTTCAGTAAGCCCTTTGTAATTTTAACTGGCCACAGGCTAACGGGCCAGCAGTTAAATCTACCACTGTACACCATATCTGCCACCAGTCACAGCTCCTTACAGTGATAGCCAGTTCGTGGAGCTCTCTGTACTATATCTCTGCCACCAGTCACAGCTCCTTACAGTGATAGCCAGTTCGTGTAGCTCTCTATACTATATCTGCCACCAGTCACAGCTCCTTACAGTGATAGCCAGTTCGTGGAGCTCTCTGTACTATATCTGCCACCAGTCACAGCTCCTTACAGTTATAGCCAGTTCGTGAAGCTCTCTGTACTATATCTGCCACCAGTCACAGCTCCTTACAGTGATAGCCAGTTCGTGTAGCTCTCTATACTATATCTGCCACCAGTCACAGCTCCTTACAGTGATAGCCAGTTCGTGGAGCTCTCTGTACTATATCTACCACCAGTCACAGCTCCTTACAGTTATAGCCAGTTCGTGAAGCTCTCTGTACTATATCTGCCACCAGTCACAGCTCCTTACAGTGATAGCCAGTTCGTGTAGCTCTCTATACTATATCTGCCACCAGTCACAGCTCCTTACAGTGATAGCCAGTTCGTGAAGCTCTCTATACTATATCTGCCACCAGTCACAGCTCCTTACAGTGATAGCCAGTTCGTGGAGCTCTCTGAACTATATCTACCACCAGTCACAGCTCCTTACAGTGATAGCCAGTTCGTGGAGCTCTCTATACTATATCTCTGCCACCAGTCACAGCTCCTTACAGTGATAGCTAGTTCGTGGAGCTCTCTATACTATATCTGCCACCAGTCACAGCTCCTTACAGTGATCAGCCAGTTCGTGGAGCTTTCTATACTATATCTCTGCCACCAGTCGTAGCTCCTTACAGTGATAGCTAGTTCGTGGAGCTCTCTATACTATATCTCTGCCACCAGTCACAGCTCCTTACAGTGATAGCTAGTTCGTGGAGCTCTCTATACTATATCTCCCACCAGTCACAGCTCCTTACAGTGATCAGCCAGTTCGTGGAGCTTTCTATACTATATCTGCCACCAGTCGTAGCTCCTTACAGTGATAGCTAGTTCGTGGAGCTCTGTAATATATCTGCCACCATTCACTTGTCGCAGTGAAACAATTTGCCCAATTGACTCACCTTTTTGCTGATGTTCCTCTGATGACACGGAATTTCCACAACAACATAAATGTTTCTGTATGTTCTTTCAGGTGCTGATATTTCTAGGGGAGACAATGCTGTGTATGAACTGGGCGATTGTCACAGATATTTTATTGGTAAGTAGTTTAAAGGGCACTTGGCTCGGGCAGCTTGGCAGTCCAGCTAATTTGATTCAAGACACCCCTGTGGTCTAGTGGATAGAGTGTCTGCCCAGAGAGCGGTTGGTCAGGGTTTTGATCCTCGGGTGTGCCATACCAAAAGATGTTATTTAATACTTACTGATGTTGAAGAAAATGAACAACATGCAAATCCATACATTGTCCCATTTGAAAGAAATATCTGTTTCATGATCATGATGATAACAAATATTATTTTGATTATTGAATTCACTGTATGCATTTTATATACAACAGGTGAGTGTATTGTTCAATTGATTTAAATGAACAACCAATATAAAAAAATATAAAAAATCTATATGTAATTCATTGGAAAAAAAATAAAATAAGAAAAAATGTTAATTGATTGTACTTGTTATTACTCTGCCTTGTTCTTGTGTCGTGTGCATACAATGCTATTCTCAGGAATTTATTTTATCATAACCTGTATTAGACTATATCCCTTTTCAAGGATTTATATTCATTAATGCTCCTGTGGTCATCATCTTTTACCCCACAGGAATGTTTGGGTAGCCTGATAGTTACGACGTTAGCTCATCACATTCAAGGTCCTGTGTCGATTCCTCTCATTGGGTACGATGTGTGAAGCCTATTTCTGGTGTCGCCAGCCATGACATTGCAGGAATATTGCACAATCTCTTCTCAAGATGCTGACGACTTGTGTTGGTGTGTTTCAGTATGTGGTTATACCGACAAGACGATCGACAGCTGAGGCCTTCCAGATACTCGTATCTCACGCTCTGGGAGATGCCGGCAGTCCCTACCTTGTGGGAATGGTGAGCTATGTTTTTGTGATGTTTTAACCATGTTTCAGGCCTCAAAGCTGCGACTAAAACGGTTGCCAATGCGACCCAAATTTGAGTTTGTCAACTGTCTAAAATTCAGAGGTAGCCAAATGACTAACTTGAAAAATATCTTGTGGCGACTAAATTCTATTGCTACACATCTGTAGACACAAAAATAAATAACAGCTTATCTTGGAAAGCATTGTAACTTTTTACTGTGCATTGGGGGGCACGTCCAAGGCGCCACCATTCGCTGTGCAGAGTTGCGTCCCTTGGGCACGCCAGAAATCTATGATTGTGGGTTCGAATCCCGGTTCACCCCGATTATGTTTTAGGTTTGTCAGCACCACACCCGTGCTCATGGGTTTCACCGATGTGGTAAACGTCTTAGACCTGCATCGCTTCGGGCTTTCCTCCCACATTAAGCTGACACGCCGTGATATAACTGGAATACTGTTAAAAGCGGCGTTCAAGTCAACTCACTCACTCACTATTTCTGTAGACCGCCTCCGTGGTCTTGTGGTAGAGCGTCCGCCTGGAGAGCAGAAGGTCCGGGGTTCAATCCCCGGCCGCGTCATTCAAAAAGACGTTAAAAGATGGTACTTGTTGTTACCCTGTCTGGCCCTCGGCATTAAGGGGCTAAAACAAGAACTGGTCGGCTCAGAGTCAGTATACTGTGTCTGAGTGGGGTATTCATGTTAATCTGCGGCATGGTATCTCAGTGTGCTAGCACTATAAATCGTCATCAGTCCGGACTAGTACAAGCAGCCACACACACACATACACGTACATGCACGTTGCTATATAAGTGCAATAATCTTGGACGCGATGTTAAACCCCATTTCACCTCACCTCACCTCACTATTTCTGTATCTTTTTCCTGTAAGAGAATTAACCCTTGTTTCTGTATCAGGTGTCGGACTCCCTGAGTACACGTTTCCACGGGGATCCCAAGAGTCCCTCGGTACAGTTTGTGTCGTTACAGTACGCACTGTACTCCACTGCCTTCGTCTGTGTCCTGGGAGGGGGCTTCTTCCTCGCCACGGCACTCTTTGTAGAAGAAGATAAGGGGAAAGCTGATCGGCAAATTAGAGGTGAGTTGTCTCTGGGCATTACTGAACTATATTTGATTGTCAATGCATTATGAAGTTGCTGTGCACCTTGTGTTCTAACACAGACATGATCCTCCTTGATGTATTTTGATGTTCTGACCAGACCGGTTTAGTTGCTTATTTTATGCATGTTCTTGGGTAAATAGGACAAAACAATATAAAAATATTTTTTGTGTGTATAGTTATCCGAGGTTATTTTTTCCCACAAAAGTGAAACTAATATTGGTGAAAAGAAGTTTTTATAAGCAAATTTTTTATAATTGTTATACTTTCATTTGGAAAAAATCTCCCTTCTATATGGAGTATCAGCCTATCGCTCTGTCCATGTAGATGCCATGTAGATGTAAATTTGTCTGGCCTCATACCCAATTTATGTGTTTAACTGAAGGAGAATTCTACTTGATGAACTGTTGACCATACGAGTCCCTACCATCATGAGACAGAAGACCAATGGTAAACGTGTGCAGTAATATTTCCCTAACAACAGTTACATGTGCAGGTTCAGATTTCCATGCATTTGTATATATGTAATTTGATTCAGAAACTAAATCCCGGAATCAGACACAATTTTTTCTGAAAGAATATGCTTCTAAGTGTGACAGTTATAAATAATGATGATTATGAACTTTTTGTATAATCATTAGTTGTCTCCCTTATCTGTCAGAATGTGGGGGGTGGGGGTAGGTTTGATTCAGATCAGCTGCATATTTGCGAAAAATATGCATGGAAAATGTCCAAAACTCAATTGCATAAGTACACTGCATGTAAGTACCAAGAGTAGAACCCGTGAAGATCCGGAGTAGAATAGGTCTTCAGCACCCCATGCTTGCCATAAAAGGCGACTATGCTTGTCGTAAGAGGCAACTAACGGGATGGGGTGGTCAGGCTCGCTGACTTTGTTGATGCATGTCATTGTATCCCAAATGTGTGGATCCATGCTTATGTTGTCAATCACTGGATTGTCTCATCCAGACTCGATTATTAACAGACCGCCGTCATATAGCTGGAATATTGCTGAGTGCGGCGTTAAACAACAAACAAACAAACAAACAAAACCAAAAGTAGCATTTTCAGTTTGTGTGCCTCCATTTCTTGACAGAGAAATATTTACCAATCGAATGAGGCATGAATTCTACATGAATTCTGCTGCTGTGAATAATGCTCAAATTGTCACCTGAAACAGTATTTTCCAGCAAAATTATTTTTGTAATTGGTTATTATTGGTTTATGAATATTCAACGGACTCAATTCATAGGGTAAAAATATTTTGAATACCCAAAGTAAACTATCAATACCCTATGTGATAGATTGCATGTGAGTAAGCACTCAAAGTCTTAGAAAATTATTCCAGGTTTTTCAGGAAGATTTCACCTGTGTGTCAATTGTCTTCAGCCTGCTTGACTGTCAGCTGACTGTTACACTCAGCTGACTTGAACATGCTGACGTAGGATGGCATATGGTGTTATGTTGTGCATGTTTCCTGGCCGAGTTCATCATGTGCCGATCATGCTTTGTCCTCAGCTGGCATGTTTCCTGGTCGAGTTGATCGTGTGTCGATCATGCTTTGTCCACAGCTGGCATGTTTCCTGGTCGAGTTCATCATGTGTCGATCATGCTTTGTCCTCAGCTGGCATGTTTCCTGGTCGAGTTCATCATGTGTCGATCATGCTTTGTCCACAGCTGGCATGTTTCCTGGTCGAGTTCATCATGTGTCGATCATGCTTTGTCCACAGCTGGCATGTTTCCTGGTCGAGTTCATCATGTGTGGATCATGCTTTGTCCACAGCTGGCATGTTTCCTGGTCGAGTTCATCATGTGTCGATCATGCTTTGTCCACAGCTGGCATGTTTCCTGGTCGAGTTGATCATGTGTTGATCATGCTTTGTCCTCAGCTGGCATGTTTCCTGGTCGAGTTCATCATGTGTCGATCATGCTTTGTCCACAGCTGGCATGTTTCCTGGTCGAGTTCATCATGTGTCGATCATGCTTTGTCCACAGCTGGCATGTTTCCTGGTCGAGTTCATCATGTGTCGATCATGCTTTGTCCTCAGCTGGCATATTTCCTGGTCGAGTTCATCATGTGTCGATCATGCTTTGTCCTCAGCTGGCATGTTTCCTGGTCGAGTTCATCATGTGTCGATCATGCTTTGTCCTCAGCTGGCATGTTTCCTGGTCGAGTTCATCATGTGTTGATCATGCTTTGTCCTCAGCTGGCATGTTTCCTGGTCGAGTTCATCATGTGTGGATCATGCTTTGTCCACAGCTGGCATGTTTCCTGGTCGAGTTCATCATGTGTCGATCATGCTTTGTCCTCAGCTGGCATGTTTCCTGGTCGAGTTCATCATGTGTCGATCATGCTTTGTCCACAGCTGGCATGTTTCCTGGTCGAGTTCATCATGTGTCGATCATGCTTTGTCCACAGCTGGCATGTTTCCTGGTCGAGTTCATCATGTGTTGATCATGCTTTGTCCTCAGCTGGCATGTTTCCTGCACAGGATGTTTGATGTTATATGTGTCAGATAGGCTTGTGTCTTGAGCACTGAGTCCATGTGGATGTATCAGTCCATCACTGTCCATGTAGATGTGTCAGTCCATGTGGATGTATCAGTCCATCACTGTCCATGTAGATGTGTCAGTCCATCACTGTCCATGCAGATGTGTCAGTCCATCACTGTCCATGTGGATGTCAGTCCATGTAGATGTATCAGTCCATCACTGTCCATGTGGATGTGTCAGTCCATCACTGTCCATGCAGATGTATCAGTCCATCACTGTCCATGCAGATTTGTCAGTCCATCACTGTCCATGTGGATGTCAGTCCATGTAGATGTATCAGTCCATCACTGTCCATGTGGATGTATCAGTCCATCACTGTCCATGTGGATGTGTCATTCCATCACTGTCCATGTGGATGTGTCATTCCATCACTGTCCATGTGGATGTCAGTCCATGTAGATGTATCAGTCCATCACTGTCCATGTGGATGTGTCAGTCCATCACTGTCCATGTGGATGTCAGTCCATGCAGATGTATCAGTCCATCACTGTCCATGTGGATGTGTCAGTCCATCACTGTCCATGCAGATGTGTCATTCCATCACTGTCCATGTGGATGTCAGTCCTTGTAGATGTATCAGTCCATCACTGTCCATGTGGATGTATCAGTCCATCACTGTCCATGCAGATGTGTCAGTCCATCACTGTCCATGTAGATGTGTCAGTCCATGTGGATGTGTCAGTCCATCACTGTCCATGCAGATGTATCAGTCCATCACTGTCCATGCAGATGTATCAGTCCATCACTGTCCATGTAGATGTATCAGTCCATCACTGTCCATGTGGATGTATCAGTCAATCACTGTCCATGTGGATGTCAGTCCATGCAGATGTATCAGTCCATCACTGTCCATGCAGATGTATCAGTCCATCACAGTCCATGTAGATGTATCAGTCCATCACTGTCCATGTGGATGTATCAGTCAATCACTGTCCATGTGGATGTCAGTCCATGCAGATGTATCAGTCCATCACTGTCCATGTGGATGTGTCAGTCCATCACTGTCCATGCAGATGTGTCATTCCATCACTGTCCATGTGGATGTCAGTCCTTGTAGATGTATCAGTCCATCACTGTCCATGTGGATGTATCAGTCCATCACTGTCCATGCAGATGTGTCAGTCCATCACTGTCCATGTAGATGTGTCAGTCCATGTGGATGTGTCAGTCCATCACTGTCCATGCAGATGTATCAGTCCATCACTGTCCATGCAGATGTATCAGTCCATCACTGTCCATGTGGATGTGTCAGTCCATCACTGTCCATGTGGATGTATCAGTCCATCACTGTCCATGCAGATGTATCAGTCCATCACTGTCCATGCAGATGTATCAGTCCATCACTGTCCATGTGGATGTATCAGTCCATCACTGTCCATGTGGATGTGTCAGTCCATGTAGATGTATCAGTCCATCACTGTCCATGTGGATGTATCAGTCCATCACTGTCCATGCAGATGTATCAGTCCATCACTGTCCATGCAGATGTGTCAGTCCATCACTGTCCATGTGGATGTGTCAGTCCATGCAGATGTATCAGTCCATCACTGTCCATATAGATGTGTTGGTTCATGCAGATGTATCAGTCCATCACTGTCAATGTAGATGTATCAGTCCATTACTGTCAATGTAGATGTATCAGTCCATCACTGTCCATGTAGATGTATCAGTCCATGTAGACGTATCAGTCCATGTAGATGTATCAGTCCATGCAGATGTATCAGTCCATCACTGTCCATGTGGATGTGTCGGTCCATGTAGACGTATCAGTCCATCACTGTCCATGTAGACGTATCAGTCCATCACTGTCCATGTAGACGTATCAGTCCATCACTGTCCATGTAGATGTATCAGTCCATCACTGTCCATGAAGATGTGTCAGTCCATGTACATATATCAGTCCACATGTCAGTTTATGTGTCAGTTCATGTGTCTGTCCCAGTAACAGCTTATCACTCATCTCCCTATGTACCGGTATGTTGCTGTTGTGCCTGCAGGGTCCGTGGACTCAAGTTTTGATGACGTAGAAGAGGTTGATGAAGTACAGATAGAGAGGTCACTGGATGCTTTCCCCTGAAATGTATATGTTACCTGTCATTTTATCTTCACTCTGTATCACCTGGAAGACTAACACTAGTCACATTGTTGGCAGAGATACTCAACAGTTCTATAGTGGTATCATTACTTCTAAATTTATTAATAATCGGCATATTTGCAGTCAAAGAACAGATTATATTTTGAATACATATGTATGACATTAAAGTAAATTCAACATTTTGTTATTACAAATACCAAATATTTTGAAGGTCAAAACTGTGTGCCTTTTGAGTATGCCCTCAATTTATTAATAACAATATTACTAATAATTATTACTAACATTCTAACACCGTTATAGTCCATGTTATTATTTATCAACTGCTGTGTGCTCTACTTACTAACCCTGTTTTGCTGTAACCATGGTAACAAGTGCCTTCTTCGTCCGGTCATCTTCAGATGTTATATAAGCTGTTCATTATCAAATGTATATATCAGAAGTTGCCAGATAGGATTCTTGGTTTGTGGTTAGCCCATCTTATCAAATAACTTGTTATCTATTGACATGATCAAGTGACCTGACAAAGTTCATACATACATAAGGGGGTATGGGTGGCCCAGTAGTCTAAGGCGTCGCAATTCGCTGAGCAGTGTTGCGTCCCTTGGGCACGCAAGAAATCTATGATTGTGGGTTCAAATCCTGATTCTCCCCGATTATGTTGCTAGGTTTGTCAGCACCATACCCTTGCTCGTGGGTTTCACCGAAGTGGTAAACACCTGAGACCTGCATCACTTCAGGCTTTCCCACATTAAGCTGACATGCCGTGATGTAACTGGAATACTGTTAAAAATGGCGTTAAACCCAACTCACTCACTCACTCATAGATACATAACAGTAAATGGTGCAGCCACCAGTGACCATATCAGCTTATTTGACCTGTACTACCAAAGATGTATTTATTATGTATTTTACATGAATGTCACTGATGTATCATAATCAAAAGAAGTTAAAGAACACCTGGTTTTTTTCATATGACTGTTGTTAAACTGTCATAGATTAACAATAGTCATCATGACTGATCAACTATAGTCAAATGATAAAATCATGTGTTCTTTAACTTATTTTGAGTTTTCTATACTGGCAATACTTTCATCATTAACTATAATGTAACTCATTGAAATATCAATTATTATTTTTTTATAAACATAGAATTTTGTAAGTAGACATTCTTAAGCCAACATGGCCAAGTAATTTCACATTTTTAAAATAGCAACATTTCTTAATAATTATGAAAACGTAGATTGGTATTTTCCCAACCAAGCTTTGATTTATATGAGGGGTGCTCTTTCTTTCTGCAGCTTTCACTGTGCCAGCATGCATGTAATGGCTGTTTCCTCTTAGAGTGATTCCAGCCGAGGTGACCGCCTCCGTGGTCTAGTGGTAGAGCGTCCGCCTGGAGAGCGGAAGGTTGGGGGTTTGATCCCCGGCCGCATCATTCCTAAAGACGTTAAAAGATGGTACTTGTTGTTACCCTGTCTGGGCTCGGCATTAAGAGGCTTAAACCAGGACTGGTCAGCTCGGAGTCAGTATATCTGAGTTGGGTATTCATGTTAAACTGCGGCATGGTATCTCAGTGGGCTAGCACTATAAATCGGCATCAGTCCGCACTAGTACAAGCAGCCACACACACGTGCATGCACGTCGCTATATAAGTGCAATAATCTTGGATGCGACGTTAAACCCCATTTCACCTCACCTCACCTCCAGGTGAGGTGGTGGAAGAATAATGATTAGTTTCAGCATAATGATAACTCGTAACGTGACGTGATGCGCCGTGCAGGGCCGTGAAGGGCTGGCTGGTGTGTACTTGTCTGGACTAATGCTGATTTTATAGTGCCAGCCCACAGAGGAACCCTGCCACAGGGTTTAACATGAATACCCCACTCAGACAGCATACTGACTCCGAACAGACCAGTCCTTGTTTTAGCCCCTTGACGCAGAGCGCCAGACAGGGTAACAACAAGTACCATCTTTGAATGTCTTATGGTATGACGCGACCCGGGATCAAACCACCAGACATTCTGCTCTCCGGGCGGACGCTCTACCACTAGACCACAGAGACGGCCTTTACCAGTCTGACTGGGTGACATTCCAGTGTGTATGGAGTGACGATCATTGTAGCACCAGCATCACTTTGTGGATCAGGTGTTGGGTCCTTGGTCCTTGTTCACAATGTGAATCTTTGTGTTACAATTGTCGCAACTTTTGTCCTAGCACTACTACCATTTTGGGGGAGGTGGGGTAGCCTAGTGGTTAAAGCATACGCTTGTCATGCAGAAGACCCGGGTTCGATTCCCCTACAATATGTGAAGCCCATTTCTGGTGTCCCCCACCGTGATATTGCTGGAATATTGCTAAAAAGTGTGTAAAATGCAACCACTACCACTTCATGGGCTATTTCTTTTTAATTATAGTCATATAATGATTGTATAAACTGTTCCTAATCCATGGTAATTTGGTAATGAACCAAGTTTTTGTACTTGAAAGATTTTTTAGTGATTATGCTTAGTTCTAATATTTTATTCTGCTGACTTGTTATTGAAAACATTTTTGGTATTAGAACCAAGGGACCCTTGACATTCATTACAAGTTTCTTAAATTGCAAGTGGGGCGGTCGGGTAGCCTAGTGGTTAAAGCGTTCGCTCGTCACGCCGAAGATCCGGGTTCGATTCCCGACATGGGTACAATGTGTGAAGCCCATTTCTGGTGTCCCCCGCTGTGATATTGCTGGAATATTACTTAATGCGGCGTAAAACCATACTCACTCACTCACTCACTTAAATTGCAAGCAATTATCTCATTTCTGGAACATAATAACCTATTTAATAACAGGAATAAGGCTAAATGTTGTGATTTTATGAGTGCTTCTATGTCGAATTGTCTCCCTTTTATGCTTCTAACCACACAACGTCAATACTTCACATGTTTGTAGACACTAAGTTCATTTGTTAGCTAACACTTAATATTCTCACTTTACTACCACTGCATGTATTTATGGCTCATGGAGGAACATGTATTCCAACCCATGAGGGTCTTGGTCAGAAATGGTCTTCAGCAACCCATGCTTGTAAGAGTTGAAGATGCTTGTCGTAGGAGGCGACCTACGGGATCGGGTGGTCAGGCTTGCTGACTCAGTTGATGCATGTCATCGTATCCCAATTGCTTAGATCGATGCTCATGATGCCAATCACTGGATTGTCTGGTCAGGACACAATGATTTACAGGCCACCGTCATATAGCTTGAATATTGCTGAGTGTGATGTTAAATAACAACAAACAAAACATGTATACAAACCTGTGATGTATTGACGATGTATTATACACTGTTTCTACTCTGCTGTCCGATATAAATATGGTGATCAGTGTCTAGTAGTGCTGTTTATGTTAATCAAATGTCAGAGTGAGTATGTTAGTAGCTGGTGATCTGTAAGGACAAAAATAATCATATAAAGTCAAAGGTGTGGTCCTACCAGCCTACGCCTCAGCAACCCATGCTTGCCATAAAAGGAGACTATGCTTGTCATAAGAGGCAACTAACAGGATCGGGTGGTCAGGCTCACTGACTTTGTTGATGCATGTCATCGTATCCCCATTACATGGATCGATGCTCATGATGTCAATCCCTGTATTGTCAGACTCAATTATTTACGGACCGTTGTCATTTTACTTGGAGTATTGCTGAGTGCAGCTTTGAAAAACAAACAAAGAAACAAAACAACTTGCGCAAACTGATGATGAAATAAAGTTTAGATTTACTTGTCATTGTCAGTAATGTAAATTGTTGAACATTGAAAGCAACTGGTTTTTTTATATCTCAAATCTCCACAAAGTGTCACTGTTCACCAGTGGTGTGAAATATGTTGATTTATTTCGGAACTTTCTTGCATATTTGCTAAAAGTAACTTCTTCCATATTCATCGATAATTGATTGATAATTTAATTAGCGATTATCGATCTCTATAATCTATACCAACAGCCAGCCCTACATATAGGGTGTAACTGAAATAATGTTCACTCACTCACTCTCTCAGCAATAGGGGCTCATCCTATCGACCACTAGTTTTCCTGGCCCTGATGTGGCTGGAGGGTAGCCTTAACTTTGAGAATCATAACGATCGTAAGGAACTTTTCATAGGGGGTTGGTTGCCCAGTTGTCTAAGGCACTGTAACTGGCTGTGCAGAGTTGCTTCCCTTAGGCATCTAGAAACCTTTGATTTTGGTAAACGTCTAAGACCAGCATCACTTTCCCACATTAAGCTGACATGCCGTAATATAACTGAAACCCTAATCCAGCAGTAGAAACTAACATTTTTAGATCCTAATAATGATAACATATAGCAAAACCCTTTAAAATGGCAAATTTCTACTAGTCCTTATGATAGCTTAACTATTGGGCAGTTTGGCAAGGCCTACAGGACTAGCGCCAATTTCTAACGCTGAAATCGCTCACTATTAATAAACCAGTCGTAATATCGACAGGTAATATGTACAGGTATTATGATGTTATTATGATGTTATTATGATTTATTGATAAAGCGTATCATTGATTATTGGGCAGTTTGGCAAGGCCTTTAGGATTTGTGCCAATTCATAAGCTGTAGAGTGACATTTACTAAGTCACCAAGCAGATCACCGATCCAAATTTTCACCTCTTAAGTCAAGCATGGGGTGCTGGGGACCAATTCTAACCTGGAATCCCCACTGGAACGATGTTCACAAAGAGGTACCCTATAAGGATCTCGGTTAGAATTGGTCTCCAGGTAATATGTACAGATATTATGATTTGTAATATGATTTATTGATGAAGCGTATCATTGATTATCTTTGTACAAGATTCTGTTACAAGTCTGTTACATGTCTCTTACACAGTACTTGTGTTATTTTTTTCAGCGGCGGCAGTAAAAGCTGAAAGCGCTGATGATGAAGCTGATATTTTGCCCAACTCTGTGGAAGGGATACCCCCCAGGAACTTGCAGCAGTTCACATAAGACCATCTGTACCCCAATACTCTTCTCCATCTTCACCCTCACCTGAGCTACCAAAGCACTCACAGAGAAGGCACCCAACATCACAATGAAACTACTATGGCCATTTCCCCAACATCAGAGAGAGAAACCAACGGTTTTTGTCCACTAGTCCTTATAATGATAACAAATAGCATAACACTTAAAAAGGGCAAATTTCTACAAGTCCTTATGATACCTTAACTATTGGGCAGTTTGGCAAGGAGCACAGGACTAGTGCCAATTTCTAATCCTGAATATAAGCTGCTTCTTGACTAAGGGTGACACTGTCGCTGTGGGAGATCTTAGTCCTGAGCCAGTCTACCTTCACTTTATCGTCCTCTGTTGCTGTGCCTGTTGAGAGCTATGACAGAGACAGTGACTCATCCGTGATCACGTGGCTCTCAGTCGTGACAGCCATGGTCACCCACCAGCTCAAGATATTACAGTCCGATGAAAGGTTGAGGAACTGTACACAGGTGTGTCCACAGGCTTCGTTACCATTGGAAGTTTCTAGGTCAGATAATTTAAGACAGTGAGTTCAGGCGTACCATTGAAAACTGACAGACTGCAACAAAAAACTGTCATATGTGTACAACATAGAAGGAATCGGAAACAGAAAATGATGAGAACGTAACTAGGATCTAAGAAACAGCATCATAAATCTGAGAACACGCTGCTGAAAACATGGAAACAGCAGCACTAAAACGAACAGACCGCAACCTTCCAAACAAGGAATGTACAGAACAAGGAGGAAGTTGACCATCCTGTCGCGAGGATCACCAAAGTGTGAGAATCTTTACATATTATAGCACATATATAGACTACTGGTAATCCAGATGCAGCGTGTATTATTATATTAGCGCTGTAAGGGGTAAATTTACTTGCTGTTTGTTGATCCCCATGACATGACGGACAACTTCCATCTTGTTCTGCGCACGCTTAGTTTGGACGGGTGCGGTCTGTGTGTTTTTGTGCTGCCGTTTCCATGTTTTCGGCAGCGTGTTCTCAGATTTATGATGCTGTTTCTGAGTTTTTAGTTACATGTTTTCTGCTGCTGACACGTTATGGACATATGGCATAATTTTCTTTTTGTTGCAGTCTGTAAGTTTTCACTGGTAGGCCTAGAATTAAAAGAGTCTAGTTAGGTGCAAGTGAAGTGTAAGATCCCCTCTAAAGGCTTTAGGGAAGTAATGTCGTGGTAGTGTTTTAAAGAAAAGAAACATGATGACCCTTGTTGATATGCAAGCTTTTCCTACCTGCTTAAATAAGAAACAAACAAACATGCCAGCTTGCCCTGGGATTGTGTGGTAACTAGAGCTTGTGGGTACATCCTGTTTGAGTGAGATACAGATCTGCCTGTCCCCTCACACTCTACTCTGTGAGTTCATTTACCCCTTGCTCAGTCAAGTTCACTGTTGTCTTGTAGGGCTGGGACGAGTCCAAATTCACTACTTTAGATACATGTATGAAACGACCTGGTGTATACACTGAAGTTGACTGAAGTTTTATTTTTATTCAAACATATAAAAGTCAGAAGGAATGGGCGGAGTAGTCATGAAGAACTGCGAACATTAGTGACTTGTAGTTTAAACAGAGTTTTAGATACCGTTTGTCATTAAACAGTATATCACGTGACTTACCATGGGTCCTGGTAGTCCTGTGGGTACCCGGGTCCTACACTGTACCCACCCGACCCAAGTACCCAAGTTACCCGTCCCAGCCCTATTGTCTTGTGATGGTTTCATCAATATATTATCATGGGAAAAACCTTCTGTTTTCCTTACTGTTATAAGAAAAAAGAAAACTAAATAAAGTTTTCTCTAACTTATTTTTTGCAATCTGATTGTATCAAAATCATTGTAAAATAAGAATTGAAGCTGTATTTCAGTGGAAATTTTAACAAAGTCCAAGTTAAATTATGAGCATTGGATACACAGTATCACGATAAATCTCAACACACAATGTGTTTGTTTGTAAATAGGAATTTACAATGGGTTCAACAAATATTATTGAATGAAATTGTACATTTTGTGGAAAACATTCAGTTACCATGGTTACATGTCATAAATAGCCAGAACGTGATAATTATTAATAAGTATAAAGCTTGTTTGTGCTTAGTCAGTGTTTTACCAGACTCAAACTATTGCAGTCTGTACTTACACAAATTTAGAATAGATGCAAATAACATGCAAATAACATGCAAATGAGTACAACTACTCAAATCAATAAGACTCTGTGCCTGACAAGGCAGTATAGGTTGTATATTCCCCAGCAAGCCCTTTACATCTGAACATTAAGGTAGCAAATACTATCAATGTTTAGATTTTCTTTGCTCACCCCCAAGTTGTGGCTCAAACAAGGAAATCACACAATAATAATCCCAAGTCTTCACGACTACTTCTATGTTGTATGTTCTTGGTACAGACGTCACTCTGGGACCAACATTTTCAAGATTAGGAGCATTAATTTTTTCACTAGCAAGTTGATGGACCCTTGACAATCCCTGTTGTAGTGCAGTCTTTGCAAACCTGAATACTGTATTTCCTCTATTAGACGCCCGCGTCCTTATTTCGCACGGGATGTTGTCCTGCCGAGGCGTATTTTGTCTACTGCTGGCACGGTGGCAACTCACTGCCTTACCTAGTCCCAAATTCTAGACACACAAGGGTTACATTGACAGGAAACGTGCATTATTGATCACAAATGTATAACAGTATAAAATAGGATTGGAGACCCAACTTCTATTTTTGGGTAGCGTAGACGTGGCATCAATAAGAGGCCAGTATGCATTGAAGGACTGGCATCTAATTGAGGAAATACGGTACCCAGCATACAATGATGGTCCCTGATAGACCCAACCTCTGAAAGTTTTATAGTTTATTCATCATGATATTTAAAGATGAAATGTAATACTCAACATCAAATCAAGGTACATACATCTCAGGCTCATTCGACTTGTTCCAGTGAAGGTAAGTGCTGTACAGTGTCGAATCTGGTATATAAACATTATCTGGGCTTTGCTCAACGAACAAGTCACTTTGAGAACACGGTCCATGATGATGTTATTCATTTGTTTGTGTTTGCATGATCCTCCATCTGTCATTTGGTCTTCGTTCCTTGGGCACACCTGAAACCTATGATTGTGGGTTCAAATCCCGGTTCGCCCCGATTATGTTTCTAGGTTTGTCAGCACCATACCCGTGCTCGTGGGTTTCACCGAAGTTGTAAACGTCTAAGACCTGCATCACTTCGGGCTTTCCTCCCACATTAAGCTGACACGCCATGATATAACTGGAATACTGTTAAAAGCGGCGTTAAACCCAACTCACTCACTCACTCATTTGGCTCTCTTTTTTTTTTATTCATGACCTGGTCATACACAGAAAAGAAGCCTGGAGACTCTTATGAAAAAGTTTTTCCCTCTTCTTGCCTCTTGACTGAGGTTACAGCACCTTCTTTCAATTATCCAGTGTGCTCCGTCTCCATCCATTATGATGTATATCCTGGACCCGTTCACACCAAAGCTGTGTTACCATATTCGAAAGAAATGCAGTTAAAAAAAGCCAATCTTCCCGAGGCAAGAGTTAACTGACTTTAAAAGTCCTGTTTCCACACTTGCCGAACTAGGATGGAATTCCTGGATTTGATCGTAGCCCCACCAGTGACTAGTATGAGTTATGTCCTTTCTATGCCTCTCCTATTGGACCAATCAGATTCCACCCCTCGTATAACTTGCATTCACTTCAACCAAATGGTAGCGCCCAGTCAAGACGATCTGATCGATAGTCAAGATCTATATTGTGATAAAACGAGTCTTACATCTCAAAGTGCATCAGATCATGTGCGCACCTTATTAAAAACCTGAAAAGATTTAGAAAATATCTGTTGGCAACAAGTAAGCGGTGCACATGCTTTGCAAATCCTGCATTCGACCGAAATCTGCATGACAATTTACGAACCAGATTTTGGTTTTGTTTCGTGATTTTGATTGGACTTTGATCGCATAGATTCATTAGTCCAGCCAAAATGTAACTCCATAATACCAGCCTAGTTCAGCAAAGGTGAAAACATGACTTTTATAGCCAGTTAACTCGCTTGCCTTGGGAAGATGAAAGTAGCCATGTTTATATTGCACTTACGAGTGAGAGCATGTCCTGTGTCCCCCTACCGTGACACTGCTGGAATATTGGTAAAAGCAGCTTTAAACCATACTCACTCACTCATAAGCGAGAAAGACCTGTGTTAAGATGCACAAGAAATTCACTCTGACATATTTTTGTAGTTGTTTTGGATTCCGTAAAATAACTGATGGAAAAAAGGCCTGAAATTACACTGCTCTGTCACGAATGAAGCAATGACTGATTCATCAGTTCTTCCGGAATCAACAGATTCGGGTGATTTCTCTGACCTGAACACTGTTATGGTTAATGTATAACTGCAACAACAATGGTGTTTGCGTGACCTCATCATGGTGGTTTGAAACTAGATACGTTTGAAGTCAGATGGAATTGCTTCCCTGTCACTCATCTCAGGATACAATGTTTTCCTGTCAACATTTCCTTGAAAGTTTTTTCATTTAATTATATTTGGAATGGCCTTGTTCATACAAAGCTGCAGTTTTGAATGTCCGTCTGTGGCAAACTCTTATTCAGGAGCATTTGGAGTGGTTGTTGATTTGAGCACACATGTGAAGTTAGCTATAAGAGAGATAACAGATCACTTTGTGGTGAAACAAATATATGCAATACAGCCCATGCAAGTCTATAATGTTTGGCAAGTCTAGATTACTGCAGTATTTGAAAATGAAGAAAGTCTCTGGCCCCCTTTTTATAGTATTCTATAACTATAATTTGACAACTGTTTCTTTTCTGTAAAATATGTTCGTTTCAGAGACTAGAAGTTAGTTTAGTGGGGAATGGGACAAGAGTATTTATTATAATTAACAGAATTGAGTTGGGGTGTCATTGACTGGCTTGTCGTAAGAGGCGACGAACGGAAGGGGTGGTCAAGCTCACTGACTTGCTTGATGCATGTCATCATATCACAATTTTGTGGCTCGATGCTCATGATGTCAATCACTGGATTGTCTGGTCTAAACTCGATGTTTTACAGACTGCCTGGAATATTGCTGAGTGCGGGGTTAAACAACAAACAAACAAACATTGATTGGAAATTTTAGTATTGATATACCAACTCTGAAGTTGATTATTAATAATATTAATTGTTCTGTATGAGTATTGATAAATATAACCTGCCATTTAATGCTGAATATGAACTAGGTTGATCCGCTTAATCTTTAAAATTGAAGTTCCTGCCTTCTCATTCAGTCCATCTTAACCATGGTAATCTTAAAAGATGTAAACGTGTCTGAAGCAGTGAATTATTAATTTAGTATTGATATTCTAAATTGTTTCGCCATAACAGTATAAAAAATAAAAACATAAAAAATAGACGATGACACACTGCTTAATTGAGGATGGTTCTATCATGATATATTTTATTGTGAATAAAATCATGATGTGTTAAAAAATATGTTTTTGGCATTGGCCTATTTTGTGTATCAAGATTGGGAGCTGCTGATGTTTATGAATGGGACTGTGTGAATTTGTCCGAAAATTAACATTGAATCTTGTGGCACCTTGATAATTTACAGTTGAGTTGAGTTTTTGTCAGAGCACATTCTATTTTGAGCTTGTACGTCTGCATACATTAATAGAGCAAGGTTTCATGTGCTAGTTCGTTTTTGATGCTGTGTTGTGATGAAACACAAAAGTCTTGCAACAAACATGTCTGACATCAAGTTCACAGCATTTGGGTTCTTGCAGACTGCTTGATTTCTAGAAAGTAATAACTTATCTGAAAATAGATTTCTTCCCAAAGTTTATATTTGTTGTCTAACTGATCACCATGTGTTAATTTGTTTTTAAAGACATGTTGTCTGGAAACCAAGGTGTTGGAACCAGGATGTTTCATTGGGTTTCTTGAGATACTATTTCCCTAACAGTCTAGCTTGAGGTACTATTTCCCTAACAGCCTAGCTTGAGGTACTATTTTCCTAACAACCTATCTTGAGGTACTATTTCCTTAACAGCCTAGTTTGAGGTACTATTTCCCTAACAACCTAGCTCGAGATACTATTTCCCAAACAGCCTAGCTCGAGATACTATTTCCCTGACAGCCTAGGTTGAAGTCTTTCACTGTGGTTCAGAGTTGTTGGTATGTTGACACCTTGCTGTGGAATGGTGTTGTACATGTTGTAACATACGGTATAAATGTTTGCGG